GCGGCGGTTGTTTTTTTTGGTGGTGGTGGTGGTTTTACCCTGGGTTCCAGCGGGAAAAGGGGCTTTAGGTACCCTGGAAGAGCTAGAAAATGAAGGAATTTTTTGAGCAGAAGGGCCCTGAAGGCGACAAGTGCGTCCCAGAGGGATTGCTCTGAACATGATTGTAATGATGCAAGCTTTGAATGCCTTTTTTCGGGGGGAGTTGTTTTTGTTGACAGTCCAGAGAGTTGGAGAGGCAGTCACGTTGACATGTCCAAGAAAGAAGGAGTTTATTGTCTAGGATGAGAGTGGAAATTGATTTGACATTGTGGGGGGGGGGGGGGGGGGTATAACAAATAAGAATGTATAAATTCATAAAAAATGATAAAGATAATAAAATAGCAATAATAATAATGATAATGATAATGATAAGGATAATAATAATAGTAATAGTAATAATAATAGGCTGGATAATTTATATACACGGATGTAAATGAGTATGGTAATTTAGGAACATAATTTAGAGGTCCTTGTTCAAACGCGTTCAGCTTCTACAAAGTTAGGCGTAGACCGTGATTTCTTGAGGGCGGCCTTTGGATCAGTGGTGAGGCGCGGCAGGCTTTGGTTTTGAGGCATATCTGGGACCTGCTGCTTTTTGTTAATACCTGAGAGTAATGCACTTCCAATGCGGCGTGAAAGAGTAGAGCCTCTACGGTGCTTAGTCTGTAGACCCGGATTGAATGTCTGGGGCTCGTGCAAGAGATGTTCAAAGGCCGGGAAAGCTAGGATGTCCTTTTGGGGTGTCTTATTTCCCGCAGAGAGCCACTCTTCGTCTGACAAGAGAAGGACTAATTCGCGGGTAGCAGAGAACTCTAGATGATCGACATCAATAGAAGAGTCTAATGGTGAGTTTGGTAGAGGACTCAGACTATCTGACAAGGGTGGTAGAGAAGGTGCTATGCTTGTAGGAGCAGAAGATATGGGTTCAGCCTGAACAACTGAATCCTCCTGTTTGGGAGTCTCTACAGGCGGAGTAGGGCGGGGACTGGGTTTAGTGTCGACTTGAGCAAGAATAGGTCTCTTCTTCCGGAAGCTCATTCGGGACACGAGATTGTCAAACATCGTCAAGAAGTATGAGTATTGGAGAAAGGGGCGCCAGGAAGTTGAGCTGGCTGGACCCGAGCTCTATTAATTCATGAACGGATCAGGTGACACACTCCAATCCGTGCCATGATCCTGCCTCTATTCGGATCAGGCACGCTTCTCGGCAAGACATGATTGGCTTGACTCGATTGTTGTGTGGGACGACGAGCCGAACTGTCCCCCAGAGCAACCATGACATCTCGGGCTAGAATGTTCGCTAGTCCCTTGACTTCTTCCCAGGCTGACGAAAAAGTATTTTTTGTGGGATGGGACGATTATGATGATAGCCTGCATGAATGATAGTCATTGTTGTGCTGATATAAAGCTAATAAGAGTGCTTGATAAGAAAAAAAAAGTTAAAGTGTTATTCGAATGCACTGCTACTGCAGAAGGTGGGATTGCCGATGGCTCCGCTTGATACACCGCTGATGATATTGACACATGCGTCGTATGATTGCAATTAAGCCATCGCAAGACAATAAGAAACAGAAACAGAAACAGAAAATGAAAAAGCCATTGCCTTTAGATACAACGTTATTTTTTTTGGGTGCTGTTGTTTTTCGTTGTTGTGCAATAAAATTTTGGTTGTGTATAACAGGCGCTTGTCTTGGTGTAATAAGAAGGAGTTTAGGAATAAAAAGGCAAGCCAAGAGAGTACAGAATCTACAAATATTCTATCATGTAAGGTTTTTCTTTCTTTCTATTTATTTATATCTAAAATTATATATTTATCTTTGTTCTTCTTGTCTACTTTATTACAAAGAGACTTTCTTGTACTAGCTGGCATTTTTAGAGCCAATAATCTTGATACACTTTACTTTTTCCACCCACAAACTCGATTTCTGCCCGTAGCAGATCTTTACAAACTAAGAGAAGTAAAATAAAAACAAAAAGAAGGGGGGAAAAGCGTCCTGTATTTGGTGTGCATCGTACAAATTACAATGTGACACTAAGATGATATGTATGTACATGTTTAATATATAAAGAGGCATTGTACTTTGAATGCGAGAAAATACAAATGAGATAATATGCTAATGTAGTGTAAGGGTTAATGCTGAGTGAATGTTGTGATGTACTATGTGCCTTTTGTCTTTTCTTTTCTTTTCTTTTCTTTTCGTCTCTTTTCTTTTTCTATGATTATTATTTTCCAGGTGGCTGATGTCGATTTGCGTTTTGTTGTGCTCCGTTTTGTCTTGCTATGTTTTTGTGCTCCACTATTATTATTATGATAATTAGCGAGTGAACACGCCTGGTTTGGCATAAGGATGAGAGCGAGCCGACCGGTGCTTCTGATGCCGTGCAACCAATGACGAGCGATCTACGGGACAAGGCGCCTCGGTAGTAGCATCAGTTGGTGGTGTCAGGGGATATGTGGCCACTAAAGGCTTTACGGTTGACGATATGGCTGGTGTTACAAGAGCAGAGTCTGGACGTGTCACCAGTGGAGGGAGAATTGGAGATTGGGTGGGAGATGGAATTATGTAGTGGTGAATTTCTTCCTGGAGTTCAGGTTGAGTCATAGCATGAGCCAGTAATTGATTTCCATAATCCTGCATATCTTCTAGGCGCACCAGAAGCTCAAAGTTGCACAGAAACAAAAACTCCAGCTCAAGTTGATTTAATTCACATAGAGGAAGGCCACCAACCTAAAAAAAAAAAATCATTCACGTGATATGAGCCACTTGTACCTTCACTTTATGAAGGTTTGTGGCAGAAACCCTCCCCGCACACACAAAATTCTTTTACCTTTGCATAGCGGGCATTGGGATAAAATACATCTGACGTGAATTTAGATGCTACAACAATACTAATAAACAGTCATTAGTTTTTACTCCACCAGTCAATTCAGTTAATTACCTTGTGATGAGTAGCCGATGAATATTAAGAGAGCTGACGGTAAAATTCTTTTCGATTCTTGAGATCCGATCAAAATAGACAAGTAGAGAGAGAAAAACTTCGTTTGTGAATGGCGTAAATTTGAGAATTCGTAAAAGGTAGGCCCGAATGTTAATGTTTGGTACTGCTCTTGAGTGAAAGTGTGTAATGTCAGTGCACGGAAGAAGATCGTTTGCAGTGACAATGGATTCCAAAAGATTAGCGACAATATTTGCCATAAGAGGAACAGGAAAAGTAGCAATGTTGAGCTTCATAATAAATTGAGCTAGATTTTATTTTGTGTGGAAGTTTTGTGATGATATATGTTCCAGTTTTAATGAAAGGAAGAGGGAAAGAGAAAAAGGATAGTTTGGGCCAAGGTGTCTATGGTTGGGCATCAAGGGTCCCAATTCCTTCTTTTGCAGGCTGGGAGGTGGGGGTGGGAAGGGAGCCCTTTAAGCTAGACTGAGTTTAATTAAATTTAATACCATGGAAACCAATCGACAACCAACTCAGCGTTTGTTTCTTCACCCACCAACCTTGTCAAAACTGAGCTCATGCTCTCTTGTCGCTTCCTCATTGGTCTTTCCAAGTGACATCACCTTTTCTTTGCTTAAATATAAGAAACATCAGAAAATAAAGGATTAGCACTCCAGAAGTGTTGCACGTGTACAGGATTTGCTTTGAGATGTTCCTGGGAATTTAGTTATTTGAATTCATCTCACACGTTGTACATTCTCCAACCAGTCTGCCCACATATATCTATACATGTCTTTAGCTATCGGAGAATTGTTGATTCTGGCGGTGTTTTGGCGGACATACAGGTATACCTTATTTACAGCCCAGCCACAAACCATTATGACAGCCACAACCATGAAAAACGAAGCGGACTCTGATAAGAAGCAGGAAATCAGCTTGGCAGTTATCTGATACGTTCTTGCTGGTAAAATTCGACCCGTAAAGCCGAAGAATTAAGCAGATAAAAGTTGTTTTCTGGAAACAATAGACAAGGTTTGATCGAGGACGTTGAATTCACCGGGGGCAATCCGACTGGGTCAGGTAAGGAAAATAAAAATTTGAAAGTGAAGATATGGTTTTCTTTGAGCTACAATGGCGGGTAAAAATAAACTAAAAAAATGCTAACTATTAGCAACGTGGTTTTAATCTTGACTCAAGTACTCTTGTAAGAAATCCATTATGTATACACGTGCAAGCACTCAATTAACCCTCTTTTTCTTTATCACGCATTCAAAGTTTAATGAAAGATTAAAATCGTCAAAGTATCTAGATAAGTTTCATTGGTAAGAATTCACATCATTTCTTTAAAAGAAAAAAAGTTGATTGGTAAAAAGCATTTGGGCATTATATTCTCAAATCAAAGCTGAATTAGTTAAAAAGATTTGATACAAAAGTATAATCTTTTGGTACTTATGAGATTAGTAGCTGTCTCCTTTCAACAGCTTTACACAGTTCTTATGCATAGATAAGCAGCTACGTTTCAAACCAGAATATTTTGGATTTTTCTTGAGAATAAAATACAAAATAGACCGTGAATTTGGACCCTAATAAAATAATAATATTGTTATTTTCAATTCTATTTGTTTTTCCTTATAAGCGTCTTTAGCCAGAATGCTATCTAACTAGAGACTTATTTCAGTCAATTAGGGGCGTTTTTAAGCATAGAAAGACTCAGATATATTAATGGGGTATTCTCTGATGAAAATGGAGCTCACATAATGACATGAGTTATTCCTGAGCGTATTTTATCCGAGAACTATTAGCTTCCCTTCCTTTGTTAATATTAGAACAGTCTAAACTTCTCGCTCAATAACTTTGTAGGCAAAACGTTAGATATAGCGCTTTTAAGCTGTCTTTTGCGATGCCTGTCAACTAAACTTTTAGGTTATTCCAGATAATTCAAAATTACTCTAGGGTGTTTCAGCCTATTTTTATACTTTGCTCGGAATCGGATATGCCCTTTTGTATCGACCAGTTGAGTAATTAATTTATATGGGGTACCACTCTTTTACATATTTATACGTAGTAGTTAGTATCCAACACATCTTTATCGTTTACCACACGTGTATAGACTAATTACATTGAGAATTTTTTACAAGCCATGGTAATCATTCAATGGACTCAAATTCCACGATAGGCCCCTTTTTATATGTAAACTCTTTTTAATAATATATCAGGTTAATACACTATGCGAATTCCCAATAGCTAACAAACATATCAATATATATATTATTATTATGTCTCTGTTCGATCAGTCTAATTAAACGTTGATGGTATAAGCATCACCATCTCTCTCTCTCACACACTTATTTCGGTTGCTAGGACAAGTATGATGACCTTTTGCAATCACTTTACTCTTCACAGTAAAAAAAAAGGTTGCTTACAGTAATGGGGGCTCTTGCCTGCTTTATTCTATATTTTATACATGCCTTAATATAACACCATTGATAAATAGTACCTTGGGCGGAATTGATTAATGTTACCAGGCGACCAACTTATCGACGATTGTTGCTAGATCGGAAGTTTAATGGCTTCTATTTTCTACATTTGTTTCAATTTAGCTGCAGAAAACGTACTTTGTTCCAGATGAATTAACATTTGCTTACTACTAACATCTAGTATAAGAACTGGATTACGTGAGTGTAATTTAGCCTTTCAAGCATATATACTTTCTGTATACATAGCTGCAAATATAATAATAATAATCTTCAATACCATTTCACAAGTAATATATTATATATGTATTTATTCTTCTTTTTTTTTTTTAAAAAAAAAAGGTACCAAATGAGATTGTAACATATCAATCTTCTGGTTTTTTTTTTGAAAAAGAAAATATACACTCCACGTTTTGTCTCCACTTTAAAAGACGTGTGCCCAAGAGTAAATCCGAATATTCGTCCGATCCGAACCGAACGAGTTTTTTCTTTAATTGGCCGAGTCCTTTTTTGTCAGCTGAGAAAGCCAGAATCCTGGTTACTGTCTAAATGCACCATATATGTCTCACAATCCTCAGGACTCTGGTGACTGGCAATCCGAGTTCCTGACTTTTTCCCTATACAGAGTTTCGCATTCAAAAATGAGAAAATATTTGGATATTATGGATCACATACTTGAAAGGTGGAGCTTCTCAAATTTAACCTGAAATTATCTAAAAAAAAAAAAAAAAAAGTTTTGATTTTCTCATTTTTGGAATGCGAAACTCTGTATTTTATTTTTATTTTTTTATTTTTTATTTTTAATTGTTACTTGACTTGGAATTCAAAAGTGACTCAACTAATCCTAAAAGCCACGTCAATTTTCCTCTTCTTTTAAAACCTCGCGTCGGCAAAATGTCATCGCGAGAATCTACCCCTTCCTCAATTCTGATGGATCGGGACGACTTCGACGAGACTACCGTCAGCGACGGAACTCTCAAGAGCCTACTAAAGCAAGAGAGCGAACTTCATCTCCAGATTGACGCATTGCAGATCGAGATTGCTACCTTGGAAGAAAAATTAGGAAAGCAAGAAAAAGGAGACGAACTCGATGAACAGGGTAATAACAACAAGCTATTATGGAATAAAATTAAAATGAAAATGAGAATGAGAATAAGAATAAGAATAAGAAGATTTACACATGTTTGTGTGCATGTGTAGACCTTGAAGAATTTGAAGCACCTGAATGGTGTGTTCCCATTAAAGCTAATGTGATGAACTTTGATTGGGATGTGAGTAACAAATCACGGTAATAAATAAAATAATATAAATTGGTAAACTAAGGTGCATATCAATGTTATAGTCTTTGGCAGCCGAGGTCCAATTTGATGTCATTGTAACCGATCCCCCGTGGCAGCTTGCTACACATGCCCCAACTCGAGGTGTAAGTTAAACAAGAGCAAGAACAGCAACCGTATATATATAATTCATTAAAGTGGATTGGTAAGGTTAGGTGGCACTGACAAAAAGAGCTTGTTTGATATAGGTGGCTATTGCTTATCAACAACTACCTGATATCTGTATTGAGGATATTCCTGTACCAAAACTTCAAAAGAACGGTTTCATTTTCATTTGGGTCATTAACAACAAATATGCAAAAGCGTTTGAATTGATGGAAAAATGGGGTTATACGTAAGTGAAAGAAAAAATTAGTAAAGCAGATATTAAAACAATATATAAAATTAGTTATGTGGACGATATAACCTGGGTTAAACAAACAGTCAATCGACGTATGGCCAAGGGTCATGGATACTATTTGCAACACGCAAAAGAAACTTGTCTGGTTGGAAAAAAGGTAGATGACCTGTGTGATAAATGTGAATCATGCTTGGTTATTTAATTCATTGGGCTATGTTATGTGTAGGGTGAGGACCCACCTGGATGTCGCCACTCTGTGGGATCCGATGTGATCTTTTCTGAACGCAGAGGTCAGAGTCAGAAGCCAGAAGAGCTCTATGAGTTAATTGAAGAACTTGTCCCTGATGGTAATTATAATATACGAATATCAATGCTTGCGAGGCGATTAGATCTCACACTCAGGTTATTGAAATGTTATTTAGGTAAATATTTGGAGATCTTTGGTAGAAAGAATAATCTACGTGATTATTGGGTCACAATTGGAAATGAATTGTAGAACTACAGAACGACATCATCTTCATCTCAGTCTTTCTTTGCTTTTTTTTTTCAAGAAGAAGCAATGGCACTTGTAATATAATATCTCTTTTTTTTTTATAAAAAAAATAATTCTCAAGCTGTAATATATAGGAAATGCAGCTTTTTTACCATTATACATATATATATACATATAATTTTTTTTTACAAATCACACCAGTTGCTGACAGGCAAGCAAGAAAGATATTTACAATTGGGGCAAATCTATCAGACAAGGAATTAGATTCTAAGTGGCTCAAGCTTTTTTTTTCTGATTTGTGGGTGTGTATTAATTACCTTGCTTGGGTCCTCGGAAGAATAAAAGGCTTTAATAGTAACAACGAACATAATTATCAGCAAAACAAAGGCAACAACGCGGGCAATCCAGGTACCGATCCGGAAACTCTTGCTGGCATTGGTTCGCATGGGTGAAATCAATACACCCATCACAATACCCACCGCAAATCCACCTTTAACCAAAATTTAGTTTTTTTTTCTTTCTTTCTTTGAAATAAAATCTCCCTCAGGATGTTTTAATTGGTACTTACCCATGTGTGCAAAGTTGTCAAGTCCAGGTAATAAACCAAGGACAAGGGAAATGATTGTTGAAATCAATAAACTCATCAATTCGCGCACAGGCGACTTTATGTTCTTCCAGTTGACAATAACATCGATAAACATATAACCAATTAGACCAAATAGTGCTCCTGAACATCCCATGGAAGCTAATAAATATATAGATATATTAGTAAAATAAAGAATATAATAAAGTGCAACATACCAGAAGTGCTCGGTGCCAACATTGAACTCAGAACAACGCCCCAGATACCTGAAGCAAAGTACAAGGCAGCATAGCGAGGAATTCCAAGTGCACGCTCAAGATCAGCTCCAAGTCTGAGATGAGTGAGCATATTAATAAGATAATGTATGACACCAGCATGTAGGAAGATGGGGGTAAAGAAACGAAAGGTTTGATTGGGTGTTTCTCCTCCAAATCCTCCAAACCCACATGCTGTTTCGAGGGTACATGTTGCATCTGGTCTAAAACAGCTCGCAAATGTACTTGACAGACTGTATTCCGGTAATGATCGCATGCACGGTGTGAATTTAGCTCCAACGTTTACAAGAACCTGTGGAAGAACATCGTGGCTCGTTCGTTAGTAACATGTCGATTTGTACAAGATATCTTGCTTACCGTAAAACTGGGTCCCACCATCGGGTTGAAAGGACTGGTTTCGATTAAATATCCGGTCAATTGTTGATTTCTGACAAATTCGTAGATCATGACACACAGCATCACGACACCTGTTATCCAACTAAACCAAGGTCTACTGACAGGTCCCAGTAATGCACGCATTAATAACCCTCGGTTGGCCCCATAGGGCTGTGTAAATCCCGGAAAGGTAGTGTCCCCTCTCGATGTACGTCCCCCAACCGGTGCGTACTGTCCACGCTGTTCAATCGTATCTGAGTCGAGTCGCATAAAGTTACTCGATCCTCCGGGACCCCGTTGATGGATAGCGGGAGCAGTGCTCCCCAGCTCATATTGAGCTCTTCCTTCGTCTTCGTCTGCGAAACGTGGTCCATAATCTTCTTGAGCGGTTTTTTCGCCCGATGATTGTGGAGGGATAGCCCTGGGCGCAGGTTGAAATGTATCTGTAGCAAAGTTACGAGAGCCAGCTGAAGTTGCTGGTGGTGTATTGATGCCCTGAGATGACATGGCGTGCATTGGAATCGGGGGTGCTAATATGGGCATTGGAGATGAGGGATCAGCAAATGAGGACTCGTCATATATTGGTGTAGGTATAATAGAAGGGGAACGAGCAGCAAACTGGACATGAGGGGACAGAGAATCGTCTAAAGGGACTGTGGTTGTTGCACCGATTGCATCGAATGGGTCTTGGTGATGATGCATTGGAGGAGGTGAATGTAGTCTTCCCGCACTAAATTTCGAGTGGTCTGAAATCTCGTCTTTGTCCATGTTAGCGTAAAAGTTGCAGCAAGAAGAAGAAAGAGTGAGACTGTTGGTTGAATTTGATTTTATTTGGTTTACAAGTTTGATATTCAGGCAAGTTTTATTATTACTTTTTTTTTTAAAAAAAAAATAATAATAAAAAGTAAAAATAAAAATAAAAATAAAAATAAAAACGAACACTAAAGGCTGATAGGAAGGTGGTGAATTTGGGGTGGAACACTGGGGCAAAAATATTCTTGGATAAGGCATATCTTCTACTTCTCCATCTTCTTAAAGGCTTGGCTTGGCATGCTGTATCAAATGTGATGAATGGGGCTTTGAATCTTTCCAACTCGGCCTATTTGTTCACAATCAATCAAATGATCAAAGCATGAACTGTATATATATAAATATATATCTATCTATTGGGCCAATATATAAAGGGTTTATAGAGGCAAATGCAATCAATAACCAGCACCTTTGACTAGGATCGACTTTGTAAGTAACTTGAAATTAAATACAAATATATTAATAAACTGTACCACAAGCGTGAATATCTATTCAAAGTCAAGATGTGGTCTTTTTTTTTGAGGCTTACTTATTTTCTCTCTTTTTCCTTCTTTCTTTCTCTATTTTCTCTCTCTTGATCTAGCCTTCCAGGCACTAAGCTATTCTCGAAAGGAAAAAGGATCTTATTTTAGTGGCTCATATCATGAATTGTAGAAACCTAGAGTAACACACCAATAAATTACAAATAGATTTAGTATATTGTCGCTTGCTTAGCGTCCGCATACTTTATTACTCCACTTATTTTGTAACAGATACACCAAAGACGTCATGGTGTTGATCAAACTCGTATTATTCAATTATATTTTGATAATATTTTTAGCCAAAATAATAATAATAATCCAAGGTTTGGACTACCTATCTTAAATGAACATAACTCCTATATAAAGCTTAGGGAGATAATCCCTCATACTAGTATGTGTTATATTTCTCTTGTTGTTTCTGAGAAACTGATTGGCATGGTAATGAAACACAAAAAGTGTGATTTTCTGCTAGTAAATTATAGAGGGGTAAGACCATAAATGACAGTTAATATAAATATTTACTGATATAAATACACCGATCTCATTACTCATGTGGCTCTATAACTTGGAAATATTTCCTCACTGCGGCGAGTCCAGGTACTCTTTAATAAATAGGCGCAGTCTTTCAAATGCATTTCAATAAATGATTATGTTTATTAACATCGTCTAACCTCCGACCTTGGCGCCATGAATAAAATCAAATTATCTTTAAAGAAAAGGAACGGAGTGTATTTATAATCTGGTACCTGTATATCGAAATGATGAAACACAGCCCATGAGAGTTAGCTTAGTAAATTACTATACTTTTAAGTCACACGGTCAAAAAATATATGAGACTTAAGCTGTTCATAACGGTAAAGAACAGTGCACCCAAATGAATATTTACCAAGAATATAAAGTAGATCAGGCCGAGTGACTTTCTTAAATCAGTAAAATCATTAATGTGAGCAAGACTGAAAACACGACTTTCTATTCTACAATCATAAATAGCTCTCCTATAAGTTTTTCTTTTTTTTTAAAAAAAAAACAATACAACAAAACATTATCTGCACAGTAATATGTTTTATTTGTTAGAAAAAATCAACCGGGCTGAAGATGTGTTTTTTGCTATGACAATTTTGATATCTATAGCGGCAATAATCCTAAAGAGCACAATATTCTCAGTTATTTGAGAAAACCCATACTAAAACCTTCTGTGGACCCTTTTGACATTATATATTCTTCAATCTTTACCTAGAAGCAGTAAGTGTGGTATTTATAATTCAGGTTTTTTTTTCTTATATTATTTTTTGAGTTGGTTCCATGCTAATTTTTGGGACACGCCCTTTTAATGGCGGACATTTAAGCGACATCTTTATATGGTGTAAATATCGATATTGTCGTTTTTTAATCTCTCGATATCTCCGTGAATATTTGGCCGTTGTTGGTAAGATAAGCACTGAACATCATAGATCAATTCGTTAAACAACTTTACTTAGTAGAAAAAAGAACAAATTTTCGATTTTTTTAGGTGTATGTTTTGAGGGAACTTTTGGATCAAACATCGTTATGTGGTGTAAATATCTAAATATATATTATTAAATAGTTTTTTAGAGTGAAAAAATGGGATAATGTAATCAATATTTGAGCAATTAATATGAAACGACTTTGACATAATGGATCTTGATGCGTTCTACCAGGTTACTTGGCTATAAAAAACTACTTACTTGGCCAATTTGGAGTTACAGCTGATTTTTTGCTTTTAATTTATCATTTGGATCAAAATGATCCTTTTTGACAAACAATTCTTCAAAGTATAATAGCGATAATCATTTGTTTAAAGAAATATGATCTCAGTACAGCAAGCTGCTCAAAATTTATGATTATATGTTACTCTTTAAACCCATTTGTAGTTAAATTATCCTTGAAGCCTTGCCAAGTCTCTATCAAATACCCATTCGTGCAACGAAGATTTTACCAAGCGAGCACACCTCGCCAGATCCATTTCCAAAACTTGTATTCAGTCCTTGTGAAAAGTGTGCATTTTCTCTTTTTGCTTTACTTTTGCCTTTTTCAATACAATATCAATGTCATATGTATATAATAGCACGACCAATATTATAGCCTGCTCTTATATTGTATAATATGTATAATATATATATTATTCCCTAATAGCCACTATTATAGATCTTTTGTCTATATGTGTAGACGAACAAAATTTAAATCCATTATCGCATTACACAATATATCTATTGTAATATACACAAGAAAAAGATACATACATCTTGTGATATTTCGGAGCATATTAATCAATCATTGAAGACTTTAATCGAACCACAGTTACTCTTAAGATTTTCAATAAATAGCTAATAACGTCTTTGGCTTTTTATAGGTCCAAAGAGCTTTATTTTATGTATAGCTTATATGATATATAATACCTATTGATTTTTTTTAAAAAGAAATTCTTACTTCAATATAAGACAAAATAAAGAACAAGTATACCGTCTCATAATTATATTTACGATTTTGTTATCTACCGAATAATACTGTACGTACTTTAGATATGTATTCAACTCTACTATTTATTCTCTAAATTCCTTAAAGGCATCTTTAGGTTTTTTTTTGCTATAGTATATATATCACTGTTTATTACTATTACTTTGAAGGTTTCTGTGTGTGTGTGTGTGTGTGGGAAGGAAAGAGCTCGTGTAACCGACAAATAGTTTTTTTTTCTATTTTCTTCTCGTCTTTTCTCTCTTCTTCTGTGGTCATATATGCTTCGATAATGTTGCTTCAAAAATTACAGTTTATACAATGCGTTTCAGTAGTGGCCTTTATACCAAAATGTTATGCATCACCAATCGAGCAAGATATCAACCCTGGATATACAGCACCTGAGGAGAATAGGTCTCAAAATCTAACCGAGATAAAACCATCAAATATACTACTTTTGAAAGAAGCATACACGTCAGAGTACAAGAAATATGAGAATGTTGGTAATAAGAAGACATCGTTTGACAATCACCATTTAAAAGTTATCTGGTTAAGAGACTAACTAGTCAAAGGTACAAAGGCAAGGGGGGTTGCTATTAGAGAGTACGACAACAGTCCTTACCTTGCAGTCTTTCTCCAAATACTTGGCCCCCAAAAAGCAAAGAAAACAAATAATTTCATCTTAAATAACTCTTTATTTATTGGTTACAACAATAACTATAAGAATGGACTGAGTGCCTCTTACCATGAAGCCAAAGAGATTACTATCATTAAGAGGATTATGTTGTAAATACCAAATCAGACCCAAATCAAAAGATGCACGTTGGATGACAACCGATATGATGGACCAACTTGAAGGCGCACACAAGGTGGATGACACCTCATATGTTGGAATATTTGTTATAATCGGATAGCTGCTTTATACGACGATTGAATACATGGACGTAAATAGAGAGATATCAACCAAGGTTATGATTATCACCTACACTGAAATCTCAGTTCTTCAAACTGTTTCTCTTTTTTATGCTGCACAAGCAAAAACTGGCTTTTAGTATCGCTAATTATTCGGGCCAGACACTTTTCCTCTCGGGCACGACGTTTCTCTGGAGCACTACGTTTATTGAATTTCCGCCTTTCACCATTTACCGGCCTCATAAAAAGTGACTTGTTGTCCGGCATCCAGCAATTTTATCTGGTCCCTAACCACCCAAAGTAGTTTATATGAGTAAAATCAATCTATCAAAATATAAATAATTTAATTCATGAATAAAGTACATCTTCATTTAATATAACGGAATTTCTAGGTGTACTTAAGTAGTAACCATATTAAAATTTCTATTTTTTTTATGCAGTATATACAAAATATACAATTTGTAAACGTCGTGCTCGAGAGGCAAAATGTCGTGTCCTAAATGTGGCGATAGAATAATTGTGTTCAAGAAAACTGTTGATGCAATATTTTACTTATTGAAAGTAAAGCTTCTATAAGTATAATTATAGAGGTTTCTAGAATTTTACTTTACATTTTAGAGTTCATATTCAATGCAATGTCTTTTTTATTGTAGTTCTCATGCAATAAACGCACAATATAAAATAAATAAATAAAAATTGTGACCACACCTATTTCTGTAAAAACACAAGATCTATTTGGTTTCCGTCAACAAATCATATACCTGCTGTTGCTGATGAGTCATTTTTTCACGATTTAACTTGAGACATAAATCATATATTTTCATTTTATGTGATTTAAGTGGAAAAGATTATAATCCATATAATTTGCATTTTTTTCAAAAACTTTCGTAATAGATATAAAGGTAATGAAGCCTTTTATGCCTAAGAAAGTTTGCATAGCAGTAAAGCTAATATATTTTTACAAAATTCATGTTTTTATTTTTTATTTTTTATTTTTATTTCTTCTGTAAAAACTCTTTCTATCATTTCCTTGCAACATGTACATGAGATATTTTATCAAAAATACAAAAAATGAAAAATATTCATATAAGACCAAAAAAAGTTTTTAATTACATATATTCAGATAACATATGAATCCAGTAAAAGTTTCATAGAAAACAAATGAGAAAAAAGTGATTCTACAAGCAAATACAATATTTTATTTTATTGAAAAAAACCAAATTTTTGAGATATTACGTTAGTTTTCTCATGATCGACCCTTTCAATTCAACTAAAAATCCTAGAACACATACATATAGCTATACACTACTTGGATCCAAAGTTATAGAGAGCCAAGACTTGAATTGATAAAATAAATAGATGCAAATGCATAATATAACATATTCGAAGATAGTTTGGCTCGATCTGTGTAACACCATCCGATATTTATGATTTTTAATTCGCTGGTTATAAGTGTAACTCGAAGGGTAAAGTACTTCCCACGAATGATCTCTAGGAAAAAACAGAGCGGAGAGTCATTTGACCCACAAGTGATAGATAGCTTATGTTGACGCAAAGAAACAAATTGATAAGATTTATAAAGATTTAAAAAAGATTGTCTAGCTAATAAAATATAGGTAATAAAGTATAATTAAAAGAGTAATAAAATAGAAAAGAATATCGAAAAGAAATTATTTTGGAGTAAGATCAATTGGTTGATCTAGATCAGAATGGAGAGAGAGCATGGCATTTCGGCGATCATGCTTGTTAAATTCTTTGAACTTATTCCAGTAAGTATCAAAGTTATCATCAATCTTATTTCTGGCACAACCTAAAAAAATAATTCAGGAACGGTTGGCCATTTTCTAGAGATATTACGGGAAAGGTCAACTGTTGTCCAGTGATTACTGTTAACATGATTAAAAATCAGAGGTTGTCGTTGTTTGGTTTTGTTGTTGGGAAGGGCGAATGGGAGAAAGGTTGTTGAGGGGGTGTTGGGGTTGTCTGAGTAGACGCAGACTGGTCGTGTATATGTGTCCGCAGCTAGTTGAGCACAGTCGGGTGTGTTAAACCACATACTGGCATCTGAACATACTGGGATGAAGTTGGTGTTGGTGTTGGTGTTGGTGTTGCTGGTGTTGCTATAATCGAGTTGAGAGCCATGTTGAATGATTTTTTCTAGTTGGCTTGTGTCAGTACCGAAGGTATTTGTGTACAATGTTTTGTATTTCGGCAAGGCGGCTAGCATATCCCTTTTTACAAGTGAAAACTTATTTTGATCTTTGTAGATCAAGTGGGCAAGGACCCGAAAACCACACCATCCGTCAGCAGTAGGGCTAAACCCACCCTTGACATCATCGATTATCTCATGAGAGACAGGAAAACCGGGCTGGAATTTGACCCTCTTGCCAACAGAGGTGCGATTATCATACTGGTAATCTTCTAAGGCGGTGGCGGGTCTTTTGAACCCATTTTTTTGGGGGGCATCGACTAAAAAGTATATAAGTATAAGACGATAGTTCTCTTTATGGATTCAATTACACTGTAAAATAAGAAAGCATATTACCTGGGTCGAGAGGCTCTTGTTTTATTTTTGTTGTTTTATTTTTGGTGGCATCGACTAAAAAGCATATTCGTGTAAGACGACATCCTTCCACATAAATTCAGTTAAAGTAAAATAAAAACACATCTTACCAGGGTCAAGAGGCTCTTGCTTTATTTGTTTTATTTTGTTTTTGGTAGCATCGACTAAAAAAACATGAAAGTATAAGATGGGAATCCTTTCTCATAGATTCAATTACATTGTAAAATAAGAACACATCTTACCTGGGTCGAGAGGCTCTTGTTTGTTTTTGTTTTGTTTTTTGTTTTTTTGTGTAGCTGCAGGTTTTCCCTCCCTCATTTTAGCTCTCAGTCTAACCATTGCCTTAAGGCCAGCCTAGTATTTCAAGATACATATTAGTACTTTGTTATGTTATTTTTTTTTATCTTACATGACCAGACGAAACACTGATCTTCCTCCAGTTTGCCCGACCAAAGTCTTTGGGAAGGTATTTGGGACGTGCACCACCCTTTCTTCTGCCAGGATATTTAATTTTTTCTGGGGCTTGAAAGTTAATCGAAGGGTGCCCAGTTTTGCCTTCGAATTCAGAAGTGACCTTCTTGATCTTATTCAGGAGGTTAGCCACTTGCTGGCTGCCCTCACAGGACCGAAACAGTGACTCGAGTTTAATTACTTCCTCCATCCACACCTCTGGTCTTTCCCCAAGCTGGAAGTTTTCCCGACAAGTGTTGTCCCTTGGCTTTACATTACGAGGATCAATAACCCACCTTTCAGGGATATCAGAAATATAGATATCCCTTCCAGCAGGCAAAGAATGGCGACAAGGTAGACCATACTGGAGCTTGTTCATGCATTCACAAACAATACTGCTTTCACATTTCAGTCGAACCTCTTGGTCTATTACCAGTAAAGCTCGCTTTGAGACCTTCATGAGCAGTCTAGACAAAAGCTTGTTTCGTCCAACAAGAGGGTCAACCGTGGTAGATTCCCTGATCTCCACATTCCGGAAGTCTCTCTCAAGCCTCTCGATATATCTTGAAATATTTTCAAAGGCGAGATCCAGAGAAGCTATTGCAGATATACCTCTCTTTAAGGCTTGATGGGCACTTTCCACTCTTTGAGATGTTGTGCATCCAAAATGCATTATCTTCTGAGTAAGATAACCTGCCCACTTCTCTTGGCATGTAATCCACCTGTCATGAAAATATGCCGAGACTGGCGCTTTCACATTGCCATTTTCTACTTCGGAACCAGCAGATACAGCGTTGAACTTATTCAGCGCCCAGTCAAACTCCTTCTTACTTTTGCTATGGATCATATTGGATATATATCCCGTTAGCTCTTCCTTTTTTTTGTACCGAGCCAACTTTTCCCGAAAAAGTCTTTTCCACACTATTCAGCATGTGCCAGTAACAAAGCAGCTTGCTGTTGTTCGGAAACACAACATCAAGAGCGTTCATAAGTGCAGCACACTTGTCTGTCACAAAAACTGTGCTAAGAGCCTTGTCTTCAAAAACAAGTGCCTTGAGTTGCTGGAGGAACCAAAGATATGTGCCTTGCTGCTCGTTAGAGACCCAGGCAAAGGCAATGGGAAACGATTTGAGGGTTTCTCCTCCGAGGTTGTGGATACCTTCCACGCAAATCAGCGGCATTGACAAGTTATTGGTAGAATATGTAGCATCTACCACCATAACTTCTGAGAAGCGACGAGCTCTCTCCATCATCTTCTGATTGGTAAAAAACACCCTCTCCAGCGAATTGTCCCCGTTTACATCATAATGCACCTGGTAACCTTTTGCTTCCATCATCTTAACAAGTCCAGTACCCGCATTCTGGGCAACAGGGGCAGAAACTCGAGCAAAGGCAGCCTTGATATTGTTGATATCGCTAACGTACAGCTTATGACCATCGTCTTTTTCGTCTGTGATAGCCCTTTGGATCTCACGAGTCTTGGCCTTTGTCTCAACAAGTTTAGATATCTGCTTGGCGTCTTCGGCAGTAACTCTCGACAATCTGCCTTTCAGAGTCGATTCCAAGCATTTGTCATCAAGAGGATGATTGTGATAGCTCTTCATTTCACTAGAAGCTTTCAAGGGAAGATATCCTTTGATTCCTTTCTTGTAAGATAGCTTTATCATGTAAGGACATCCGGTTTTCGAACTAGGGCGGATTTTTACGCGATCGCAGTCTTCAAGTTTATGGGTGTTTCTATAGTGACCACCCCTGGCACACTTTAAGTAAACCCGGGTTGGTTTACGGTCTTTAGTTGCAAGAGTGAAGTTGTTAGCAAGTGCATACTCCTGCATCTTAGAAATAGCCACAGTCATGTTGGAATAGCCATTGACTGGTGTAGTGGGAAAGTCTTGTTGAACGGGATAATATTCATTTCCGTCGATAAAAATTGATTCTTTATTGATAGTATTCATGTTGAAGTGATTTCTATTGAGCGATTGTTAACATCGTTTTTACAAATACTAATTTGTAATGATAGAAGTAGCACTCTTGTTTCTTCTGATAAAAACACTATATTATGTAAAAGATGTCTAATTCTTACAAGATGAATATATAAAAGAAAAGAAGGTTTTATAACGGGTCTTTCACTAATTTCTTCAGGACACAACTTTTTTTTGCTTTCAGGTACTCTGTTACCATTGAAGGTCGGACCATAGTCACTTTTCAGGAGTCCGGTACATAATTAAAATCGGTGTTTAGAATATTTTTAGTACTCTATAGAAACGTCGTGCCCGAGAGGAAAAGCGTCGGGCCCGAATAATAGCTGATTTTTTAATTACTGCTTTGAATAGCAGATATTAACCAGTAAATAGTTTAGCAAAACCAAGATACATTACGGTTAAATCCTTATTTTTCATTTTTATTTATTTTTCAAACTTTGTAAAGTATATAAAAGGTGCAGACAGATAAAATCTATAGTCAATGAAAACAAAACACAGGTATTTTTCAAATGTGATTATGAATATCAAGCAAAATAAGAGGAAGAAGAAGGCCAGTGGTCTAAAGAAGTCTGTATAGACATATATGGATAGATTTGACAAGCTTTCTTGTACGACATCATGTTTTTTGTTGTTGCTTTTCTTTTTTTGTGCGATCATTCTGTGTATATGCTACACTTGATTCATTGTGTAATGCGTTCTAACTTAATACAAATCTGTACACTCTTCTATTGACACTGCGACTTCAAAAGTGGCGGGGTGCGACCTTGATTACTCCTTATTATTTTAGGCAGCCGTGTATTCAGATTACACCACGCCTATTCAGAGCCATATATGGAGATCGACGATCCTCTCGACCCTGCTCTGCCACACCTTACCCTCTCTCTCTCTCTCTACTCACCCCCCATATCTCCATCTCCCATTTCATCGCCATTTTGCTCACAGCTACTGGTTGAGCCCGCTTTCTCCTTCTTTTTGCTTTTTATTTTTATTTTTATTTTCCACGCGGTCGATCTTTACTATTTACCAAAGACCTACGTCAGGAATCGCTACCAAGTGACACTAACACTAAAACTAACAATACTACGATTACTGTGCTTATTTTTTTTAAAAAAGCTACTTGTATTTAATACGCCATGATCGTCAATTCCATTTTTGTGTTGAAGCAGTGAAGCCACAGACTGTGTTATATAGCATCAGTAAAGTTTTTGTTTTTAGGATAGATCGAGACACTATTTGTTCTAGACTTCTGGTAAGAAAATGGTTGCTGCTGAATCGGCTGTTTACGAAACTGGCTATTCCGATTGCATAAAATGCTTATGACAAATGATGACTTTTTCTTTTAAATAATAATAACAGCAATGGTAATAATGATTTCCAAGAAACGTGTCACTAGTTGCTAAAACCCACGCGTGCTTGGATACATGGGTTAGATGTGTGTATGTGTATTCAGGCTTCTAAGTATCGCTCTTTTTCTTTTTTAAATATATATATATATATATATTAATGGAGTTTTTGAAAAAGGTTCTTCAGCCGAACATTCCACTAGAATATAGAATATAACAGAACAGAACATGGTCATGAATAGGAAATACATGTAGTACACATGGCTACATAAACGCGATGTTGGTTTTTTTCTCTCTAAAGTACAGTATAAGCAATTGGCTATATACTACTTTAGCTGAATTGTATCAACAATCTCAATTGATTTTTTTTTAAAAATTATTCTGGTTAAATTGAGGACAGCTGTGCTATCTATACTGCTTTGTCTAAGGCTAAGATCGATATATTTATGGTTTCTATAAAGCTGAATACTTGGTATATTAAACTTGTTTATCATGCTAAATGACTAAATGACTAAATGACTAGAATGCGATAATTAGTTGGGATTATACTCCAACAATTTCAAGGCATCCTGGCCAATCTTTTTATTCTTATGCTTTACAGTGAATAGACGATCCAAATTCTGATGATTCCGTTAATAAATAGAATATATCTGAGTTGTGAGACCTTCTTGGATGAGGACCCATTGCTATCTTTATTTTAATATACCATGATACTCCAAATGGGTATATCCTGATTGTATAGTTACCTTTTGTACATCTTCTGTTTTGTTCTTTATTTAAAATACCGAATAGTTATTATATACAAGACATTATTTGTGTATATATATATATATATATATTCAGACCAAGAGTCCAATGCATTATCTTGAGTTTATTGTTATCTGGGAATACATGTGTGTAACAATTCACAATGGAACTTGTCATCTTGTACAGGTTTTTCTTTAAGAGAATATTATTATATTTCATTTATTTATCCGTGGGACTTATTCCACAAACTGTAACGATGCTTATTAAGTGTGTACATAGATATAAAATATAAACACTTGACTGTCTTTTTTTTATATACAAAAAAAAAGAACCAAAGAATTAATAGCATATATAAGTAATGAACTTTGACTTCAATTGGTCCAATTGTATCACATATTGCCTTTATATACATTTCCATACATTAAAATAAAAAAGCATATTTAGATTATCGTGGTTCAAGTATCATGGCAGACAAAAGGCATTTCTTTTATAATTATAAATAAATTTGCACTCACATTGTATGTTTCCTGTTAAATGACCGGTTGCACACAAATATGTGCATTTGTCAAATATTAGCTTATTTATTAATCAATAGCCGATGTCAATGTGTGTGGTTGTGTGGTTCTTGGCTTGTAACAAAAAGAAGAATCTCCACACTCTGACTCTGAAGTATAAATAAATACAGGCACACATATCATCTCCTTTACTAACTCATCTACTCTCTTTATTTCTTTATATTTCTATATGCGTATATTATTGTGTCTCTGTCTGTGTTTGTGTTTGTGTCTGTGTTTGTGTTTGTGGACGACAAAAGACAACGACTGCGACTGCGACTACAACGGCGACGGCGACGGCGACGTCGAGGTACAAAGTTTATTCAATATATATCTTTCTCTCTCTCTCTTATTTTACTGTTACTCCGTTTTCTCGCTCACAAGCCATTGTTTTCTATTATTATTATTTTTTAATTTTAAAAAAAAAATAACCTCTCCCCCAAAAAAAAGAAAGAAAAGAAAAGATATTCCCTCACAGTTAATGGTTGTATGATTGATAACAAGATAATAACAGTAAAGATAAAACTGAGACCAGCTCTATTATTATGATTATTATTTCAATATATATATGTGTGTGTGTGTGTGTGCGTGTGTATATGTATGGGTGTGTGGGTGTATGGGTGGGTGTGTATATGAGTTTTGAGTAGATAAAATAATAAAACATAATATATGATATATATAGTATGAATAAAGAACAAACGAAATAAAGAAAGAGATTAGTAAAGTCAAGAGGTTCCTTTTGAATACAAGATAATAGATAGCAAAGAAAGAAGAAGAAGAAGAAGAAATGATACAGCAACAACAGCAATAAGAACATCAAAAGAAAGACTCTTAGCTTTGTGTAGGTTTTCGAGCAGCAACTCCAAACCAGGTTACATCAGAAGTATCCCGTCTAGCCGCCAGATAAGCCGATTTCCACGCTTGAAACTCCTCAGAAGACTCTAATCCGTCAACAGACATTACAAATGGCATACAGGCATCTACACTCTCACTAAGGATGTGCATAAATTCATCTGCTAAAATGTGATTATCTAGATAACAACAGAAGAATTGAACAAATAGTCAAGTCAAAATTAACTCTATTTATTTTATTTTCTTTATAGAAAATAAATAAAGGTCTTACTGTAAACTTACTCAGTACAACTGTCCTCTTTTCTTCTTGGATTATTTTAAACCCGGCTTCTGATAACATGGCTCCAAGATTTTCGTACAAATATGGGTTTTGCCCATGCTGTAAAAGGATAGACTTGACTAAAAAGATATAAGAATATTGTTATTTTGCAAGTTTACTTTTGTTTTGCTTAATTGATAGAATTTACTTACGTTTCTCTTGAGAGTAAAGGACAAGCTCATTTCCAGGACTCTGCTTAAATAACAATAATAATAAAAAAAAATATAAATACAAGACAAGACAAGAAAAAGATTATAATAAATATATAATAAATATATATATATATATAAACTCTGACCAATTATATTCAAGAAAAAGAAAAAGAAAAAAATAAAAGAAGGGGAGGGAATTGAGTGGATGAAAAAATCTTACGATTAATTGTGCTTCCATAAGTTGAATACATCCACCTGGCTTTGTGACGCGGTAGGCTTCTTTCAAAACCTTTGCCCATTGGCTACTTTGGAGAGCAAATGCTAGTGAACCCAAATGAACAAAATCGAAGTGGTTATCTTTATAAGGTAGAACGTCGGCTATATCTAAACATTCGAATGCAACATTGGCGGGGTGTATGGATGTAGGAAAGATGGCGGCTCTGTCGATTGCGATAAAGCTGGCAGTTGGATACTCAGTTGCTGTGTCCTACTTTGCCAGATAAGTCAGTAACCGCTATCTTTTATTCTTATTAGCATTCTTATTATAATCACCATTGCCCATGCTCCTGAGCCACATCCAATGTCTAATATCTGTACATGATGTTCAAAGTCAACATATTTTTTTATGCTATCAAAGAAATTTCTATAAGGTATATATATATACATGTAAATAATTAGATCTTATTTGATATACACGTATTATTTCTTATATATATATTTACCCTTCAAAGAGACTCTTTAGTGCAAAATGTTGCTATTTATTATGATGAATTTATTAGATATTTTTAAAGAATATTCTTATTATCATTTAATAGCAATGAAAATGTATATATCAAGGATATCTTAATATTCAACACCAACAAATGTGCCTATTTCTTACTGTGTTTGAGCGATCTCTCTCTCCAACTCTTTCCGGAATAAAACACGATTTCGCAGGGTCGTTTATCGTGTATCTCTTTTTCGTTGGTGCTTTTTCTTGTGAACGTTTGCTAGCATTTGATCCTTGTCTAGAACTGACGCGAGAATAATTACTTTTCTGTTTATTGCAAGACGCAACAGAAGCCTGAGAACCCATGTTATTTTTATTTTTATTGCTGTAGTTTTAAATCGTCACACAAGAAATTATTACAAAAGAAAAAGTAAAGTAAAGGAGAGGTTAAAGAGGTTAAAGAGGTTAAAGAAGTTGAATAAGAAGAAGAAGAAGAAGAAGAGAGAGAGAAAAAGAAGTCGAGAAAATATATATATATATAAAAGTATATGTATATATTTGTATCTCTAAATATATACATATATAGGTTTATAATACACCCACAATTATATTTATATTTATATTTATATTTATATTTATACTCTTGTATCTATTTTTTGATATCCATGTGATAAGACCAGATAGAGAGTATTACCTCTGGAAACCAAACTCAAGAGAACCTATCATGTAGGTGCACGGACTTGTCAAAGAGCTGTATATCAATCATATATACATATATTATATATACAATATGATTTATAATCTACAATTCTGAGCTATTAGAGCTTATATATATATATATTATCTTTGTTACCTCATCTTCCATTAAAGATAGGTAACCAGGCTGTAGACATTATACAGCTTGAACTTCTTCAAAAAAAAATCAATAGTTTCGTAACCAGGCAACAATATATTTTTTTCTCTCAATAAAAAATTAAAAATAAAAGACTTTTATATGTCAACCCTATATGTTTGTCGAATTTGATTAATTTATTTTTTCTCCTTGGTTTAACAAATATTTTATATTTTCCGGTATTTACAATTCCTCGAGCAGACTTGAATATCCGAATTACCTTATTTGATAGGTAAATTTTACTACAAGTTCACACCATCTCTTATTGAGGAAGGATGTTATTATTTTATTGCCCTGTTTAATTGTTTAAAGTTAATAACAGATCTGTCAATTGATTAACAGCCAACCAAATCGATTGTAGCTCTTTAAAGTTACAAGTCCAAAACAAAAAATTCACTTGCAGTTTATTACATTTATATACAACTCTGGTTACAATATGATTACGCTTATTGTATTTTATCATTGCGTATCACCTTGGTCAATTGGTGTATTTTGTTTTGTTTCGTATTGTACTAAACTATGCTATGCTATGCTATGCTATATGTGTTCTTGCTTTTGTTAAGATTGTTCTTATAAAAAGTTGAAGCAAATAAAAATACACTAACAAGGAAGCTATTTTCTTATACCATATATTCTCACTCATCTATCATCAATAAATTTAATTTATTGTGAATTCTTATTCAGTTATAACCACACACAAAGCTAATTAGTATATGACCAAAAGATATTAATTATTACTTTTTTTTGGGTTCATCACACACACACACACTTACATAAGCACCTACATACACATTATATACACATATAACCATTTCAAGAAGTAAAGTCGCTTGGTGTGGACAGACTAAAAGAGCAAAAATTAAAGTCATATTATTGGACGAGAATTTTAATTAATTTTGTCCCTTTTTTTGCCCTTTTTTGAACTTTTAGTCTATCCACACCAAATGATTTTGAATTTAATGTCGATTGATCCAAAAATAAAAATAAAAGAAGTTGTTTGAGGCTATTTGAGACTGTTAGGGTCGATGCCTTGTGTTTTTGTCACGGGAAAATCAACAAACGTTATATAACTTAGCTTGGACGGTTTGTTCAGGAAGCACATCTGCTTTTCCTTGTTCCTGGATACCCAATGAGTCCAAATTATTCATCTGTACATCACGTACTTTCATTATGTAAGCATATCAAATATGCGAAACCATTTGTTTCGGCCTTTGTAGCGTGTTGGAATATCAATGACTCGAAATTGCCCTTGGATAAACTTTCCTTCGTCATCCATCTGCAATTCTGACAAAATGATTGTCGTCTTGATTGTGTGAACGCCAAATACCTTGGTTTGTAAGAATGTGTTGAAACTTGATTTCGTGTGGGTATTGGCGATGCCTTTGAGAATGTCGATCATACTGTGATCTTGTTTTACGCTGTCATAAATGGTCTAGAGTATCTTTTCTTTGTCGTGTCCTGACAAGCCTTCAATGACCACACGATCACCACCAGTCCAACCGTAACCGAGTCCATCTGCAAACCATGGTTTCCCTTTTTCCCAGAGTTTCGGATCTATATCTGCCAGAGCACGGTGTTTCAACTCGCATTCGCATCAGTCGAAGCAAAGCAGACCTGTTTGATGGGCAAATGATTGAAAGGTAGGTACGATTCGACGCACCCAAAATGTTCGTTCATAGTCTGCTCCAAAGTGAGTCATTATTGCTAAGCTCGGTCCCAAGGTTGACGCAGTGCAGTTGTCGACAAAATTGGTTAATATAAAGCAAGTGGAACCTTACGAACAGCTTGGACAGCTTGGAAGTATACAATGTCACTCTTCTTGCCAAACGCAAAAACACAAGAAAAATTTCTTTGTCAAAATTCAACTGCTTGTAAGAGAACAATTCAAAAACACGGTCTGAAAGATCATTATACTATTTATTAACAACCAAGGTACGTCTTTTTAAAATATAAAGTTATCTTCACCCATACTAACTTTTTAGACTTTGTTTTTATTTCTCAATCAATTTTTTGGTAATTTTAGGGAGACGACATTTTGATTCTACCGAACCACAAATTGTGACCTTTTTGCCAGCATAGAGTAACTCTATCTGGTTCCTAAGGATACAGAATATTTGTATAGAGCTTTTCTTTTGTACTTTGCAAAAAAAAAGAGCGGATGAGAATTACTTACCAGTTGGTGCTTTCAAATTCTGGGAATATAAGTAAGTGAAAGGAAGACAAAGACATTATAACCATAAGAAGGCCAATAAATAGTAAGATATTCTGCAAAACTGGCTATTGATATAGTGTATTTGTGACTAATTACTATTTTTTATAGCCAAATCTAAATTTATGGCTACTAATTGAATATATTGTATGAATTTCGGGGCAGGTCGTTTTACCCTGAAGGATTAAAGAAAGACACCGGGTCCCGGGCAGGTAGTCGCAATTAATTAGTCCGGTTAGATAGAAACGTTGTCCCCGTCAGATTGCTGAAAGTCCTGGTCAATTTGTTGCCACTTTTGGACCCAGTCATACCTTTGCTGAATGCTTTCCTCGCTGTTTCTTTCTACAGAATGGAACTGTGCCTGCTTAATGGATAGATTGCACTACGTTGTCATGGAGATATAAACGATACTATGAAAAACTCTAAGATCTATAAAATTTTGCATTAAACTTTTTACCACTTCAGTCAAAACTGCAGAAGGATTCTCATCAATATAACTTAAAATAAGTTGCTTCTGATCCTCCCCAAGAATACGACGTCGTCCTGATTTTTTTCTTTTTTTTTTCAAAAATGCTTTTAGGATCTTCATAGTGTCGCTTAACCCATATCTGGGCTATACGAATAGAAATGCCTAATTGCCTAACAGCAGCTGAAGCACTGAGACATTTACTGAAAGACAAATGAAAAAAAATCTAGTTTTTCTTTCTTTCGTCATCTGAGCAGGATGTATATCATTATTATTGCATAGCTCCATATAATCATCTACATGATTCTTTAATCTCTAGCTGAATTCAGTAAGGTAGGTTTACGAGGTCTCTCTCTCTCTCTCTCTCTCTCTCTCTCTCTCTCTGCAGGCTTATTCTGTAGAAACCGAGTATGAGAAACCATTGCTTCGGTAGTGAAAGGCTCCTCGTCAACACAAAGACCCATTGGCTCAACTCCATGCTCATCAACAACATGTCCTTGTCCATCTTCTTTAAAAAATAAATAAACAGAAAATCAGGAAGAAAGAAAAAAGAAAAGGAAACCGAGACCATCACTTTTATTTGTACCAGAATAGCAGACACAAGTAACCAAAGTTCATGAGTGAAAACGTCTATTTTTTGGATCGATCGACATCAAATTCAAAATCAGCGACCTTACTTCTTGAAATGGTTGTACATATACATAAAGAACTCTTAAAGGAGATGGATTAAATCTACGCTCTATAGTCCTTTTCAAGTAAAAAAAAATGAAAAAGAAAAAGAAAAGGTATATCCCAAAGATTATTTATAAACCTTTAAATATTGAAGCTTTTCAGCTTAGATTTTCTTTTTCCTTAGTGCCTACTCTGTAATATATATATAAAGGTAACTACTTGAACCCCAAGTCTTTTAGATCTTTTAAAATTTGAGACATCCTAATAATCATAGAGAATGTGCCGGTCTATAGTAAAGTATACAAATAAAGCCAATATATATATATATATATATATAAATGTGTGTGTGTGTGTGTTATATTACAAGACAGTGAGTGTGAGTGTGAGTGTGAGTGTATAAGTGTATAAGTGTATAATAGATGTGTAGATGTGTAGATGTGTAGATGTGTGAGTATGTGCGAATGGGTGTGAATGTGTACGGTTTTATGGGTAGATGAGTAAGTGGGTAGATGAGTGGGTAGATGAGTGGGTAGATGAGTGGGTAGACGGGTGGACGGAATTATACATAGGAAAACCTACCAACCACCATGTTGATAACTGCCTTGATTCATATTGCCAAAACTGTCAAAATCAAACCCATTTTGGTGGTGGTGGTGGTGGTTGCTGTCAGGCTCTTCGATTTTTATGTGATCTACAGGTGTACCCAGGTCATAACTAATATCCTGATCAGCCAAAAAGGCCATTATGTCTTCATGAGTTGCTCCCTGCAAGAAATCCGGCCCAATTGTATTATCGCTCTGAGCATATGCTATGTGAAAAGGGTACATACATACACATATATTAATAACCAACTAATACGCATATACACACACACAAAATATAATCTTTACCTTGTTGTACCAAGTATTCCAGTGAAGGATCCAGCCACTCCATTCCTTCCATATTTATCTGCTCTGTCCCATCATATACACTCTCATCACATATACTCTCGGCGACATGATTGATTGGTTCAGTCATGGTCTCAAACGGATTGTCATCTTCTCTATCAGGAGTGGCTAGGGCAGATGAAGTAAAGGGAGCATAGGAGCGGCGTCTATTACTGAATCCCCCTTGGCTACCAATGCTCAATGTCATGGGGCTGCTGGAGGGATATGCTCTTCGGCGTGAGGAGATGGTAGACGATGGTCCTAGACTCGGAAATCCACCAAAAGAGGGACTGACAGGCGAGGATGCAGTATCGGGTAGAGATGCGACACCACTCATCTGTATCTGGGGCTGTAGTTTAGGTGAAGGGGATGCAAGTCGTGGCGAGCTTGGGGCACCATAAGGAGAAAAGCGGCGGGTGTGCGAGGATGATTGTTGTGGTGATGGTACTGATACCGATAACGATGCCGGTGGTGACCCAATATGCATATTAGCAATAGATCGATGCAGAGAAAAAGATAAGCCAGGTGAGCCGGGCAAAAACGACGTGTTTGGTACAGAAGAAGGGCTGCTGCTAAACAGCGGGGACTGGGGTGTGTTTGCAGACATCATTGGCGAAGTGCCCTGGAAAGACTTTGGTCGTGAAAATTCACCAATCCGGCGAGAAGCAGGGGGAGGTTGGGAGAACCGCTGCGCACGGCCACTTCTGGCAGCCTGGATATTATCGCGTTCGTCTTGGAGTCTCTGCAAGAGCACGGCTTTTTTACCTGTTGCCGGTCTGCCGCGCTGTCTCAACATATCTTTTAATTCGGACACCGTGATGTCTTCAAAGTTGGCCTTTTCTAGTTGATCATCCAGACGGCGCTGGTGCTGCTCAGCATCAAATGGCTGGGACATCCCCCCGCGCTGGATCCGTTGGATCTGGATGGGCATTGTGCGAGATGGGAAAGAAGTTGCGTGAATAGACTGAGAGCCTTGAGCATCAAAAGGTATCGGGATTCCTCCCTTTTCGCCTACACTACCACGTCTAGGCGTTTGCTCTGAGAAGGGTCTACCGTCAAGAGACACTCTACGTTCCATATTCGCCTGTTGAGCGTCTGTGCTGGAATTAAAGAATTGAGTGTCTTGGCCTTGAAGTTGATGTGCTTGCGGCTGAGCTGGTGGTGGGTGGGTGTCTTGACCAAGCGTTGGCATAGAGGTTCCGAACGAGAAGTCGGGTGTGTAAGACTGTACTTGACCAAAGTTGCTAGGAGAGTCTGTGAACGAGGCTGACACATGTGCGGGGGCAGTAGTTCCTTTCTTCTTCTGGGGTTTTCTGGGATAATTAACTCTGAACCTTGCTTGAAGTTCATTGAATCTACGCCGGTGATCGATTTCTGTCGGGACGGACGAGGATATCTGGAAAGAATCACCAGTGGGAGGGGTTCCGATTGGTATCGGGTTTGTTCTATTGTTATTAGATGTTGGCGGCTGTGATCGCCTGTTGATATTTGCGTTGCCGTTACTATTGCCGTTACTGATGCCATTACCGTTGCTAATTCTGATGGTATTGTTGCCGAGGCTATTGAAGTGGTCGTTGATGTTGGATGATTCATCATGTATTTGAGCGTTTGATTGAGAAGTACTGAGTTGACAAGATAGCTGATGTGAGTCTAAGGCCTTGAGAGAGGATGTTTCAGCATGAGCAGTAGAACTGACCGGGGAATCGAACATTGCAGTAAGATTCGACCGAGAACAAGGAGGTAAATCAATGTGATCTTTCTTATGTTCATTTTCTTCTTGATCAATGCGCATTTGCATTGCTCGCTGTTGGTTCTGTAGGAACTGTTGCTGTCGGATGAATGAAGGGTCTGAGAATAGGATTTCCTGTTCTTGGCGTTCCAAGAACGGTTGAGATGGATAACCAAGTCTTGGGGAGTCTTGTTGGCGAATGTTTTGCGGTGTAGAATATGACTGTGAATTGTGTGTTGGTGTGGTGAAATCCCATTCAGAAGATGAGTTGTTGTTGCTGTTGTTGTTATTGATATTGAATCGTTGGATTAGGTTGTCTTTAAGAAAAGATGAGTGCAGTGAAAAGTCATTGGCGTCTGACAGGTAAGAAGATGTAAGAGAGGGATCATGATTCATTTGCTGCTGAAGGTAGGATTGACTTTGGAATGAATTGGAATTCGATCCATCAAGTCTGTCCTGGTTAAAGGTCTTCTGGTCAATGTTGCCATTGTTGCCTACACTGTCGTGATAGTACATTTGTATAGCCTATTATTGTTGTTGTCTTTAGTTGTTTCTATTATTTATCAATAAAATAAAAGAACGAATAGAGTGCAACAAGTCAGGTCAGGTGCAAAACAAGCTATAGAAGGCTGTAGTACAATATGATATTTACTGTTCTTTTCCTAGTTCGTTTTCTTCTACTCTTTCTACTGCTTTCATTACCTTTGTTTCAATGTATAGATAAATAGATAGCTAAGAAAAAAGATAAGGTATTGAATATAGTGGTTTATGCACAAGAAGTAAAATAACAATTTTAAGAAAAAAAAATAGCCAAAAAAAAACAAAAAACAAAACAAAAAAAAAATGGGTTACAGAATCATGTACTGTATATGTTTTTTATAATATATAATTTACGCACTAGCGATATTTTATTTTATTTTTTGTACTATGTTCAATCTCCGACATCTTCCACGTGTCTTTAAAAGACCTTTCATAATACAAAAATAAAATCTTTTTTGTTTTTTTTTTTTTACGATGTAAACCAAGATAAAAGTAAGATCCATAAGCAAAATTTGCGTCAATGAAGTTTATATCGTAATATATTAAATGTCCTACTTTATTCTTTCGCAAAAGATACAAGTCCGAAACGCAACAAATGTAATGTTAATTTTCTATACATTTTCTTCTGCTGTTATGCATTTTTTTTTGTATTTATTGGTCGGCTACAGTGTAAAGCACTGAGTGATCGGTTTAGTATGCCTGAATTTCTGTATTACAAAATTTATATGAGAGGGAAAAGGTAAATGGAAACTAGGAGAAAAAAAAACTACTCCAAGAAGCGATTTTTTGCTGCTATACAATATAAATATATATATATATATTGAATTAGATAAAAAGAATAATGCTATAGTGTATTTTTAAGCCGGCTACGGAATTTCTTCTACTATGATTTTTCTAAAGGTGTAATTACAAGAGATTTACATAATTAACTTGACAGCTTACAGTAAAATACTGGTCATATGATATTTCACGATGGAATCATTAAAAACCCACTCACAAGTTGCAGTTCAATAGTTATTTACAATTGTACTTGATCTGTTGACCCTGACCAACTAACTCATCCGAAATCTACCACTCACTAAAGCGGTCTGTACTCTAAAGAGATTGTATAGCCAATAGTGTTGTTTTCCAATTACTTGGATGTCGATCATTTTCCTATCTGAGAATTACATTTACTTATTTCTTTTATATATATATGTGTGTGTGTGTGTTCTACAAGGAATTATATAAAGCTGTAAATCTTCAGCAGTAACCGAGGACTGTGGGAAAATATGATCTAAAACAAGATCTTGGCTTAGACTTCTCGCTCACAGAAAATTTTAAAGCAGTTGAAACAAAATAAGAAGACCAAGAAAAGAAAAGAACTTTAAAGTGGGAAACTGAAGGCGTAGACATTTGTGTCAAGTGTTACCTGAGAGTCCAGAATCTCTAAAATGCACTTTCAAAGAACGAGAAAGAGAAAAGATACGACTATTAGCAAATTACCCTTGCAAAGTGACCTTTTATTGCAATTATTCAAAAATATATCGCTACCTTTTGCGTCTTTTAATATTGAATAATTTAATGGGAAATTTTCTAGTCCACACTGCTTATCTAGGATAATTTCATCCATGAAATAAGGAAAGAAATTATATGTATAAAAACAAAGGTTTTAAACAGATTTATATTTATTCGAGTATTTTATTTTCAACCACCCACTGATTAATTTACTCAGGAACAATTTTCTTTTACTTTAATATCCTTTTGTGACATTAATTTGGTCAGCCAATAAAATATTACTTTTAACAGTCCAATTGAGCTCATCATACAATATAAAGTCACAACAGCAGTTTTTATTTTAAAAAAAAGAAGAATATAAAGGTATTCAGCCCTAGGCACTAATTAAAAGGGAAGTGGAAGAGAAGCTATTTACTTTTTCTTTAATAGGTTGGAACAAGGAAAGTAGCTTTAGCTTGTTCGTTATTATATACATTATATATACATATCAGCGTCCATATTTTCTTTCTTAGCTGTAACTTTGTTAGCCAAGTCACTCACTTGTCAGTTCAAATTGATTTCTTGAGAATCTTCTAATGTTGAGTGTTACACATCCACAAAGAGAGAGAGAGGAAAAGGAGATGTGTTTAGCCAATTGGAAAATTTTGCCCCATCAAATAAATATTTGATAATTTAAACCCAATGATTGGCTAATTAATGTCGTACAACACATCATGTTGAATTCCGATATTGTTTCCTAGACAACCGACAGGTCTATGTTGAGTAAAATAAATAAATAAAAAAGTTTTTTTTTGTTTTGTTTTCCAATAATAATAATAAACAATTCATTAAGGCTCTTGTCGGTTTTTAGAGACTAGAAGAAAATCAAGATATATCTTGTGAGGATTTTTAAAGAAAAAAACACGTAAACAACCAAAATAAAGTTAAGTGGGAAATCTCAGCAGCTTTCAAAAGAAAAAAAAAGTTTAATATGAAACGAAGCATGGCATAAAATATATCAGCTGTTTAGACATCAGCGTCTCTGTCTGCTTGTCTTGTCTGAATAGCCTAAATAACCAAACAGGCGACTTCAATTTTTGTATATATAAATATATATATAATTATTATTTTCATGTTGGAAAAAATAAAAATAAACAACTGAATTGCATCATATTCAACAATTATCTGTGTCATTTTTCGTGTTTGTGGCCATGACAACAGCCATTCACATCAGACAAAACGTCTTCCAAAACACTAGGGTTAAACGTGTATTTTGAACCTTTTTATTATTATTAAAATGAAATTAAATGTCATTGAAAGGAAACAAAAAAGAATTAAAATTAAAACTAAATAGCATATATATATGTGAAGAGAGAAAAGAGATAGAGATAGATAGATATAGAACGGTTAATATACTTTTGCCTCAAAGCTTGTGAATATTCACACGGTCTGTAACTGGGAAATAATAATTCAAACAGATGATCTTCCGTAGGACCTTTATCAGTGCGTTTAATATGCTATTGGGCGGCCAAAACAAAAGAATCGTGTTTCCGCACAGATGTAGCCAGCTATCACGCCAATAAAAAGCATTTAATCCAATTCATATAAAAACAAGCGGATCTTATCTCTACCCTGCATTTCCCTATCACTCTCTCCACAACGCTATCTCTAAACCAAAATAAATAAATAAAAAATACCTTGATGCCATTCGCCAAAGTCTTTCAACAAAAGTGCTATGCACCAGCTAAGCTTGCTGTCGATCAATGTGGGGTAGACGTGAGGCAACTACCAAATGAAGTCATCTCCCGAGTTCTCTCCTTCTTGCCCGTTCCTGATTTACTTTCGGTTTGCCTTGTGAACCCAAGGTTCTATCTTCTTGCCATCCCAATCTTGGTTAGTCGTCTCAGGGACACTCGTGAATGTCACCTCCGTCTATTCTTTGACCAGGAATCACGGTGGCGATACACTGTAGACATGGTCCTCATCAAAGCTACAACTTCAAAGTTTACATTTGTCCCGATTGATGCTTCTGCAAGTCTTCGTCTGTTCTCTTCAAAAATACTTCGGAACCCTGTCCTCTCAAAGGTCGCGTGGGCCGGAAAATCATTTCAATCGATGTCTCAACCCATCAGCCAAAACTTTTTATCTCGTTCCATTTCTCTCAACATAAAGCAAGCCGGGCACTGCTTCAAAACAACAGATCCAAAGAACAAAAAATACTCATTCACATTCACACACAGTGTATTTAATACACCTGAAAATACCGTCAAGGCACGTCCTGGAGAACGCTGGGTAGTGCCACAGTTGTTTGAGTGCGACCCACTCTTTGTTTGCCAGCGCAAGGGGGGCTGGACTCGTCTGTTCGAGACACTTCACTCACGGCCAACCCCTCGTGGCCTTGATGGCCAAACCTTTACTTCATCAGCCAAATTGCCACCAAAGGGACAGACAGGCGGACTTGAAGAGTACGGTACACTACCCAATATAGATGGTGCCATGGCAAAATCAAACCTTGTATCTACCACCTTGAACCTAGTTGCTTATTAGTCTTTTACTCTCTTTATCTCTCTCTCTCTCTCTTTCTTTTATTTTTATTTAACCTTTTATTTTTATACATTCTGTACATATCATCCTGCATTACACCCTATATACACACACACATATATTCACCCACCCATATACACCTGTAAACCCCTAATAAACTCTTTTACTATACATTGACATACATATAAATAATGTAATTATCCAATACATTCAGAAATTTACCCATCTAAATACAATTACAATTTTTTTATATTAATATGAATATACACAAGTAGTAAAAAGTAAATGAATGAACGAATGAATGAATGAATGAATCAATAAATACAAGTTTATATATATTGGTTTAACCAAAAAGCAAATAGAGTACAAACATATATTAAAATAAAATAAAAAGGCAACAAATAACAATAGTAGTAGTAGTAATATAGATGGTATGGCTCAGGGAATACCTTTGGGTGCTACTGCGTCGATCTCATATCCTTTGCCAGGGTTACCGGTTCGGAGCTGTGGCCAATTTCCTTACAAAGAGCACTTGCCTGCGCTGACTACCTTCAATAGGTCTGCCTGTAGCACCTCCCCCAACCACTCTTCTTCCTTCCCTTTTACCTCTCTCTCTCTCTCTCTCTCTCTCTCTCTTTCTCTCTCTCTCTCTCTCGCTCTTAGTACTGTGCGATATTTGGTGCGCTCATAACCATTTGCCCCATTTCACTCCATCCCATTCAATCTTCTCCCATCCCTGCCATGCAACAGAACTCGCGCTTTACGGTCACTAGAGATCGTATGTCCGAACTCAGAGTGAGTCCATTCGTCTCACCCCTTTATTTCTTTTCCTATGCTCTATATCTCTATTTCTTCTTTTTTTGTATTCTTTTTTTGTTCCATTAGTCTTGACATGCTTGGCAAAATTTCTTGGCACAATAATAAAGAGCAAATATATATATATATATATATATATTCTTTTTAAAAGAAGAATTAAATAACAATAATAATATGATTATTACTTTTAATATTTATATAATAACAACCCTACTTACTAAAAAAATTAAACAACCATGATATATTGTCCCATTTGAATATTTTAGAATACTTCTGATAGGTACGTCTTGTTACATTCCATAATAATCATTGTACTTAATTTCAACAACAATAAAAAAAAACAAAACAAATGTGTTTAAAGTAATGAAGAGTTTGGACCCCCTCGTATTCCAGACGGTTATCGTTCCTCGTCGCAGTTGATCGGACGACATAGATTAAACGAAGAAGAATTCGCCCAACCGAGATCATCAGTTGACTTGGGACATCAAGGTCGTAAAACCGAGTCTTTTGAGATGCAGACTAGAAGCCGTACAGTTTTGCCACCAGCTGATCTCAGCACTACTGATGGTTATTTGACAGAGGTATATACACACACGCACACACACAGCCATAGCATATAATCATTTAATTTTGATTAAATGAATAATTCTTTTTTTTTTAAAAAAATTTACAAGGTCAATGTGCTCAGAGAAGCTATCCGGGATGTTAGCAACAATATTACCCTTATTGGAGAACTTCATAATGCTTCATTGGTCAGTATCAATGAGACACAGACTGCCCGAAGCTCTCAACAGCTCGAAGAGTTTGTCGCAGACACTTCTCGACAGAACAACATCATTAAGGCTAGAATTAAAGGTATGTTCAAACGAGAAGTATGTGGCGTACCTAATGTGGATTCTAACGACCGTTACTCCTTTAAACAAACAAATAATTAAAATAAAATAAAATAAAATAAAAAGCCATGGAACAGAGCAACTTCAACCTCAAAAACAATTCTGATCTAAACATCCGAAGGTCTCATGTATGTTCCCCTTATCAAAAGAAAAATAGAAAAGAAAAAGAATACTGAAGACGAAGAAGTGTTTAAGATACTCAAACTCAACTATATCAAATAATATCAAATCAAATCAAACTAAATAATAATAATATAGGTTGACAGCCTTAAAAAGGAATTCGTAAGAGTTATCCGTAGCTATCAGGATGTTGAGCGCACATACTCGCAAAAGTACCGTCAGCGTATCGAAAGACAAATAAGAATCGGTAACTCATCTCAGATCCTTAAACAACCAAAAGAAAGAAAACAGATACAGGCACACAAGCACTCCTGCATTGTCCTTGTAACCAACCTTTATTACTCTTTTTGAAAACTAATACACTTTATTGATATATATTGTTTTAGTGAAACCTGATGTAACTAGCGAAGAGATTGATGCCGTAATTGAATCTGACCAGCAGAACACCATATTTGCCCAGAGTGTAAATACAAGATAATAGTTATATATAAATATATTGCGTATTGACTTGTATATTCTCAAATAGTTGATGCAGTCTAGCCGTACTGGACAGGCACGCGCTGCCCTGAACGAGGTCCAGACACGCCACGATGATATCAAGAAGATTGAAAAAACTATAATTGTAAGTCAACCTTTTTTTTTAAAATAATAATAATAATAATAATCTATATGTAAAGCCTTTGTGGAGAGAAATCGAGATAGATTGTAGTATCTAACCATCATACTCTTTATCATGGATGTCGATAATAGGAACTTCAACAATTGTTCATGGACATGCAAATGCTTGTTGAGAACCAGGGCCAAGTAATTGACACAATCGAACAACACGCAGAGACAACAACTGGTGACTTGGAACAAGGTGTCAAGCACATTGACAAAGCAATCAAATATGCTATTTCCACCCGTGCCGTAAGTAACCAAAATTATAAGCATAATAATACATGTGAACAAAAAGAAAGAAAAAATGCCTTGGTTTAATTTGTATTATTATTATTATTATTATTATTATTATTTTAAAAATGGAATTGAATGCTTAGAAAAAATGGTGCTGCTTTGTTATTGCCATTATCCTTTGTGTGGTTATTGCTATCCTCGTCTGGTGGTTTGCATTCGACCACAAGGTAAGATAAAGGCCATTCAAATACAATCATACTAATGCGCTTTATATTCTGTACAGGGTGTCGGAGGAAACTAAGAACATAAAAATAATAATTATAATAACGATAACGATCACGATAATAATACTACTATAATATAGCAAAGCGGGAGGCAACTTATTTCTATCATTACCACGTACACCTCCCGCACAGTAGCAAATGTTCCCAAGCAGATCAAATTCCATTTTATCTGTTAAAACCTTCTCTCTCTCTCACTATCTTTCACTATCTATTTCTTTATACCTCTTTGTTAACTCTTATAATATGCTAAATTACGTACCATCTAATACTGCTTTGCGACCAAACTTAATTGCCAAGCATAAATATTAATTTCATAGAATGTTTCCCTTTTTCTTATTATTTAATTATTTAATTAACTATCGTTTTATTACTTTGCTTTACTATACACAATCAATTGATTGGAATCCCATATACTGGCAGTAGAATCTGACCTTTATCTTCCTCATACTTCTCCTCTATTTCCTCCCCCTAGAAAGCTTGCGAAATTTCAAAGGAAAGAAAAAAAAAATACTCCCCACTTTCAATATAAGCACCTAATTTGACTTTTTGTTTTTATTTTTACTTGAAATTAACAAGGTATTATCGATAGTCAAATCTAATCTTATCCCCACATTCTTAACGTGTAGATAGTAATTACATCTCCACTACTACCTTTCCTATACACTCCTTTTAAGCTTATTTAGAAAGGCCTTTCTTTTTATCATTGACCAAAATTTGGAATATATTAGAACCATTTGATATGATACACGATATCATTGTGCAAACTTCAATAAAGGGAGCAAATCAAGAACCGTATCGATAATCATGCAGGATCATACATATCGTGAACATTTCACTCCTTTCTTTTTCTTTAACCTTCTCCTCCTTGTACACTTATTCTACAAAAGAAAAAAAAAGGAAAATGTATCAATGAAACAAAATATACCCTTTTCTCTCTCTTTATCTCTCTCTATCTACCTAATTGTTTACCTTTGAGTGCAAGAAACGAATAAATATAAAAAAAAAAACTCACTATGTTAGCATTAGACATTTGGCTTGTAGCATTAAAGTCAAAAAAAATACTATATTTTTAAATCTAATATATAGAACCAATGAAAGTTTCGTAGATTAAGGCACGCATACACCCACTGGGGTGCATTGATACTACCATCTTGAATAACGAGTGTTTCAACCTTATCCAACCAAATATACCCTCAAATCTATGACTAGATCTCTATTCCCCTTGTATATTTGTTTTATTTTCAAGGTGTAAAATCTCAGCACATTTATACAGTGCAATTAACAGTAAGTTTTGAAAAAGATAAATTAGACAATTTTAAAACCACTGGCTAGAGTGTTTTCTAAAATATCAATACCCAGCTATCATTTATGCTATAGCGACTATATTTATTATGGTATGCCAAGACATTTGAACCATTGCTCCCAATAAATTATCTCCCGGTACTTCTTCCGTTCTTTTTTCCCATAGTATAAAATATGTCACTCGTCTCTAAAATTAAGAATATCTGACCTTTATGAAGCTGTCTTTATAAGAGAAATATCTTATTTGACTTGTAATTTATAATATAAATATAATTAAAGCGCTTGAATATAATCATCTTATCTTTAATTCAAGCGACAGCACTTCCACCTATCTTAATGCCAAACACAACATTATATATATATAACTGGCAAATCCTTAACAAAAAGATGTTTATCTGTGCGTAAAGAAAAAGAAGAGTACAACTAGATTCTTTTATTCTTTTAATATAATAAAGATATAAACAAATCAAAGATATTAGACAGGATGTGAACTTGTAGCAATTTACAGCAAAACCGAATTGGAGAGTGCTTGAAGCAATTTGGGATGCAAAGACTCTGAAATTTAAAAGTATCCAAGTTATGCAAAGCAAAATCAACAAATATATAGTAGTGGATAAATTGCTACAAGTTTACACCCTTTATCTATTGTATATTTATTATTTTACTGTTTGTAAATCACTGGAAGATACCAGTTGATATAAGCTGTTGTTAAATTGTAAAAGGGCATCTATATTCGGCTAAATCAATATTACGAATATAAGTATTTTGCTTTATGTACACGAATGTTTACATGTACCTTGAGTAGGTCGTGACAGATTGCATCCAGTATCTGATAGTCCTTCTGAAGTAAATTACATATGGCTTTGGTTTCCTCGCCTAAATATATATATAAGTATTTATATAAATAAAATGCCTATATACTATCAAACAAAGTACCTTGTAGATCCTTGTATACAAGCCATGCTTCTGCAAGAGCTCTCAAAATCATGCCATTGTATTTCGGTATACTACACCAAATAATTAACTTTGGAACGCAGTGGTTATTATCCTACCGTGGCCAGCATTCAGTTAATATACAACCCAAGGTTTCTGCAGCTAGTTTATTTAAGCGGATTAAGCGATCTGTGTTTACTCCATTTGCATGCGGTAAGACAGAAAGCCCATGACATATTATAGAAAGTACTTCCTAGTAAGCATGATTCGATACACAACATGTATAAATATTTTTTTCAAGTAATCCCACAAATCTACTTATTATAGGATATTAGATATACCTTTAAGTAGCGCGTTCCAACCAACCCGATTTTTTTGTAAAGCGTCGACACAGGTTGCAACAACACCAGGAGGAACGCTGGCTTATGTCCAGCATGTCTATTCCCAAGCAACACTCCATGTGTCAACACCTTCTCAAGCAATATTATCCTTTCCTTGCTCTCTGGCTTCTTTGTTTTCACAATGAGATCAATTAAGCACGGATATGTAACTTCTAGTAACCCCAGGTCACGATCATCAGATAAATATTTGAGACATTTGAATAGCACCTGAAATCATAATAATAAACGCACACTGAATTTATTAATGGTGCTGCTATTTAGTATAGCAGACAGATGCTTCTTACAAACAGAAAGAAAGAGTGTAGCAAATAGATTAAAAAATATAATTAAATATAAAAACACCACTTGCCTCTATAAATACGCCTTCTACTCCAGACATCAAAAGAAAAGTGCTAGGCACCTTAGTAATAAGTTTGTGCATAGCTAAAACTCCCCTCCTCTTGTATTCTACGTCATAGTCATCTGCAATAAGAAGAATGACAGGAATAACCTTGGAAAATATTTCCTTGACAGAGGATTCCTTTGTCCATCAAGACGCATAAGCCATAGTAAGAGAGAAAACACCACTGTCTTTCAACTTACAGTGCCTGAATCTACAGCCCATTCGATAATATCAACTGAATTATATCCATCCTCATCATTTTTCCAAGCCTGATTTATAGAGACTTCGCTGTCTTTTTCTGGATCAGCATAACGACCCTTGGCACGCGGATTGAGAAGGTGATGTGTTTCTTGTAAAAACTTTGGCTTTATCCGATTTTCAAACACCTCGACAAGATGATGTGTTGCTATATGTTTTGATTTATCCTCTTGAGCATTCTCCGAATGATTACAACATTGCTTATAAAATGACTTGACGAATGCGTCACAAGCAGACATTCTAGGTTCTTTTTTTTTATTCTTTCCAAAAAAAAAGAAGAAATGCATTGCCGTATTTGGAGAAGCGAATGTTCTATAGAGATTAGTGAAATAAAATGTCCGCTAGAGATGACATCACTCAAATTGTGTGGCTTAAAACGTTCAATTGGTTCAGGTTGTTCACGGACTGGTCTGTTCACTTTAAAGCTTCCTCTTGCAGACAGAGCAGGCACATTGATCTTGCACCGCCAATCTTCTGCTCCAAATACCTGACGGATCGCTCGATTGCATTGAATTAATAAAAAAAGCGCACCGTATACGTTAAAGTTTATCTTTTGCATTCGTCCTTCCGTCACTGTAGATTACGCACGACAATTGCCGGCAGAAAACAAGGAAAACGATCAATTCAACCTTACGAAAAACAATCATACAGACCTACATATATACATAACAAAAAAATATACAAGAAAACATAATACGAACAATGACAGATGTTATAGACGATAATTTTGGAATGGGAGAGACCGGTCAGTCGATTGGATTGCAACAGATGGCCGATTACTTTTTTTTGTTGACTAAGCGAATAAAATATATTTAGAGTATTTCCTTCCCGATGGAGACCAGATGTATGAAGAAGAACCTATTACGTAAGTATTGCCTCTATAAATATTTTATAATTATGATGCGCTGACGCGTCAATTTGATTAGTCAAGAGGATTGCTGGACAGTCATCTCTTCATTCTTTGAAGAAAAAGGTCTTGTAAGACAGCAGCTAGATTCTTTTGATGAATTTGTTCAGAACACGATGCAAGAGCTTGTCGACGAGAACTCCAATCTCGTTCTCCAGCACGTCGGAGGCGGTGGTGATGTGACGGTAAGAAAGTTGGCCCGTCCTTTCTGGAAGACAGCCATCAGCGCTGATTCTGTGGCATTAGAAACGCTACATCATCGATTTCGGACAAATCTATCTGTCCAAGCCTACGATGACAGAAGCCGATGGTAGTACACAACCAATGTTTCCCCAGGAAGCACGTATCCGTAATTTGACGTAAGGAGTTACAGCCAAGCTGTGCACACAGAATACATTCGGGTGAGCTTATGTGCATTTTGTAGTTATGCTTCGCCACTTTATGTGGATATGAGCAAGCGTACTCAGATTGCCATGCCCCAAGACCACAACAACCCAATCCGAAACCCTAATGACATGTTTGTGGATGAGAATGGAATGGACCGTGCGCCGATGACAAAGGTGTTCATCGGAAAGGTAAAAAACAACAACGAAATATACTAACATTACATATAGCTTGGATTGAGGAGGAAAATAAAAAAAAATAAGAAAGATAAATATGCTGATTACTGCACTCGCAGGTGCCAATCATGCTGCGGTCAACCTACTGTATCTTGCACGACATGCCTGAGAGTCAGATGCACGAATTGAATGAATGTTCTTTTGATATGGGCGGTTACTTTGTTATCAACGGTTCTGAAAAGGTGTTGATTGCTCAAGAACGTATGGCCACAAACACTGTATATGTGTTTGCCAAGGCACCACCTTCAAATGTACAATACACCGCTGAAATCAGATCACAGCCCGAGAAAGGATCCAAAAATGCATCGCCTTTATATATCAAAATGATGCGTGCCTCTACTGATCGAGGTGGAACTGGTCAGTGTATCAGAGCCACATTGCCATACATTCGTTCCGACATTCCTATTGTTATCGTATTCCGTGCTCTCGGACAAGTGGCAGATCGCGATGTTTTGGAACACATTTGTTATGATAGAAACGATTATGAGATGCTTGAAATGTTGAAACCATCGATTGAAGAAGCTTTTGTCATCCAGGATCAGGACGTTGCCCTTGATTTTATCGGAAAGAGAGGAACAACCGTGGGCGCCACTCGCGAGAGACGTACAAAATATGCCACCGAAATTCTCCAAAAAGAGCTTTTACCTCACGTTGGCACTGCATACAAGACAGAGACTCGTAAATCATACTTCTTTGGTTACATGATCCATCGACTTTTGCTGGCTGCTCTTGAACGACGTGAGCTTGATGATCGTGATCATTACGGAAAGAAGCGTATGGATCTCGCAGGTCCTTTGATGGCTGGTCTTTTCCGCCTCCTGTTCAAGAAGTTGACCAAGGATGTTGCCAAATATTTACAAAAGGTTTTATTATACAATTTATCTAATTGCAATAGGACAAGTTACTTATATTGTTTGATTCTAGTGTATCGAATCTAGTCGCGAATTCAACTTGACCTTGGCTGTCAAGTCGAATACTATCACTAATGGTCTCAAGTATTCTTTGGCTACTGGTAACTGGGGTGACCAGAAGAAAGCAATGCAGGCAAGAGCAGGTGTATCTCAAGTATTGAACAGATATACATTTGCTTCTACTCTCTCCCATTTGCGTCGGTGTAACACACCCATTGGCAGAGATGGTAAGATCGCCAAGCCCCGTCAGTTGCATAATACCCACTGGGGACTGGTGTGCCCTGCAGAAACGCCCGAAGGTCAGGCATGTGGTTTGGTAAAGAACTTGGCTTTGATGTCGTATATTTCTGTGGGTTCTGCTGCAACCCCTCTTATCATGTTCTTGGAGGAATGGGCTATGGAAAACTTGGAAGAACTGAGTGCAAACAATATTCCTGATGCCACCAAGGTGTTTGTGAACGGTGTTTGGATCGGTGTTCATCGTGATCCAGGAGAGCTTGTTAATTCTCTCAAGTCTATGCGTCGTTCAGTCGATATCTCCCCCGAAGTTAGTATTGTACGAGACATCAGGGAAAAGGAATTACGAATGTATACAGACGCAGGTCGATGCTGTCGCCCCCTCTTCTTGGTACAAGATCAGCAATTGAGATTGACTCGCGATCACCTTAGTCGCTTGCAAGATCCCGAAGACAGTTACCGCTGGCAGGATATGATTTCGGACGGTATTGTAGAATATGTTGATGCCGACGAAGAAGAGACAGCAATGATTTGTATGACACCAGAAGATCTTGTTGAGGCACGCATGGCCGCTCAGTTTGGCGCACCTCTTCAAGAGGAACGTGATTTAGCTAGTCGTGTCAAGAGTCAGACAGGTGCCTACTCGCACACCTGGACTCACTGTGAGATTCATCCTAGTATGATTCTCGGTATTTGTGCCAGTATTATTCCTTTCCCTGATCACAACCAGTCTCCACGTAATACATATCAATCTGCAATGGGTAAGCAGGCTATGGGTGTCTACTTAACAAACTACCAGACTCGTATGGATACCATGGCCAATATTCTTTACTACCCTCAAAAACCACTCACTACTACTCGATCCATGGAGTTCCTTCGTTTCCGTGAACTGCCAGCCGGCCAAAATGCAGTTGTAGCTATTCTCTGTTACTCTGGTTACAACCAAGAAGATTCGGTTATTATGAATCAGAGCAGTATCGATCGTGGTCTCTTTAGATCACTTTTCTTCCGTACTTATATGGATGCAGAGAAGAAGGCTGGTATGATGTTTATGGAAGAGTTTGAGAAACCTACGCGCGATTCGACTCTTCGTTTGAAGCACGGTACGTACGAGAAACTTGAAGAGGATGGTCTGATTGCGCCTGGTACGCGTGTTTCGGGTGATGATATTATTATTGGAAAGACTGCGCCTATTCCAGCAGAATCTGAAGAGCTTGGACAACGTACCCAGACACACAACAAGCGCGATGCCTCAACACCGTTGCGCAGCACAGAGACCGGTATTGTGGATCAAGTAATGCTTACAACCAATCAGGATGGTCTTAAATTCGTCAAAGTACGAGTAAGATCCACTCGTGTGCCACAAATGGGAGATAAGTTTGCTTCTCGTCACGGACAAAAGGGTACAATTGGTATGACATATCGCCAAGAGGATTTCCCATTCTCTGCAGAGGGTATTACACCTGATCTTATTATCAACCCCCACGCCATTCCTTCCCGTATGACTATCGGGCATTTGATCGAGTGTTTGCTTGGTAAGGTCTCAACCTTATCGGGTAACGAGGGTGATGCCACTCCGTTTACTGAGGTTACAGTTGAGGCTATCTCACATGCATTGACATTGGAGGGTTATCAGCAGAGAGGTTTCGAGGTTATGTACAACGGCTTTACTGGACGCAAGCTTAATGTACAAGTATTCTTGGGACCTACATATTATCAGCGCCTGAAGCACATGGTAGATGACAAGATTCACAGTAGAGCCAGAGGACCTGTCCAAATTTTGACACGACAGCCTGTTGAAGGTCGTTCGAGAGATGGTGGTTTGCGTTTCGGTGAGATGGAGAGAGATTGTATGATCAGTCACGGCGTAGCCCAGTTCTTAAAGGTAAAGTCGGATTTTAGGGCTTAGATATACTATAAAAAATAGGGACTCACGTTTTTGTGTCTATAGGAACGTTTGTTCGACGCTTCAGATGCCTACCGGGTGCATGTGTGTGATATCTGTGGTTTGATGGCTATTGCAAACTTGAAGAAGAACAACTTTGAATGTCGTTCGTGCAAGAACAAGACCAGAATTTCACAGATACACATCCCTTATGCTTGTAAGCTCTTGTTCCAGGAGCTTATGGCTATGAATATTGCACCTCGCATGTTCGTAGAAACTGATAACTAAAAAAAAAGCCCTTATGTTGAACCAAAGCAGACGTAAACAATGAGGGAATGACTGGGGCGACGACAAACCTCTTAAGGACTGCCTCCTTTTTTTTATATATATTTTCTTGTCACTGTAGAAAACAAAAAAAACCTCCTCCCACACACACACTTCCACACACACACACACACACACACACACACACAGCCTCCCCTTCATACTTTTAAATATATTTTATGAGAGAATCATTTGTAAAGAAAGTGTGTGATATTCTTGCTCTGTGGGTTGACTTGATTTGAATGAAACAAAGCTTATGATTTATTGATTGGCTTGGACAAAAAAGTATCCGACGAAATATGTAGCTGGAGAAAGAAAGAAAAAAGGATAACAAGAAAGCGAGGGAGAGAAGAAGAAGAAGAAGAAGTCTAAAGAATATAAATTGGAGAACTTCTCTTCAAAAAAATAATATATATATAAGACCTTATGACTATAATTCTTGATATTAATGGCATGTGTGTTTGAGCGAGATGAAAATTGAAAAAAAAAGGGGGGGGGGGGATGTTTAGGGTTCGAAGAAATAAGCACCACAGCGAGGCAATCGTTCTAATGATCAAGCAATTTAAAAGTAATTATTTTTAGCTGGTAATTTTAAAATCGAAATATTATTAATATTGATATTAATATATACTATATTTATATTTTGTATTTGTATTTGTATTTACCTGCAACTTGCTGACTTGGGTCACGGAGCGGCCTACCGTTTGCATTAGGGCTGGATGAACTAGTATTGTATCCATAACTTGCGAGATAGGCATGGTCCTGAGGCATACTAGATTGTTGTAAAGACTGTGATTGAGGAGTAGAATACTGTTGCTGCTGCTGTTGTTGTGGTTGCTGGTGATGCTGAAGGATCTTTTGCTGCTGCTGGTATTGGAGCATGACGTCGTCAAGGCACTTTGAGGTATCGGCTGATTTGGGTTCTTGGGCACGGTAGTGATGGGGTTGGGGAAGGATACGATGGGCTACAGAGGGTGGAAATCCGGCTGGATTGATGACCTGACGCCTCTGGCCAGCATGTGGCAATGCAGCGGAATCATAAGGCTGTGCAGATGGAGTAGCTGTGTACAAGGCAGAGTCTGACGGAAGTGAGCTGGCGCTCTCTGATAATTTCTTTTCCTGCTATAGACACAAGAGATGAACATCAATCATCAATAATTACTGATCATCAATAATTGCAACTCACAATCTTTTTTATGGTCCAATCAAACACATAGTCGTACTGAAATCCCTCACGGACGAACAGATCACGGAACAATTTACGTAAATACGAGTAATCAGGCTTATCGTCAAAACGCAGAGAGCGTACGTAATTAAGATAGACCGTAAATTCATGGTGAAGCCCTCGACAGAGTTGATCAGCCGAGGTTGTCATCTTTTTTTCCATGATCTTATCATATTTCTCTTTCTTATTCCGAGCACGGATGCCCTGCCATGGTAGTTGACCTCGGCAGAAGTATACCAAAATGTAACCCAGAGATTCAAGATCATCGCGTCGAGATTGTTCTACAGCATCAATTATTAGATATTTTTGTATATATCACAAGCCGATTCATTAACTGATCTCTAAATATATTACCAATCCCCAGATGAGTATTTACGCTTGCATAGCGCGGTGTTCCTGTCAGATTCTTGTTTTCTCTGTAGGGAATGTGTGTGTTGGTTTTTGGGTCTCTGAACCGCTTAGCTAAACCAAAGTCAATCATATTGACCTGGTTGCCTCGCTTTCCGATACCCATCAAGAAGTTGTCAGGCTTAATGTCACGATGGATAAAACCTAAAAGGAATCAATACGCGTGAGATCATAATTGCTTTTGAAATTAGATCGAAAAAAAATAGATACCTTTGGAGTGGACGTATTCGACACGCGATAGCTATAAATCAAATACAACCATTAAATCATGCTTTAGTGTTCGCCCCCCTTCACTCTTCGACCCCTTTTTCTTTTTACTCACTAATTGGTCTGCCAGGAGGAGGACTGTCTTGAGAGAAAAGCGTCGCTTACAGTAATTGAATAAATCTTCCATTGAAGGGCCAAGGAGGTCCATCACTAGCACATTGTGATCGACCTCTTTGCCATACCATCGCACAAACGGAATACCAACACCGCCTGCCAATGTTTTGTAAACTCGGGCTTCGTATTCCAGCTGCGGGTGAGCTGCCCTGATGTTCTCCATCTTCACAGCGACATCTTCTCCACTGACAATGTTGGATCCTATATGGTGCATAAGAGGGGTCAGCAAACCGAAACTAAGTTTTCCCCTATATAAAGAGCATAACAAGAAGAACACGACGAGAAATAATAATAAAAAAAAGACCCCTATTCAAGACAAGAGCCAAAACAATAATTTCTCTTTTTATATGTATCTTTATATAATTGTATCTATGAGTTTATGTATGTATGTATGTATGTATGTATGTATGTATGTATGTATATACCCAAGTAAATCTCTCCAAAAGATCCTGCGCCAATCTTTCGGCCGAGCTTGTACTTGTTGCCTATCCGGATATCTCGCCCTTCAAGAGCCATATTTCGTTGTAGCTGTGTACTATTGTTGGGTAGTAAAGAGGGAAGGACAGATTTTATTGCCTATAAAAGGAAAATAAGGCAAAGCAGAGAGAGAAAGAGAGAAAGAGAGAGAGCAAGAGGTTTGTTGTTTATTTTCTTTTAGGTCAATAGACTGGAGTTTGGCTGTTGGAAAAGGAAAGGCGTGGGCAAGAAATTCGAAAAGGGTCAGGTCCCTCATTTTATTTGATGGTCCGACCTCAAAGGGGTTGCCTTTTTTTTGGGAGCAAGCTATAGAAAGCAACAATAACAACAATGATGATGATAATAACAATAGCAATAACAATAGAAATAATAAACAAATCAAACGGCTGAAAAAGAGCGTACAGTAGGCATTTTTACATCATTAATTATGTCGGAAGAACTTCATGCCCATCCAATTACAGACTACAAAGTATATGAATACCACAGCAGTGACTGGAACCACATAGCAATAATAGTCATCGTCTCGGATCCAATCCAAAACCTGCATTAAGAAGATTAGATTCTTTTATCGGAACTTTTTTTCCCAATTGTCATGCCTTGTTATTAGTCACCGGCATCCAATGACTTCCAATCAGCGAGTACATCGTGATAAAGAAGATTAACCATGTTGAAATAAGTAAAAAATAACCCCACAAATAAGTAGTATCCGGAAGTGTTTCTGGAAGATGAACGGTCATCCTCCGAGCATAGATCTGTCCAGCTACATTCGGAGATGCACAGGGCAAGAGAACAGACTTTGAAGAACGACGACGATGAGTCTGCATTCCGGCGTGATAAACTAAACACATCCTTAACTTTTTACTCTGTTTTCTGTAATCCAACCAAGTCACATTAGCTATTTTGTTTACAAATGGAGTAAATATCTTGTATTCTCCAAAATATTAATTAACAATGCATGAAAATAATGCAAACTACTTCTAGAACAGCTAAGGCAACCATGTTTAGAGAGCCATGTTGAAAAAAAAGGAACCACAAACAATACTCTTAATATACTATAAGTTCGTACCAAAATCTATCATTAAATACCATGTTTTATAATAAATAAAGTTATTTTTTGGCCTTCAGTTCTTCATTGCTTCTTTTAATTTGATAAGTTGCAATTAAAGGATACGAGGATATTTTAAATGGTACAGGCCGGAAAAGAATTAGTAATTTCAATGATTCAATAAGTTGATTCTGCTAAAAACAGCAAAAGATTATACACAGATTTCATTGATAGAAAATCTTTGTAATAATAATAAGAATATCATACATCCCCACATATGTATGCACACACTAGTAAAGAACTTATTTATCGATAGTTAACATTCTGTAAATATGGTTACCAGAGGCAAAAAGTTCAAAAAGATATATTTCTTTTTGCCATATCTGAAATGGATCTATACGTTATAGCTAAATATGTACGAATAAAAGAACACAAGGTTATTATTTCTTGGGAACATAATCCTTGGATAAATCGATGTGTGAAAGATGAGTGTTGGTAATCTTGATCTTCTTGTTGCGAGTCTTTGATCGCTTTGGTCGAGCCTACTCAAACAAATTAGTAGGTTGTATTTAATAAAATGATGTTAATTTACCTCTGAGACCACCTTCTTCTCAAATACTTCCATGGTTTTGAGACCAGCTAATCAAATTTACATTAGTAACCTAGTCTATTATATAACCTTAACAGTGACGAACCATCTTCAAGGGCTTTTGGGAGATCAGTTTCATCTGGTATAGCAATATCTGCCCACATCTTTTGAAAGTCTACGGATCAATTAGCCTCAATTCTCATATGTTAATAATTAAACGAACTTACCTTGGTCAATAAATGTGTTGTATTGCATATCATTGTAGAACAAGACTCGAGGATTTCCATCTTTGTTACGAATCACAAGTATTCTCCCCTCATTCGCAAGCTCCTCTACTGCATTGGCCAATTTAGAATATGAATCCTTAAGATCCTTATAATCCATTCCTCCTTCATTCTTTTTTGAAGTAAGGAGAGACAACAGGTCATCTTTACTCTTGATTTGGTAGGTGGGCTAAAGTGACAGCAGCAGCAGTAGTAGTAGTAGTAGTGATAATAGTAGAACATGAAAAATAAAAAGAACCCAATATATATATATATTACAAAATTGAATGAGACTTGTGCGTTTATTTGGCATATGTTTATATAATAAATATTAGTAAGTGACTCAAACTTACCTTGTAAGCAAAGGTCTTGTTTACTGGATTATATTCAATCTTGCTATTTTGAACCAATTTGTCCCATAGTGCCTGATTTCGTGTAATGTCCACTTTTGTTCTTGTCCCAATGCTAACTACTGACTGTGGATTATCACAATCCTTTAGGAATTGAATGACAGTATAAAGCTGACTCATGGCATGATGCCCAGTGCCAGTATTGGCAGGCTGTGAATAGACTAGAAGAGGCTATCAACACACACACACACGTACACATGTGGATGTATATAGTACCAGTAGCTTTCTTTGCCCTCTTTCGGGCTTCTTGGCTTGATAATTCATATGATGCTTTTGTGTTGTTGGCAATGTAGCCCACAGAAGGAGTATTTTCATTAAGATGAGCTGCATTAGCTGTTCGCTTAACACCAAGACCAGTATTTGCAGTGAGAGTATTCTTAAACTTTTTTACTTGATCTGACAGAGACATTGTAAAGATGTATGTATGTATATATATGTGTGTATGTGTATGAGTGTGCGTATGAGTTTTATGTAAAAAATATATATAAAAAAAAATAATAACCAAAAATGACTGTTCAAAATTTATAGATTTAGGCAAGTAAAAAAATTATAGTTGGTGTGGACAGACTAAAAGTTCAAAAAAAGGGTAAAGAAAGGGCAAAATTTCTGCACGGCTCTGATTGGCTAGTTTTCTTCCATTGCCACTTGGATTGAGAAGAAGAGCATGCTTTTGATTGAAAGATGTGCTATATAATGCAAAGCCTAGGAGAAAGCGCAATAAAAGATTTCTACTTAATGACAGTGACAGCATCATAAGCACAAGTTTACCTGATACGTACTTGAACTTGTTTTGAACTTTTTTTTAAAAAAAAAGTGTAGGCAGTTATAGATTAGTCTGATTGGCTAAGTTTATTTTGAACTTATTTTGCCCTTTTTATGCCCTTTTTTTTTGAACTTTTAGTCTGTCCACACCAACTGTATTAAATGTTTTACACTCAGACAATAAGATTTCGGCTTGAATTAGGAATGGAAAATTAAGACAAAGCACAATAAGTTCATAGCATTGGATTTCGAGCGGTGGGATTATAGACAATTGGTAATGCGTAAGAAGTAATATAAGATCATCTTCATAAAAATATACACTGTTTAAGGTAAAGGGCATATCCAGTTAATCTTTTTCTAAATATTTTTCTTGGCAAAGGAGAGAAGAAAGGAATACAATTTGTAACAATTCACAAGTGTGATTTTTGAATGTTTATTTTGGATGTACAATGAATGTCTTAAGCAGTCTTGGCGAGCTCTATGAATAGTAAGAAAAAAGTAAAGTTTGTCAATGCCTTATTTCTATATACATATATATTAGAATAACTTACTCTGGACATCCAAAACGGCCTGGTCGAGGATCTGCTGCTGGACCTTGGGATCCTGCAAATCTTTCTGGATCTTCTCAATCAAGTAAGCAGCCAACTGCTTCTGTTCACGCTCACGGACGCTGGCCTCGTGGCGGACCCAGGAGTCAAGAGTGGTCTTGAGCTCATGGGCAACAGCAACCTGCTGCTTCAATACAAAGGCTTCGGCCTCCAACTCAGCAGTCTCGCGAGAGATAGCAAAGAGAGACTTGGTAACATCAACCAAATCCTTCATCTGACCAACCTCGTTGATGCGTTCCTGGACAGCAGACTTGTGGTCATCACGGGCCTGAACCAAGATGTTCTTGATACGCTGTTTATCCACAACACAACACAATGATAAGTAAACCTGTCCAAATTCCATTTTTTATATAGGCTTATATATAAACGTACGGAGATGTGGTCGTTGGCCATGGTGGTGAAGGGCTCACGGACGTACTTGAGGAGTACACCAAGGAGACCGAGAGAAGCGACGAGAACAAGAGTCTCCTCATTCAAGACGTAGATCTCCTTGGAGATCAAGAAGGTGGCAGCACCAGTGCTAAGAGTGACGAAACCAGTCTTGGAAACGAAGGAGTTTCCGGGAAGGGAGTCAATGATGCTGTTGGCCTTTGTCTTGGGATCAACTTTACGATGTTATCAGACAGGCTGTTCTTTTCTTCTTATATTTTATATCTATTCAATTATTGTATAATTCGACTTACCCTCCTTGGTTGGGGTAGAGTAGTGACGGACACTGTCGAGCGTAAATACAATTGCACGTTTAATTGAGTGATGTCGAGTGAATTAATTATTTGTTTTTTTTTCGACTTACGCAGTGGCACCGAGAGACTTGCGGGAAGCACTAACGATGGGACGGGAGATGGCAGCGGCTAAGAATAGAAAACGAAAATGGTAAGTCAATAAACTGAAAAATCGTAAAAATATAAAATTGTGCATTAAGATTGCATACACGAGCACGCGTTTAAAAGCAGAGGAATCTTCGTGTGTGTATAATTGAACGAAAAGAATAAGGAAAGAAAAAGTCAAGGTCCTTACCAGCAGCGCCCTTGGTCAACAATCTGAAAGCCATTGGCTATACATGACATTGGATAAATAAGGAAAAATAACTCTCATTGGCATAAACTGCCGTAAAATTCTCTCGTGATAGACTTACAATATGTGTCTTTGAACGAGAAGGAGGAAGAAGCGTTGCCTTTTTCTCTCTTTTTTGCAAGTCTCGAGTGCCAGGCGCGGTTGTTGGTTTTTTTAAAGATTTTATAATACTCAGCTATACATCCAGTCATCGTCAGGGGTGCGGGATTCTACGTCACACATTAACGAACTGGCTTTCTAAGCCTCTAACACCTTGACTTCCAAAATGGTACAATGATTTTGCTGCAGTAAAAATGGAATTAATTGATTATCCATTTACTTGTTTTATTATTATCATTATTGAGTTTTGATGGTTTTAGGAATAACAAGACAACGGATTCCAAGGTAAGAACAAAAACTGTTAATAACAATTATAGCCCAGCGCAGATATGCAACCAAAGCAAACACAAAGTATCCAGCCAAAAAGTAGTACTCGGATGAAGGAGTCAAGATTGGATCGCTTTATAATCAATAAAAAAAAAAACAGTTATCGCAAACAAAAATTACGCTCATAAAATGCAATCAACTTACACAAATGACAGTCGTGGAAGATTTACAAGGATCGCCCCAATGTACAAAGGAATAAGGAGTACAGTGAAGTTGGGGAATGGAGATTTCGTGAGATGGGCAAGGATAATCTTGGATGCCATACGACCAAACACGATACCAGTGGTAATTGCGAACAGAATAAAATGCTGTGCCGAAAAAATAGTAGAGTAAGGAGAAGTGACCCAGAAAAGGAAGGCAGCAGTGTAGGATACAATTGGCAGGTTTTCAACGATCATAGTTCGTAAAAAGGGCTTCTTGTGGGCAACACAGGCCTTGTACATGGCATAGAAACTGATATTATAAGAAGAGGATTAGACATAATTATTTGTGATGTAGTATCACTTACCAGACAGGTACATGAGTAAACACAAGCATACAGCCAATGAATCCCACGAGAACATGAGCCAATGACTGTTCTTCCAACCAAGCCCATCTAACGGATAACACATTACCCAAAGGTGTTTGCCAAATGGAAGTACCTATTCAAATTTACACAATATCAATTACAAGATGAAATATGATAAACATCCTTAAATATTTTCAAAAAAGAAATACATTTGGTTACCATAGATACCGGATAAAATAAATATAACACATGATAAAATTACTCCTTCTGTGGGCGCGTTCACATAACCAAGATAAAGTACTCCAGTGTGATATTCTTCAGCAGTGGAAAGATAAAATCCAGCCATAGCAATTACATAAATGGAGGCAGTTCCCATAGAATGGCCCATTCCCAAGCCAGCCGCTTGGAGAGTAGCGGCAAACGAGCAATTGAGTGCGTCACAACCATGATCAAATAATTCTCCAAGAGGAGAAGAAGTTCCTGTTCTACGTGCCTGTCGTCCGTCTACATTATCGAATGTAGAATACAGCCACAGACCAGCTGCATAACTAAAGTATATCCAACTTGGACCACCAGCATCCATAGCTGGACGGTAAATAACAGTCAGGATGACATTGATGATCATGAACATCAACCCAGTGAGAGTTATGAGATTTGGTCTAAGGCAGAAATAAGTTCTGTGTTGATCATAGGATGGTCAAGACCTACGCCATCCACATGGGAAACAGACGAATGGCAACATCCCAGTAGTGCCTAAGAACGTATTTTGTGGTGAAGGATCGATCAACAGCAGCATACTTGTACAGCCTAAGGTTGGCTAGCTGCTTGTGGTCAAGAAACTCTGGGTTGAGGGCGGACTCCATGACAAGGGAACCAACTGGGGACGTGCTCGGAACAAGGCAAGTTGAACGTTGCCTAGGTAGAAAAAGATCAGGCAGGCGAAAGGAAGTCACAGACCCTGTGGTGGGTGGTCTTGGCTTGGACCTTATTTTATCTGATTCACACACACAGGTACTAAAAATAACCTGTATATTTTTTCTTGACAGTGCTGTAAATAAGGTTGAGCCAACCCAATTCCGTGGGTCCGGTGTGACCTTGGAGATCTTTTTACATCTTGAACGGCTCCCACTATACTCTGCTAACATTTAAGAAATATTTGAATTGACTTATAACATATATATCCATTTTTATTTTTATGCATACTAAGCACTGTAATATTTTACCTTCACCAAAATACAATAAATGGCTGAAGAACCAGAAATGCCGTGATGTGTGACTGTGTTACCTTTTAAAGTCATTTTTCTTTTAAGAGCACATTCTAAGGATATCTCTTCCTGCTTGAAGGCGCAAACGAAGAACAACCCCATGAATAGATTATCAACTGATCCCAGAGATCCATTCTCAACAGATCAACGTTTGTCTTAATTTGCTTATTAGCTTTAACTTTTAATACTAGTCTACTCGTAATTTATAGTCTAATGGGAATTTGTCTACATTCTATTCAGCAGTAGGGTCTCCAAATAATTCTAGGCATTCATCATTTGACACATTATCTCGAATACGAAGAACTCAATCGCCTTCACCCCCTATATCTCCTCCACCTCCACCTCCTTCTCGTACACGACGTATACGAAGAACAAATAATATTGAAGAAGAGATTGAACTAGAAAGCGAAGATGTTTCAACAATAGACGCAGCAATCAGCAGTGTTTTTGATACCTTTAAAGCAGGTTGAGATAGATAATATGTATATATGTGTATATATAACATCTTTATATCTTTGCTTTAACTCACACAGCTTAACTTGAAATATATTATACCTTTGTATCATACATATCTCTTTTCTCTCTCTTTACAGCTATGCCACAGAGCGACCTTCGATCGAATATGAGAGCAAAGTTTAAGAAACTATACAGAATTATATCGAGATATGGTGTTTCTGATACACATATTGGTCACATAATTGATGTGATATATTCCAATAAATTAGGTACTATAAGTTCTGGTTTTCTTTTCTTTTTAAATCAAGCATTTATATATACATATATACATATAAATTAAACTCATATATATATTAAAACATAAAAACAAAAGTGGAGTCAGATTCTATAAAGCTGGTTAAGCTATTGTTGCCAAGAGAACCTGTTCGTGAGAAATATGCTATCCAGATCTTTGGAAATCTTTCGTGTCGTAAGCATACTCCAAATTTGATGGTAAAGTATATGTGTCTCCACGCATACACATATATATATATATATTAAAAAGACAACTGTATATTACTGAGGACTAGGCGAGGCTCTTAAAATGGGTTATTACAATATATGATTTGCTGGAAACCAGGGAGCATATTGATCAAATGTATCCAGTCTTATTTCATTACTTGACAGTAGAAACATTAAGGTCTGTTATTTATTTATTTATTTATTTATTTATTTATTCATTTCTTAAGAAAGATGAGTGAGTTCTAGACAAACTTTTACCAGATTTTAACGCCCTAAAAACATATAGACCACAATTGTGCCATATATTATACTACATGACAAAACGTGTACATGTAAAACCATATCGAATCCGTACAATGTAAGCTTATACTCAATTAATTAATTAAATATAAGATTGAATGTTAGATAATAGATACTAACTAGCTTTTGGTCTGTAGTATCAAATTGATTGGAAATATTGCACTTGAGCCGCATCTGTATGCGTTACTCTTTGTGTTCAAGACATATTATCCTGACATTGTTATGCCTTCTAATCATTATCATAAAAAGTTTATATTTGCAGTAAGTTGGTACAAATATATTCATAGTCGGTATTTAATCGGACTCACAATTATAGCATCCTGATCCCGACTCAAGAGAACTTATTCAAGAGATTTGGACAAGGTGGAATACAATTGAACCAGGAGAAACTATAGGTCTTCACAAGCCAACCTTGGAAAATAGTCTGGTAACAATTTGATTTTGCTAGATATACCATATGCACATATCTAAAGTCTGTTTAGGTCAAGCGCAGAAGAAGAGTTGGAGATAATGGTATAATCCCTGACATTGTTACAACAAGAGCAAAGAGGGTAAACATATAGAAAAATAAAGTAAAATAAAGCTGTACTAATGATTTTCATAGGACTCTACTACTATTCAAGAGATTTACGATGTGGCAGAATTTGCAGAGAACGTTGATAGACTTGAATTGCCTGATCAATTGGCATCTGTATTGGATAATAGGATTCTCCAGCATGTCGTTATTTGTAGTCCAAAAGGTAAAACACCTTCTTGAAGGAGTATGTGTGTGTGTGTGTGTGCGGCTTGGCCACACATCCTTTTATTCTTTTATTTTTACTTTGTTAAACTCTACTTGTTCTTCTTTATTTTCAGCTACCACAATCGCGCGTATTAGTCTATGGCTGAGTCAGAATCTGCATGATCTGGTGAAATGGAACAACCATACAGAGGCTACTAAAGAACGATTCAGGCAACTTTTACAGAAATCGCTTACAATGGCTCGATTTGCAAAGGTAAGATCGATCGATTGATACATCACACAACCATAACACATACGCACATATATATACACAATTCTCACCGGTTATATAGTCCCTCTTACCAGTTATGGAGAGCTTTTTGAGAGATTACTTGAAGCAATGGAATGGAGTGGAATTTGAGAAGGAAATATTCGAATTGATTAGCTATGTAAAGCCTGTCTCATTTGAAGGTAAGATAGAGGGAGATGAAACTGAGGCTGGAGAGAATGAATACAATTTAAACAAGAAAACATTTTGACAATACAATAGAGTTGTACTCTTTCTTTTTAAAGCCACTCTATCGGCTGTTCTGCCTGTCGGATGTTACTTGGAAGGTAAGAGAGGAGGACAAACAGAGTACAAATTTACTGAGTGTACTATATCTATCTATATAGACAGGACTTGTTCTTTGCTATACAAATTGGTTAAAAAATTGGTCGCTTTTAGATTGGCACGGTCATGTTAATCGAAGACAGGAGAATAGCATTTCTGAAACAGATGTGGACAAACTGTAAGTTTAAATGGAATACAGAAGGATTAATTACGAGATGCATGTCCTTTAGAATCTGGTTGCTCGATGGCCTATCTTTGGACGTTGATTATTTTGCAATGCTACACGAGTTTGTTTCTCATGTGGACCAGATTAGTGTATTGGGTTTGGCATTAGAAGAAGACCATCCTCTTCTTCAGCATGGTGCCTTATCATTCTATGAGCAAGTATGTACAGAAAAATGTGTAGCCCATCCCAAAAAAATAGAGAAAGTTTTGTTTATTTGTTTATTTTGTTTATAATTGTTTTAGGTTTCTACGCTTTCTACCCAACATAATGTACCTGAGATAATACTTCCTGAAGAGCCTTTTATTACCCGCCTTTTTTTCTCTACATCTGCTATGTCTGTTTCCAGAATTTGTGGAATTATTTACCAATACAAGCTTGCGTTCGAATCGACAGAAGATTCAATAGGGGATTGGACACCAAGACATACCCCCGAATATCTCGAACACTTTAATATGTACGTAATGGACATCTGCAATGCTTTGTGGCGCAACCTTGCCTTTAGTCAAGCGGACGACAGTACCCGAAGTTTTTCTCTGCCAACGTAAGTGCGAAGTGTAAAAGCCTTGCTTATATAGAAAGAAATAGCGATATAGTATTACTAGTATTACTAGTATTACTATTACTATTTTTATAAAGAAAAATAGAGTGAGAGATACGGAAGGGGGGGGGCGAAAACATAGAATAAAAAAATTGTTAGAGAGACCATAGAAGCATGCAGGGCGTTGTGTGCAGCACGAGGAGACAGGATAGACCTTGCTATTTCCGTCACGCACTCGGTTAGTCTTGCCAGCTTCTCAAAACGGTTCATGGAGGTAAGGACTAAACCAATCAACATCAAGGGATAGACGAAAAAAAAGACATCTCTGACAGAGTGTGTCTGTCAGATGCAAGAACAAGAGCAAGATTTTCCCGTTCACCACCAGGGCCCTATTACTGCCGATAGTTTAAGTGCCCTTGAAGAGGTAAAAATAATAATAATAACGCTAGTGAATTTAATGTTGAAAGCAAAGTAGACTGATTTATTTTAATTGGGATCCAGATCGGGGGGCTTCCTGTTAGCTTTGGAGAGTATCGAATCCAGTACCTTGATTATCTGGCAGGCCAAGGTCTTAGAGGCGTGCATGATCTGCTCTATGCCTCAATGGTTTCGCTCATTAATCATAGACAAGCGTTGGAACAGGGCGGAGCACAATACTAAAAAAAAGGAAGAAAAAAAAAGGAAATGGAGGTCGAGATGGTTATACAATAAATAGTGTTCCGGTTGCTACGAGCTGTGCCACGTATGGTTGTACGATTGTGGCACTTAAAAGACTTGTTTTCTGGTCTACATGAGCATGAGAAAGCAGGCCTGCAGCGAGGCAACTGCAAATAAGGGACTGGGAATCAGCTCATCTGTCGCCATCTGCATTTGAAAGAAACCCCGGTGCTTTTGGGGAAAGTGTGTAGTTTTCGAGTTCAATCCCTTTTTCATCATTCTTTTTTTATGTTTGTTTTGGACGGTAAAGACCAGTGTTACGGTCAACCGATATCCAATTAAGCAAAGGCACAGGAAAGAGAGGAGGGAGGGAGGAATGGGGGTAGTAAGCACCGATGGAAATGGGTTAAAAAAATTATAAGTTAAAACAATGTCAAGGCGTTGACTCGGGAGTGATACACCATTCTCTATAACGAGACTGTCGGCGCGTGAGGGAGTTTCCAAATGTGAAAGAGGCGAATAAATAGCTCCCAGTGCTACCAATCCAACCATTCGACGCTCCTTCTCTTTCTCTCTCTCTTTACTTCTTTCTCTCTCTCTCTCTTCACCTCCGCTGTACTCAACAAGACTTTGTGTTCTTGTTAAAGGTGTGTTCTAGAGATACTATGGGAACGATTTATCGAATTAAATAATTAACACTGAATATCAGCCCCGTTCGTCTCTACTCTCATTCACTCCATCATCCTCTTCTGTCCATCATGAGAGAAATCATTCACGTCCAAGTCGGTAAGAATCTCTTCATCTGACTATTATGTACATGTTCTTACGCGTCAGAAATGATTCGTAAGACTGGGTTTTATATATTGGGTGATAATTAAACGGATTGCATGTTTTGTTCCTGTGCTTTAGGCCAGTGTGGTAACCAAGTAAGGCTTAATATTTTTATTTTATTTTATTTTTTTACTTGCTTGTGTATACACACTTGACATATCAAACTAATATATTTAACTCCATTATTAGATTGGTCAAAAATTCTGGGAGACTATTTCCCAAGAGCATGGTCTTGACACCAACGGTAACTACTGTGGTGACAACGATCTTCAGTTGGAGCGCATCAATGTGTTTTACAACGAAGGTCAAAAGGGACAATATGTTCCCAGGTAAGCAATAGAAATAAAAATACATGAAAATTAATATTTAGAATATATACATACTATATGTATAAAGAATTATACTTTTTTTTTTCGTGTACTGATTCAAGTTAATTTTATTTTATATTATTTTATATTATATTATTATAATTATTACTATTATTTTAGAGCCGTCCTTGCTGATCTCGAGCCTGCTACTATGGATGTTCTCCGCGGTAGTTTGTACGGAAAGCTTTTCCGTCCTGACAACTTTATCAATGGCCAGTCCGGTGCAGGAAACTCGTGGGCTAGAGGTTATTACACTGAGGGTGCTGAGCTGATTGAGCCTATCCTCGATATCGTCCGTAAGGAAGCCGAGCATACCGACTGCCTTCAGGGTTTCCAGCTCTGCCACTCTCTTGGTGGTGGTACTGGTTCCGGTCTTGGTTCTCTCTTGTTGTCCAAGATCCGCGAGGAATACCCCGATCGTATGCTTTGTACTTACTCCGTCGTGCCTTCCCCCAAGGTCTCCGATACCGTTGTTGAGCCCTACAATGCTGTCTTGTCTGTCCATCAGTTGGTCGAGAACTGCGATGCCACCTTCTGTATTGACAATGAAGCCTTGTACGATATCTGCTTCCGTACCCTTAAGTTGACCAACCCTGGTTACGACGAGCTCAACCAGCTCGTTTCCGCTGTCATGTCTGGCGTCTCTACCAGTTTGCGTTTCCCTGGTCAGCTGAACTCCGACTTGCGTAAGCTGTTTGTCAACATGGTTCCTTTCCCCCGTCTCCACTTCTTCATGGTCGGTTTCGCCCCCTTGACTGCCTTTGGTTCCCAGCAGTACCGCAACCTCAGCGTTCCTGAGTTGACTGCTCAGATGTTCGATGCTCGCAACATGATGGCTGCTTCCGATCCCCGCCACGGTCGCTACTTGACTGTCGCTACCATCTTCCGTGGTCGTCTGTCCACCAAGGAAGTCGAAAACCAGATGTTGGCTGTCCAGCAGAAGAACTCTTCTTACTTTGTTGAATGGATCCCTAACGGTGTCAAGACCTCCCTGTGCGACATTCCCCCTGTTGGTTTGAAGATGTCGGGTACCTTTATTGGTAACAGTACCGCCATCCAGGAGCTTTTCAAGCGTGTCAACGAGCAGTTCACTGTCATGTTCAGACGCAAGGCTTTCTTGCATTGGTACACAAGTGAGGGCATGGACGAGATGGAGTTTACTGAGGCAGAGTCAAACATGAACGATTTGGTTTCCGAGTACCAGCAGTACCAGGAGGCTACCGCTGAGGATGACCTGTTAGACGAAGAAGAATACCTTGAGGAAGAGGGTGAACTTGATGAGGAATAGAATAACAATTATATCCTAGCTAGCTTACTGTGCCTTGATAGTACAGATCATTTCTTTCCCTCTTTCTCTCTTTCTCTATCTTCTCTTTTTTTATAATGAATCACTTTTTCTTTCCATTTTATTTTATTTTAAGTTACTGCATATTGTATGTATGTATGTGTGTATGTGTATGTGTATGTGTATGTGTATGTGTATGTGTATGTGTTTGTTTGTATTTGTATTTGTGTGTGTGAGTAGATAGATATACACTTCTTTTGTTAATGTGATGTGTCACACCGCCAACAGTAGTCGTCACGGCTGAATTGTCGTTTGCCCACAAATCTCACCAAAAAAGGAGCTTATTGGACTCTACACAAGACATTCCCTTTGTATTGGTCTTGTGTCTCCTAATGAACAACTTTGGCTCTACCCATCATTTGGGTTTCGATGAATCTCTCGAAGATAACCCCTTTGCTGATGTCGTCTCTCAGAACAATGCATTCGCTTCTACTTCATTTCAACGACATGTGCCACAGAGCTCCCTAATGACATCCTCAGACCAAATCATAGCTTCTGAATGGGATACTGGCTCAGAGCATGATTGGTCTTCCAAAGACGAAACAACCCAGTACAAAACGACAATAACACAGGGTACAACAAATAAGCATGCAGATAGCGCACTTCAAACTGTGGAGATAACAGATAACTCTGCAGAAATATACCTCTCCGCTCAAAGGACTCGACAGGAAGAACAAGAAAAAACTGTTCGGATAGAAGCAGAAGCAAAAGCTATACTAGAGGCAGAGGAGGCGCGTAAAACTGAAGCCAGACTTATTAAAGCTAAAGAGATTGCGGAACGAGAAAAGGCAGCACGAGAAGCAGAGGCCAGGGAAGCAGAGGCCAGGGAAGCAGAGGCCAGGGAAGCAGAGGCCAGGGAAGCAGAGGCCAGGGAAGCAGAGGCCAGGGAATCAAAGGCAAGAGAAGCAGAGACTAGAGAAGCAGAGGCTAGGGACGCTGAAGCCAGAGAAGCAGAGGAGAGTCGTACAAAGTTTAAGCAAGCAGAAGCTGTGGCTGGTCTAGTTCATATCCAGGAAGTAAAGACAAGGTTTGCCAATGATGATCAGGTGGAAGAATGGGATGATCAGCCATCCGAACAGAGTGAGGACGAAGAGCCAGATACTCGCCAAAACAAAGAAACACAACACACTGAAGAAGAAGAATTTGATACTCAGGTAAAGCCACTTGCCTTTTCCTTTACTTTACTTTATCTTAATTTACTTTGTGTGTATGCGTGTATGTATATATACATAATATTAATAATAATTGTGATATGTGTAATGAAACAGTCAGAGTCATTGGAAATCCCAAAGAGCGGGATCCGTCCGTACTTTGAAGTAACTGTTGAGGACCCTCAAAAAGTTGGCGACGCAATTAATGCACACATCGTATATAAAGTCAAAACAAAGGTAAATATATATACAAATCTATAGACATTACTCCTACTCTTATTATTCTTTTTTTTTTACTATGTAGACAAACTCTCCTGTGTTTCGATCACCAGAATGTGTGGTCGCAAGACGTTACCGAGATTTCCTTTGGCTTTATAACCAACTCACACTTGGCAATCCAGGTGTTGTAGTCCCACCTGTTCCAGAAAAACATGCCCTTGGTAAATGAACTTTTAAAAACACCCTGTAATTATTTTATTAGGGGTTAACTGTATATTTGATTGATAGGTCGTTTCCAGGATGAATTCGTAGAGTCAAGACGTATAGCGCTTGAGAGGTGCTTAAGAAAGGTCGTTTCGCACCCTATGCTATATGGAGATCCTGACCTTAAAGTATTTTTGGAGAGCGAATCATTTAATATTGAGGTACATTAGATCAATAGCTTTTCTTTCTTTTTTCCTTTTTTTTTTAAGAAAAAAGGAAGAGAAATTTTAGTTCAAAAGGTGTACTAAATTCTCTTATGTGTGTGTGACTAGAAACGACAAAAAAGAGCCGAACCAGAAACACCTAAGCTTAGCTTTATGAGATCTTTTGGAGAAACGATTTCAAATGCGGCATCAAACCCGTTTTCTAAATTTGTTGAAGTTGATGAATGGTTTGGATCGAAAAAGGATCAATTGGACGCCCTGGAGGTCCAATTGAAAGCTTTGATGAAGAGCGTGGAGAGCGTAGTAAAACAGAGAAAAGGTAATATTTACTATAGAAAGATGTGTGTAGAAAGTAATGCAAAGTAACTTGTGATTTTTCTTCTTCTTAGAGCTAGGAATCGCCACTGCCGATTTTGGTGAAAGCATGTTTCCACTTGCTTCTGCCGAGCTAAATCGCAACTTGTCCACACATCTAACGGTGCTCGGAGATGTCCAAAGACAAATGAAAGAATTGCATGAGCAACAAGTAAGAATTCGATATACATTTATACCTTGTTTATTATATACTACATGTGAATATAGCTATTATCCAAGATGCTAATAAAGTAATTTCCGTTTTGCTGTATTTCAGGCTCAGCATGATGTTCTCACCTTGGAACACACCATCGATGAATATATTCGAATCATAGGCTCTATCAGGGTATTGTAGCTGACGCTTAGATTGCTTTATTTATTATTGCTTACAGAGTTGGGTCTCTTTTTCTATTGCTATTGCTATTATTTATTGCATAATAGTTATCGTTTAATGCGCGCATCAAAGCCTATCAAACTTACCAGCAGGATGACTCTGAACTTCAAAAGAAAAAAATTACATTCGAGAAGCTAAAGAGTCAATCAAAGAGCAAGTCAGATAGGATGACATTGGCTTCTCAGGAAATTTCAGAGGTAAGTATTTATTCTGAAATTACGATAATGATTACCCAGTACAGCTTAATGTGACTCTAGCTGTTTCTAATTTACACATTGATTAATAGATGCAACAGCGCGTGGATGAGCGACGCAAGGACTTTGAGGATATTTCAAAGCTCATAAAGAGTGAATTGGATCGATTCGACAAAGAGAAAGTAGAAGATTTCCGTGATAGTGTCGAGAAGTTCTTGTGTAGCATGATTGGGCACCAAAAACAGGTAATTTTAGAGAATCCTCTGTAATTCAAAGAAAAAAAGAAGAAAACCAAGTATGCTAATGTACCTTCTCTATTAGGTTATTGCTCTCTGGGAAACATACTTTGAACAAACAGAAGGACTTGACGATGATGATTATGACGAAGAGTTCTACACTGAACACGATGAAAATGAACCGTCCGAAGTGGCTATATAATTTCTCTTTCTTATTTTCTTTTATTACTATTGTTATTGCTGGAAGGATGAGAGAAGAATTACACAAAGAATTCAAACTTGAAGCACACAACCAAGCAAGACCTCCGATGGTTTTTAAAAACGATTGGATTATGTGGATCATTTCAAATACCCCCCCCCCCCTTTTTTTTTTTCTTTTCTCTCTCTCTCTCATCATTACACTTTATTATCATCTTCTTCTAGTTATAACAATAATGGCTAATGATACATTTGTGAGCCTTTGTGAATATAAATAATATATAAATATGTCATGAACTTGTGACAGAAATATACCTCTTCCACTTTCTACCTCTCCAATAGTACCAGTTGTTGAAAGACATCCTCACACACCATATTTTTTTCAATTTATATTTGAGATAGTTGCATAAGACTAAAATATGTTAACGAGGTCTTTTTCGATCCCACAATTACGTGCGTACGAATTGGGGTTGGAAGTCTAACGATACTCTTTGGAAACATTATAGAGCTAGTGCTTCGTTCGTAAGAATTACTTTAGGACGCGATATTCCATGTAAAATGAAATACATTCACCCCAAGAGTACAAAAATAAAATTAGTCAATTTATGAAAACAATACAGCTTTACTTGTAGGTTTCACATTCCCCAAATCCCCCTTTTTGTTCATATTTCTTTCCCTTTGATAGTAGGATCATCTTTCAATGTGATTATCTTGAATCACCCTTTTATTAGTAGTATTTAAAAAAAATAAAAAATAAAATAAAGTAGAGCAAAACACATTTGCAAATCGCAAGATTCGAAAATTCAAGTTGCATAATTCGAAAAAATAAGGCGGATTTTTGGGGATGAAAACTTTTCAAAGTTTTTTATATTTAAGCAAAAAGTTGAGTATACATTATAAAAAAAATCATTCATAAAGGTTAGGAACTCTTAAAAATGCTCCTTGTATAGTGTGTTTTACTGGAATATCAGATATATATATATTTAAGGCTCACATTTTTGTAGGATTTTTAATTGTAAGATATTGTGTGCTTAAAGATAATAAGCTCATATAAATGTACGCGTTATTCTGCTTAATAAGACACATTTATATTGATGCTCTATATAAAATAATAATCATAAAACATCTGGTCCCAAACATTAAGGACCTTACGCACTCTAAGCACATACATTTTGCTCACTCATAAATGTATGCTTAAGTGTAAATAGCTCTGCGTCACTAACGAAGTGACGTATAAGCTTATCACGTGAGGCTGACGTCTAGCTCCAATCAATCGAATTGCAAGGTAAACAAATTGACCTGCCCCTTCCCTGAGGAAAAAAGCATCCGCAACTGAACTCCATTTCCAAAAAAAAAAAGAAGTTTTGTGTGCATTTTCCTCTGCCACCTACATTTTCTTTTCTTCTTTTTTTTTTGAGTCATTAACTACCACCCCCCTTCTCTTTATATAAACACACAAAAAACATAAAAAAATTAAAGAAAATGAACACCGTTCGTTCCTTCGTTCGATTGGCTGCAAAGACCTCTCCATTGGCCAGACAGACCGTAACCAGACGCACTATCCATTCGTCTCCTGCAGTTCTTTCCGACGCATTGTTTGTGGTAGAATATCGGCTCCTTGTTTTTTTTTGTTTTCTTGAAAAAAAAATTATCTTTATTACTATGACTATCAGTATCAGTATTAGTATCAGTATCAGTACTATTTTTATTATTACAGTTTCTTTCTTTCTTTTGTTGCAAAACTGGGAATTCATTTTTCTATAGACCAAAACTTTCTCATCTTTACATAAATCCAAAACAAAACAAAACAAAACAAAATAGCATCGCGACACACCCAAGAACAATGCCAAGATTCCTTTTGAATTCAGCCCCGAGAACAAGAAAAAGGTAGAGGAGATTTTCAAAAAGTATCCTCCTCAGTACAAGAAGGGTGCTATCATGCCTCTTCTGGATCTTGGACAAAGACAGCATGGCTTTACTTCTCTCTCGGTTATGAATGAGGTCGCTCGTTTGACTGAGGTTCCTCCCATGCGTGTTTATGAAGTCGCTACTTTTTACACAATGTACAACAGGTAAAACAAAAAAACAAAAAAAAAAACAACAACAACGACGACAACGACAACGACAATGGTTATTCTTATGCAAGAAATATAGAGAACCCGTCGGAAAGTACTTCCTTCAGGTCTGCACCACTACTCCTTGCCAATTGGGTGGATGTGGATCTACAAAGATTCTGAACACCTTGACTGAGGAACTCAACATTAAGCCTGGCCAGACCACAAAGGACGGTCTTTTCACACTTGTTGAGGTTGAGTGCGCTGGTGCCTGTGTCAATGCTCCTGTCATGGCCATTAACGATGATTACTATGTAAGCTGAGAATTTAAATTATGAAAGTTAACGGAATATACACGTAAATTTAGTATGAGTGAGTGAGTGAGTGCGTGTGAGTGAATGTGTGAAGGAATGTGTGCGTGTGTGTGTGTGAGTGTGTATATGCATGTGATTGAATGGATATGTGAAGGAGTGTGTCTGTGTATTTTTGTGTTTGTGTATATGTGTGTGGGTATTAAACAAATTATCTCTTATGTCTTTATTAGGAGGATCTTACACCCGAGACTACCAAGAAGTTGGTTGAGAACTTGCAGTCCGGAAAGCCAGTCACACCTGGCCCTCAGTCTGGTCGCCACACTTGTGAGTTCGCTCCTGGTGTCTACACCACCTTGAACGAGGAGCCCTATGGTCCTGGCTTTGGCGTCCGTTCTGATTTGTAAATGGATAATAATAATAATAATAAGAAGGAGAAAAAGACAAAGTTGTTGAGAGAAAGAGAGAAAGAGAGAGAGAGAGAAAATAGATATATAGATAGAAAAATGGGGAAAGAAATCTTTGCAAAATCAAAAATCGAACGAAGAAATGCGCTTTTTGTTACATCAAGTAGAAAGAATACACACGCATATATAATCATATAAAAATTATTCTTATAAGTTGGTCCAGAGTGGTATTCTATGCTGTTCGTCTGCTTTCTATCTATTTATCTATATATTCTTCCTCGACTTCTTTAATTTCAAATTCTCTTTTTACTTTCTTTCTCCATTTCGTAATTTTGTCTCTTAGAAGACTGTGATGTTCAATTTGTATAAAAGAAAATGAACTTTTTTTTTTCTTCTTCTCTTTCAAATGGGAAGAATATTCTGACTGGCTGACTGTGTGTGAATTAATGAAGTTTATTTGATGCTTTTGTTGATTTTCTCTTATATTTACATTAATTGGTTTAAATTGGGTGAAAATATGTAGTATAGTCAAATGAATAAACAATAGAAAATTGCTCATGTAATTAACTGAACATTACAAAAGTAAAATATAAGTTTGTGACATACTAATGAATTTGCTTTGATAGCTTACATGAGCATAAATGACGTTGTTGTGTTTAGTTATATATATATATATATATATCAGAGGTTGATATACGTTGTATGTGTATAAAGATTACATACATATATATATATATATTTATATTTGGTAATTTTGAATTAGGTAACAAAAGGAAAGTAAATTGCAAGGTATTAATTAATACACCCATATACTTTAATAATTATCATTACTTTCTAATTGAAGCAAAAACACAATTAAGCCCCACCTTCTCATTTTCTCTCTCTATTTTCATTTAAAGAATATTAAGTAACAAGTAATAATCATGCTAAAAATTAAAGATTGTGTAATTGTGACCAAAGACAGATATATTCATTAATATAAAAATGGGCTTATCTTTTCCAAGTTGTGCCAAAAAAGAATAAAACAAACAAATACTAATACTAATACTAATACTAATAATGTGTAAAGAATCTTCTTTTTCTATTTGGTTATTTGAAACATTAGAATTCCTTTTTATTATTATTATTATTATTTCTAGATCAAGAAAATCTAATACTAACAAGCTAAAATGACAGAATGCTTTCGGTATAATTGGCAATAAAAACCCGATTCCACATTAAAGTATTACCTTGTTTTAAATATTTACAATTTCCTTGGTGAGCATGGGTCAAGAATATATATAAATATAAAAGGGAAACAGAAAATCGGGTTGATATAATATGTATATATATTTATTTATATAAAGGTGATACACATATATGCTACAGAAACCTCATTATACACAATACACAAATTCTCACAAGATACTTTGAAGATTTTAACAGTATTAAAGATATTCTGTGTTTCGGGGGCAAAACAAGACTTCTTGGTAGATTGATTACCTTTGATTGATTGTCCGTAAATTGCACAAATCTATTGCATTATAATGTATATATTATTTTACCAACGCACTCATTTACCCATTCCCACTAAATGCCCTTTTTTCCTTTTTTTTCTTTCTTCTTCTTTATATCCCTTTGCTCTATATACTCATATGATACATGCTTGTATCTCTATACATAAAGCTAATGACCTAATAAATTATTTCAATTTCTTGCTGACAGTTCCTTGTATAATATAATATAATATAATATAAAATAAAATAAGAATACAAATTCCTTTTGAAATTTCTAATTATTTTAATTTTCAGAGGCAGATCTTTTTGGTTCATATTTGTGTGATCGACAGTAAAGTGGCTGTGTACTACCTTGTCTGGCTCTCTTTTTGACTAACCGACCAAGAAGATAAAAAAGATTATATAAAATATATATATATATATATATATATATATATTTGTTACTAGGGCAACCAGCTAATAACCTAATAGGCTAACCAGCTAGCCATCTAAATAATAATATTTTTATTACTATTAATATTTTATGAAACCAATATTCTTTTTTTTTTAAAGAAAAAAGTGACGTATTGGAATTCTTACCGAGAAATACACAAGATATATAAGAAATATATATATGTGTGTTTAATTAGATCTAGTTTAGACTTTTCTTCATTTCTCTCTTTTTATTTTTCATTCTTTTAAAAGCAATTATATAATTATTATGTAGAGATCAATTGTAGGAAAATATTAATATTAATATTATTATTATTATTATTGGTATTGGTATTGGTATTATTTTTTGGGAAGTACAGATAATTATCTATTTCAATTACATGTAACACGGTAGAATAATGGATATTGGAGTGAACACATCAACGCAGCATTTTAAATTGCCTTTACAAGCAAGAAAGGAAATTAGCAATGAAAAAACAATACAGCAAATATTACAAAGGAGTTTTTCTTTTTTTTCTCTTTTTTTTTGGGGGGAGATATATATATATATATATGGTTTGTATGGGTGCGTGTGTGTGTGTGTATATAACTGTAATTGTAATTGTGATTGTGATTGTGATTGTGATTGTGCATATATGTTATGTATAGATGTTGTGTACGTGTATGTGTGCGTGTGTGTAGAACGAAAAAGAAGAATAAGAATAAGAATAATATATAATAAGGCATAAAGAAGTAGAAATCAAAACATAGTAATGATTTGATATACATATATATATATATATACATATATACATATATATATTTGGTTTGGTTTGGTTTGGTTTGGTTTTGGTTTTTGGTTTTTGGGTTTTGGGTTTTGGGTTTTGGTTTTGGTTTTGGTTTAATTTGGCCATTTGCCACCTAACCATCCTAGTCGACCAAATACACTCCAAAGTGTACTTGCTTTGTTGACATCGATACGGCATACCCGTTGAGCATCAGATTTACGAAATGGCACATGTTCCTTGCTAGCCTCTTGAGCCCCGAGTACAAGCACGCGCTTACATTTTAGATACTGTTCTGGCGTGAGTCTCAAGGTAGATGCAATATGAACCTCTCCAGGATGAAGTAATTCGTAGTGTGCTAATCCAACAAGAGATACGGGTGATCCTATATCAATAGATTGTGATTTAGATTTCAATTTAGAGAAATTCAATTGAAAGGTACAAATGATAGTAAAAGTAAAGAAAGAAAGAAAGAAAGAAAAAGGGTCTTTATTGATCCTACCTTTCCAAACTACTCGAACATGAGCGGTTCGATCAAATACGTCTAGACTAGGGATCCACTCGGGTTCATAAGCGCTTGTGTCCTCTAGATGAATGTCAACCTGATCATATGCAACCGCTGCATCCGTCTTGGCTTTCTTTTTAATGTAGCGTTCGGGTTTAACAGAACATGAAGTTTTGACTGGTTTGGCAACAATTGGTGTAGATGTAATCACATGTTCTTCAACTTGTAGTGGTAGTGGCGGCTCTTGTGGCTTGATTGCACATTTTTTTTGTTTTGAATATGGCGTGCGCTGGGGGAGAAAATTGCTGTGCTGGCTGTGTTGGTTGTGTTGGGTGTTCTGGAGATTGTGGTTATAATGATCATGAGAAATATCAGACGATCTCCTATAAGAATTAGGTCTGCACATGTCAGACATATCCATGCCAAATGAACCTTCGCGAGTGATTGACGGCGATCGTCGAACGATTGGGCAGCTGCGTCTCTTTACAGACATCAATTCATCCTTTTCAATCGAATCATTTTGAATTATTGTTTGTTCTTGTTGCGGCACTGATATCTGTGATATTTGTGAGGATTGGGATGAATTCAGTGGACGGTAATCTTTTGATTGACAGGCCATTAGAGGCGAAACAAGGGGAGGAAAGATAAAGGTGATATCTTGGTCACAATCGCTACTGCCACCAACTGATGGAGTACGGTGTTTGCGTCTGTAGAGATAGGCGCTGGATTTTCTGCGAGACGAATTCATAGCCTTGGACGGATCCAATGTTGAGGAAATAAGCTTTCCTGGCTCAGCAGCACTACCAAACGACCAGGGTGGGGACGGGAATTGCGCCCGAACCTTTGGAGTTATTGGCGGCGACAAGATAGCATCCTGTATTGGGGATTCTGGTTGACAAGATATCTTTTCAAGGTTAACCAGATCTGTTGGGTGAAATATGGTGTTAAAATCCATTTGTGCAAAATAAATAAAGATATAAGGGAAAATATACTATATTATATTGTGTAGTATTGTATAGTATTATATGGTATTATATGGTATTTTGTATTTAAAGAGAGAGAAAAAAAAAATACAGGATAAAGAAGAGTAAGAAGAGGAAGAAGAAGAAGTCGAAAAATTTGTCAAGTTAAAAAAATAAATAAATAAATAAAGAGAAAAGAAAAAGATAATTAAAATAATAACATTAATATTAATAATAATAATAATAATATATACTAATATACAATAATATAGTATAATATAGTATAATGTATATATATATTTATATATATATTTATATTTATATATTTATACTTACATAAAAAATAAAAACACAAATTAAAGGCACAGTAGGTTAATTGAGCCGATATATAGATTGGCGTCGCGATGGGACTACTGCTTTTCTGACTGTTCAATAATCACAATAATTCTAATAATCACAATCACAATAATAACCATTAATGTCAGAATGGCGTTCATCAAACGCGTAGACTAAGGACCGGACCCTGCTCTGCTTTGCCAATCTGATCTCAGCATTGCCGGGTGTGTTCTAGAACAGAACTCTTGTAGTCCTTTATTTTTGTTTTTTTTTTGGTGCGTAAATATGTATACAAATCTATATATATATAATTAGATATATACACTTGCATATAATCTATATTACTTTATTTCTTAGCCCCCCAATACCTCCCCTTCTTTTATATACATATGCTATATTTCTCTGTCTCCTTCTCTTGCCTTGTCTTGGCTTGACTTGGCCTGTAGTATATTACCTTGCCTTACTTGCATTGCTCCTCATTTTCTTTCTTTATATCTCTTACACGTATTTTCCCTTCTAGCTCCTTTACATACAGATATAAACAGCGTGAACACGACTACAATTATTATTACTTTTCATTTTATTGTGTTGATTTACTGGTAGAATATTTTGTACCAGAAAATAATAATTAAAATCTGCACTTGTTAATATTATTCTGATTCTTATTCTTATTCATATTATCAGCCCAATAAATAAAATAATGTATATATATAAAATAATTAATGACATTAAGACGGAGATGATGCGCAAAAAAAAACATGATCTTCTCAAAAAAAATAGGGCCGAGAAAAGCCATTTAGACAATAATTATTATAACATTCAATTACAGAATAACAACAACCTGGTTTCTTCTAATTGAATATTAATACTAATAGCAGTAATAGCTAGACAAACAACCAGACCAAATATCTACAAGTTTATACAATTGCCCTTGATATTACTGGTTAACTGACTGTAGGAGCGATTGAATGAGCAAGTGCCTGCTTGCTTGCTTGTTTGATTAATTGATTTGATTCGATTTGATTTGAATGATTGGTCGATCAATATGTAAGAAAATTGACCAATATTAATATTACAAATTACTACTAATATATATATATACCAAAATCAAGATCAAGATCTTTCTATTGATATAACTATCGAGTTATTAAACGAGTGACTGAATGAGTGGGTGAGTGAATAAAAGAAAATAAAATAGTATTATAGATTAAAAATATTGTGTGTATCTATTTCTGCCTGGGTCCCCCCTCTTAAATCAATTCTGGCTGTGCTCTACACATACATTATACAGAGACCAAATAAATAAATTCAAGCTATTCTCTTTACAGAGTGACACAGACCAATCCAAGCTCAATTACACACACACACACACGTATATATATATTTTAGGTACAACCAAGAACCAGGAAGAGGTGGCGCAATAGTAATATAAAAATTTATGTAGATGTACATAGATGCAAATGTAAATGTAGATATAAATTTATACCTATTTAACGATTCATTTTCTCGATATTGTCTAGACGTCTATCTATAGAACTCTTTAAGTTTATACTACTCATTTGTACATCTAAAGAAGGGCCAAGGGAATTTCAATTGAAAATTGGGGTAAAGAAGTCAAGAACAATATATAAATAAAAGGTTGAATAGGATCTTATAAGTTTAGAGATAGTAAGATAAGGAAATTATATATCTTTATTTTCTTTTGTAACCAACTAATAATAATACTAATAAGATTTTTATAGTTTTATTTTATTTTATTTTATTTTATTTTATTTTATTTTATTGAGGTATTTATTTCTTAATGTTTAAAATAGCCTGTCAAATTATCAATAGCCAAATGAGCTTTTTTTTGTTTTGTTTTGTTTGTTTCATTCACAAAAATCCATATTTGTAAATCCCTTTCAAATTACATTTTTTTTTACATTAATGTATTTCATTTGTGTATAAATATGTATGTATATATATATATATATAGAGAGAAAGATGAGAATTTGGACCAGCCATTAGAAAGACAAGATTATATATATATATATAAATCAAATATCCTTGTGTGAGTGTGAGTGAGTGCAAATGAGTGAGTGAGTGAGTGAGTGAGTGAGTGAGTGGAAATTGTTAAAAGATAAAGTAAAATAATAATAGTAATGTAATAGAATGTAATGTAATTTGTTTGATTTGCTGGTTTGTTGGTTGGCTGTTTTTTTTGGTTGTCTTTTTGGTTTTCCCTTTTTTCCCCATTATGTTTCTTATGGAGTAAATGTCTCTGATTGGGAATCACAGTCTTTCTTTTCGTCTGCCTCATCCAAGTCTGTGCTGGCCTCTGCCTCTGCCTCTTCGGATTCTACGTCAAAGAGATCATGGTACTTCAAAATAAGGTATTTTACAATGTTTTGGTGGTGGCCCAAGTTGGACATCGTTGTGGCAAATGAAGCCGGACCCGGAGCTGGCTGAAGAAGGGTAGGACCGAACACAATTGCCAGATTGGTTGCATACATGTGGTTCACAACCTCGAAATCTGTCACTCTACAAAAGATATATAATTATAATTATAATTATTATTATATTTACTTATTAGTCCATTATACTATATATATATATATACATCAAAATCCTATTCAAAACTTACGTGACAAAATGCTCAATAAGACGTTTAAGAACAATGTAGTTTGCAGGTGGCAATTTACGAATGGTTTCCCGGATCAAGTAGACTCGCTCATCATGATTCTCAGAAGCTAAAGGTAAAAAATGCACAAAAAGAAGCAAAGAAATCATACGCATACATACACCCAGGCAAAAACACACACGCACGCACATATAAATGAGCGAGTAAATGAGGTTGTATATATTAGTAAAAGTTAATAGAATAAATAATTGGCATAAATCCTCATTTGTTGTTGTGAATAAAACATAAAAGTGAGTATATTTACCAGACGCATTGATAAATTCATCATAAAGACTACATGTCAAAAGAGGCTCAGGTAATTCGCGCAAGAATTGCTTCAGGGCATCAGCAACAACATTGATATCAGCCCACGCAGGGTCCCCGAGATTTACAGTCGCCAGTTGTGTGTTGAATGCCATCTTTAACTTGGTAACAACCGACCCAGTGCCTGCGACCCGATATATACCAATCTCTTCCAGTCCACGCATCTCAATCTCTTTCAAACACTTTTCCATAACCAACGGAATGCGATCCCCTCGCATCAGCAATGCAAGATCAACTCCATATACAGACGAGCGAGATTGGAGATGGCCTGAACGACGATTCGAATTGCCTGCAATGTCAACTCGACATTGACTCGTCTGGTCATCCAGAGACTCGGCTACTAGCACACTCTGACGTTTAGCCGCACCCTCACGAGCAGCATTGTTGATCTGCTTCATCCAGTCGTGCATGTCATCTCGATTTGTTCCCTGAAACAGATATTGTCCACCTTCTTCCGTAACAATCCGGAAAACATAGTCGCGCTTGGTGTACGCACTAGCAACAGAGACAGTCGAGTGAATTAGGTTGATGACAGTTGCTGCCTTGGTAGTCATGAAAGACAACATGGTGGTGTCGCCATAGTCAGTCGGAAACAGACCGAGGGTGACACTGGTCATAGAGTGCGGCCGCAAGCCACGCAGAAACGAATTGATCTTGGGCATCATTTGACTGTGGTGCTGCAGTTGCAGAGCCTGAAGCGGCTGAGAAGACTGGCCTTTTACAGAACGTTTTCCTTGGCGCTCACTTTGCCTTAGTTGCTCCATTTGCTTTTTTTGAAGTTTGTGTTGAACCTCTCGGCACTCCTTATCCATCCGATCACGCTCCTTGATGTCTCGCCTGAGTTTTTCTAGCTGCTCCCCAACCGATTTGCCAAACACTAGAGATCGCAAGTTGTGTTTGTAAGTAGAGTTGCGACTAGCCGCACTAGCCTTGTTTTCACGCTGAGCACTCTCTTTAAGTTCGCGCCAAGATGGCTTGGTTCGGTTGGGCGCAACAAGGAATGAGAGTAGTGGCTGGTCATTGGTGATTTCAAGGTCAACCTGGGCGTTCATCAGCATATTGAGAAAGTGGAATACATAGCGTCGCTTGTCAAAGTAAATGATTTCCTCCCGCTGACGGTATTTGTTTGGCACCATCGCACAAAGTTCCAACATCCTCTCAAAGATCCACCCCAAACTGGGCACAAGCAGTCCGTCCACGGGCGGTTGGAAACTTTCTTGAACAGAACACAACATGCTTTCGAGTGTGTCAAGCGAACCTTGTCCATGCCGGAGTCCAACCTCTTGCCACGCTCGTGAATAAAGTCTCACTTCCGGGCTCACCAGGGCACTGGCAACCGCATACTCAACAAACCCCGGAACACGTCTTGCGGCTGGATCTTTGATCTCCGGGAAAATCATACGAGTCTCATTTGCATGCTTACTCAGTGTCGCAACACGCAAGAAGGTATCAATGTAATCAATCCGAGTCTTGAGATCAAGGTTGGGCTGGGCAATCTGAGACATCACCCAGCTGCGAATCACAAAGTGCATGCAGTACAGGTTTTGAATAGAACTCGGAAAGGCCAACAAAAGATCATCGGCTGAAAATGCTGAAGGCGACACAATAGATCGTCGGGCTCCCTCAATTGCTGTGAAAATATCGGACACGATTATGTCCTCTGGCGCCATATTGTAGCTCGTCTGCTGGGCCGAGGGCGCCTCTGTGACAGGCGAGAGAGCAGCCGACAGCAGTGAAGTATGGGAGGCCTTTCGTGCAGGAAGCCATGCATATATGTCAGTTGACTGGGCCTCAAAGACATCGAAGGTTTGGATCCAGTCCTGGAGGGTCACTGATGCAAAAAATGGGCGGACCGAGCGATCGGCTTGCAGCAAAAGGGCAGCAGGATCGGCACCGTCACAGACATTCGGATGGCCATCTGGTTTCATTGTAAGCGAAAATACAATGGGGTCTGATTTCGACTTGTAGGCTGTCGTACTGAAGCTTTGGGTCATCCCATTCGTCAGTTGCCGATACAACTCATCAACATGGCGACCTCCTTGTGTATCGTGAACAATCGCTTTGAGGTCGTAACAAGGTGACAAGAACCGGCGCACAAACAGTGTACGGAGCTCGGCCATACGCTCCTGGATCTTACTCGCTATTGCAAGAGCCTCTTCCTCCCGGGGTGTCTGTTTGGAGACCTGCATCAAAGGCACTCTCCACTCATCCAAGGCTTCTTCAGCCGTCTTGAGAAACCGGGCAATGTGGCGTAAGATCTCGATTTCATCCACAAAGTCATAAAAATGCTCATCAACCCAGTACACCAAAAGATCAAGAATACGCAACTGGACTTCTCCTACTTTTTGCCAATCGCACTCCTCAGCCTCATTCGGCATAAACACTGTCTCAAGAGCAGTTTTCTTTTTCTCGTGGCGCACACGATAACCGACCATCTTTGCCATCGAGAATCTTTTACGGAAAAGGTCCAACAGATGAACACAGGACACAAAGGTACGATATGTAACAAAGAATACCCGAATGAATTCATCTTCGTCCATCATCAGCTGGTAATCTTCTTCACGCTTCAAAAGAGATTGCCACTGGTCACGCACAAGATCTGCGTAGGTATCTACACCTTCAAACAGTCCATCCAATAGCCTATCCAAACCACCGGCCTTGACTTGAATTTGAAGGACTGGCCGGCTTTCATTCCATAATGTTTCTGTACTACCCAAGGTGTCTGGCCGAGATCGCCGAAATTGTTGCTTTTGGTGTCTTGTCTGAGGAGTTGGCTGAGTGCCCGACACATGAAGAGTTGCCTTGAGAACCAGACTGTCATCCAGCACACTCCAAACCCACTCGTTCCTTGAACCAGACCCGACTGTCGTAAGCCAAGAAGATGTACTACTCACAGTGTCACTTAAGGGCCCTCCTCCTCCTCCTACTATGCTGCCACTACCAACACTTCCTCCTTCATCCACATCAACGAGCTCTTTTGTGATCCGACCAGGGGGAAAACTATACGTCCTCCGCCGAAGTGCTCTACTGCTGGTCTGACGTGGCGATCTGCCCTGGACACTAAAGCCAATTGTTCCCGGCATGCGTGCACTTAGTCTATCTTCGCTTGATCGACCAATAGACTGCAGAGTCCGCTCAGGTAGAGGCGAAGCTTGAAGAGACAGACCAAGTGCCTCACTTGGCTTGAACAAATTATGACTCTCAAGAATCTCAGGGAAATGCATGGCTGACAGAATGCCTGGTTCTGGGGACTGGAAAGGATCATGAGTCTTTCTATCATAGTGTTGTCCAAATATACGCGGTTCACATCCTAATGATGCTTCTTGAAGATAACGGTAGTCATGAGGGACGGCAGTAAAGTCCGTAGCAGAGGTTTCAAAGTAGGTCTGGAGAGGAACAGCAACATCAAAGGGTGGTGTGGTAAGAAGAGTGGATTCTGGATTGAATTTGAGCCCGGCCAGACTGTGTTCAATTGTATCAAAGATGGACCAGTACTTGGCGAAATGAATGGTGCCATATGCCAGGTGTTCTTTTACGTGTTTACGCATCCGGTCTACTGTCTGTTTTAGGGTTCCAAAGAAAGGCAGCGACGGGAGATTGTCTCGATCTTTGAAGGGTGACTCAAGAATGGCGCCAAACACCTGACTTTGGTCTCCTTCCCATCCATCCACCCACACTTCTTGGGAAAACAGACCGTGATCGGCAAGTAAAGGCACCCAATCTTCAATCACAGCTATGACCAGTCTATGATCGACGGATTTCCAGGATTCCTTGAGGCGAACAACCCCCACCGAGCATAGACCCATGGCTACGGCTGCCCAACCAGACATGTCCCCGAGTACCAAGAGATGACGTCCGACCCGAATCCAATGTTCTATCAATTGGGTACGAATCAGCATGCTACGCTCAGTGCGACAGGCCTTATTGTGTTGCTGGGTGTCAACCAAAATCTGGCGACGTATGAGACGAGTGAGGAAATGCGGGGATGCAGTTGTAAATAGCAACGAATTCAACATCTGAGTAGGTATCTGAGGACCGGGTAGAAATGACAATGGATTGGTAAGGCTCTGACGATATGTGCGCTGTTGGGAATAATGGAACATATATATCTGCTCAGCAAATTGCTCCGGATTCATTGCCAAAAAAAGTGATGGAACGAGCCCATTCGGATGAATCTTGGACAGCTCTACATCAGCCTCTGTGCTATATCCTGCTATTGTGTATACTAGTCTAGCATCATTCCAGGTAGACATGGCTTCTTGCTCGTTTTTGGCTCCATTCTGGGCTAGGGTAGCCAACACCAGAGTCTTGACTCGTTTGGATCGTTGTTGAATATTAGCCAATGTCTTGATATACAGGCTGTCCAGAATTGCAATCATACCCGTGGCTACTTCTCCCACGACATCTTGGCCGAATGATCGACACCATACATCAAAGATGTCGAGAGTGCGATCCACAAGGCGATTCTGCAGGGCTGGTTGATTTCCATAGCGCTTCAGCTGAGCCTTGATCTCATCCAACATCGGAACCGCGGTTGTGAACATGGTATAAGTCAATAGAAAACAGTGAAGGTATGCACCTTGTTCCTGACATGTACTCTGCGTTTCTAGCAGTAATTCGTGCACAAGTGCTTCTAACGATCCGCCTTGTATGCGTTTTCCAGCCGGGGTAGAATCGATCAATAGACCAGGATGTTGCTGTGTCCCATCATAGGGTTTTTCTACACAATTTTTGGGACTGTGACTGGAGATGCCAAGCCAGCTGGCCTCCAGACTGATAGATTCTTCTTCGCTCCACTCAGTCTCCATGTATTTCTGCTGAGTCTTTTTAAAGGCTGCGATCCACTGGTCAGCTCGCTCGGTTGTCTGAGATTCAAAGACAACTCTCATGGCGGGCTGGCTGATGAGTCCGAGGGCAAAAGTGGGTTTTGGACAGGAGAGAGACTCTAGTCTGAGGTGCTGAAGCGGGAGTCGAAGATCGATCTGCCACACACCACTTTCTTTGCTGTCGGCAGATTGTCTACAGACAATGACCTGGGAGGCGAACAATAGGAGCCGGACATCGTGGGTGGGTGCGAGACTTTGGCGATCCAGCTCGCCAAACGCAGCGCCATACACAAATGACTTCCGGAGTGGGCCGTGCATAAAGATTCCCTGGGCATCACGATCAAAGGAATCGCAGCTTAGGGTTATGCTGCTGTCACTGCTTGCCAAGACAGAGTTTGAGGAAGAGGCCCGGCCTTGATTTACACTCGAGACCGAGCTAGTAGAGAGTGAGAAAGTTGGCTGGTGGTCCTTGGGCAGGGGAAATAAAGACTTGAGTGGAGACTCCGTGGGGGTCTTGTACAGATACAGTTTGTGACCTCGTAATACAACCCTATAAAGCTTCCAACCTCGATCGAGTCGCGAGGCCTTGTGGAACGCACGAAAATCTGTCTTTTTGTAGAGATAGCCTTCTTTGAGAACAATAAGACTTGTACGCTTTTGGTCTTCGGATGTGGAGGAAGGACGTCTACGCGGTAGTAGGTTGTCAATGCTGTCTTCGTAAGATCTCGCCTTTGCATCTGATGGTGATTCTGGGGGTAGATCCATTGACCATGGTGAGCGATGAGGGAGTGTCATTGAGCGATGAGACGAGACTGAAGTGCGTGGGCTGGCACTTGTTGTAGGCTGCTGAGTGTCGAGTGTTGACTTTGGAGGGTTGGAGAATAGACGACTTTTGAGAAATGAGAATGGGCCTGTGCGATGGGGATGGGGATCCTCATCGGGGCGAGTGCCAGTCTTCTTTTTTGACTTCATCGCTCAAGGGCGAGTGGAGTTTTTTTGTTTTGTTGTTTTTTTTTGGATAGGGTTAAGGAAAGGAAAAGATGAAGAAGCCAGAAAGAGGAGGGTTTGTAGGTTGAATGGAGTTCTACTAGCTCTTGCATACGTAGTCCTCTCTCCTGCTTTCTTGATCGCTAAGGAGTACAAGAGGCAGAAGACTGATATTATTGTAAAGAAGGGGTCAAAATGAAATTGTAAATATAAAAGAATAAAATAATATATATATATATATAAATGTAAATGTAAATGTAAATGTAAATGTAAATGTAAATGTAAATAATTATATAATTACAATTAGAATTAGAATTAGAATTAGAATTAGAATTAGAATTATTATTATTATTATAATAGTAATAGTAATAATAATAGCAATAGCAATTATAATTATAATAAAAAGGGCTTAATCGGTGTGGTTGAATAGATAACTCACACTCTCACCATTATGCTGTCATACACAAAATAACACAGCATGAGCGTCACGGTTGTCGATAGCCAATCAATAAACACAAAACAGAAATAAAATATACATATATTATATATAAAGCTTACCGTGCGTCGAATTGCTTCTGCCAAAGTCATGGCAATATCAATCATTACTAGTTTTGTGGAATGCTGGGCCTTGGTTTCTGGTATAGGGAATGTATTGGTTACTACCAACTATATGTTCATATTACAAAAGTAAAACCATACAAAAAAAAGGGCATTCAATTAGAAGGGATTCCTTTTATCTTATGGTTAATAAAGATACTTACTCTATATACGCTCTCACAGGCTTCAATTCGTTCAATGGCATCTCCACTTAATACACCATGAGTAGCAATTAAATAAACCCTAGCTGCCCCACATTTGTTAACCAAGTGGTCGGCAGCATTTAAAAATGTACCGCAGCTATCAACCATATCATCCTTTTTAACAGAGCATAGATTTCGGATTAATAAATAAATATAGTAATATACATTTATACATATAAAAGCTTATCCTGTCTTACTGTCAAAAATACGATCTTGTTCTTCACATCTCCCACCAAAGTTATTCCTGGCTCTTGGCTAACCCCACCCAGCAATCCAATCAACGCATGGGTCGACGGTTCTACTGGGTGCCATCCAATGGCCTTTGGAAATACCAACGCCTTGGTCTGATCTACTGTATGATTGGCTTGAGCATCCAACCATGCCTTGTCTTGGTGTATCAAGGCAAAATCAAGGCACAAAGCATCTGCCAATGATGTAACTCTATTTGAACATATAAATACATAAACCATTGGTAGTTTTCCTTACCTCTTGGCTCCACCTGCATTCTTACTCACTACTACTCCATTCTGCCACTGTGGTACATGGCGCATGATCCATTGGGCAATGACAGGTTCAGCATACAGATTGTCGACTGGACCACGGAAGAATCCTTGCATCTGGGACGCATGTAGATCCATTGTCTACCATTTCCGACCATCAATATCCGCAACTCCCCCTTCTATCTTTTACATTTCATCCTTTATCTTCATTATAATTATTATTCTTATTCTGAAATTCAATACGTACAATAATATGGTCCACACCAGCAACAGACAACATGTTGGTCAACACTATAATATAATTGAGTCACAAATGCCTGTGAAACAAAGGAAACCTACACTTGGCAGTAATAGATGTACGGCCCTTGCGTTTACTCTGTTTACAATAGGGAAAATATGGCAATACAGCAGTAATACGTTTGGCGGACCCCATTCGGGCAGCTTGAACCATGATACACAGCTCGATAATAGCATCGTTCATATGGTAACATCCACTTTGAATAATGAATACATCTTTATTTCTTACAGACACTCCTACCAAGCATAATCCCACGCATCTTCTCTATTAGAATCAAATTCTGTACCCCATATTGCTCTCGTATGAAGCTGATTTCTAGTCGGCTTACCCATTTCTACACTTGTTTCTTTGTTGCTGAACTTCTGGAGAGATGCTGGAGCAAGAGATACTCCCAGACGCTGGCAGACCATATTGGCCAGTGCAGGGTGAGAGGATCCCGAGAAAATTTTGGTATTGCGCATAACGAAGAAAGAAAAAGGTAGAAGAAGTGAAAGAAGAGGGAGTGTGCCAATATACACGTGATGCTTAAAACTTATGGTACGGTTTTTATTTTATTTTATTTTTGTTTTTTGGAAAAAATATTATTATAGAATAGGGTTGGCATGGGAAAGCTGGCTGTGGAGTCTAAAATACGCTGACTGGTTGGCCATCAACTCATCGTGGGTGCCTAATGAAACCTTTGAGCATGGAAATGGAAAGAATGATCAATTGGTGTTACCTTGTTCAAGAACATTGCCAGGGACTCGGCCCATCACCACAATCTTGTCTGAAAATCATGGTATTATTGTTTTTGTTGTTGTTGCTGTCGGTTTTGTTTCCAAATAAAATAATAAGCATGAACTTACCTGCAGATCGAATGGTCGACAATCTGTGGGCAATCACCACAACAGTTCTTCCCTTCATCAAAAGATCTAATGCTTCTTGAACCATCTTTTCAGAGTGAGCTATAATTGTAAAAGACACAAGAATAGCATGTGAGAACAACAAGTCTATAGATCAGTTCCTGTAATATATTTGCACTTACTGTCTAGGGCAGAGGTTGCTTCATCCAATATCAAAATCTTGTAAAAATAAGTTGTCATTGTTTAGAATATACGTGTATAAAACAAAATAAAAAAAATCCTGTTATTCTTTTACCTTGGGATCCTTTAGAATGGCACGAGCAATGGCAATTCTTTGCTTCTGTCCACCAGAAAGCGAGGCACCTCTCTCACCAACCATTGTGTCGTAGCCATCCGTGAAACCCTCAATAAAGTAAGCAGCATTTGCTTTCCTGGCAGCCTCCTTGACTTCTTCCATCGTTGCCTCGGGCCGACCATACCGGATATTTTCCGCAATTGAAGTGGCAAATAACACGGGCTCTGCAATTATCGCTTTGCAGTTAGAGCTGCTATCATGGTTCACTTGACTACTTATACTTTTTATTTTATCTTTACCTTGGTTTATGAATCCAACGTTATGTCTCAGCCAGGAAGGATCCAGGGTTCTCAGTTCTTGTCCGTCCAGTCGAATGCTACCTTCCAAAGGCTCATAGAACCGCTCGATCAATGAGGCAACTGTTGACTTACCCGATCCTGTACTCATTGTCTCAGTTTTTTAATCTCAATCGGTGAAATTATAAAGAAAAAATTGTGTTACCTGAAGGACCGCACAGAGCAACAGTAGTTCCCTGAGGAACAACCAGGTCGAATCGATCCAAGACAGGCTGGTCAAGACGTGTGGGGTAGCGGAATACTACCTGGGTAAATTCAAGATCTCCTCCAACATGTTCTAGCATCAAACCACCATGCAAAGGGACATTAGGCGCCAAATGAATGAACTCAAATACACGCGATGCAGAAGCAGCTGCCTTGATGGTTTGACTAAACAAGACACCCAAAGAGACTGACCACAAAAAAAAAGCCAAATAAGCAACGCAGTTTCATCTAATATATTTTTCAACTCTTACCAAGTGATTGCTGAGCAGTTTGAGTGGAGAGCATATAGCTATAAAGTAATAATAAAGTAATTCAACATTTTGCTTCTTATAAGGTACACATACATTTGTTTTCCAACTCACGTCATTAGTTCACCGCATGTCATCTCGTTGCGTACAACCAAAGATCCACCATAGTAAAGCACAGTAAGAACCTACAATTGAAGTGTTATTTAATAAAATATTGTTCTTGTTGACTTTTATAAGCCAGCATACCATACAACCAATTGAGACATTTGTCAGGCCTGTACCCCAAGAGAAAGAAAAAGAAAAAGAAAAACAGGTGAATATAACTAACTTGGAATGGAGTATACTTTTACCTTGGAAAATTCCAATATGGAATCCCATATACTCGTTAGCCTCAGCTACTTCTTGACAAGCAGCTCCGTAATGTTCCATCTCACGTTCCTCTGAAGCAAATGCACGTACTGTTTTCATATTCGATAGGACCTACCAATATATATATATATATATATGTGTGTGTGTGTGTAAGCTAATAAAAAGATCCTCTGACCAATATATTACCTCTCCTGCCAATCCACTTGCTACACTATCCAAACTCTTTCCAATTTTACTCAATTTACGGAGATAAGCGCCGTACACATTCAAAAGAACATAGAGAATAGGCATTGTGGCTAACATTGTAAGGGTCAAGGGAGCAGAGATACGGAACAAGTGAATGGCCGATCCAACTGTCTGAGTTATCGATTTGAGGCCTTGGGTTACGACTTGTTTAAAGGTATGCTAGATTTGGGTGTAAGCGTTTGGTGTTACAAGTCTATTGTCATGTACATGCAGTTAATTGATCTATTCGTATATGTTACCTTGAAATCGGCTACGTCTGATGTTAATCGACCAACCAATTCTCCTGACTTATGGTCATCAAAAAAAGACATGTCCTGGCGTACCATAGCAGAGAACAGGTCGCGTCTTAGGCGAACAGCAACCTTTTCACCAAACAGAGAGACAAGAGTGATGTGGGCAAAAGTAAAGAAACCTCAAATCAAACCTCGTCAACTCTTCTATATATTTTTTTGGGGTGATCTCTTTATATTTACCTTGGGCAGACAAAAGAGCCAGTAATCGAATAGCAGGCCCATTAAGGTCCTGTATAGATAAAGCACCTGAGGTGAAACTCAATTGAAGAACATTGATCAGTTCGCCTGTTACAACAGGTGTCTGAAGATAAACCACAGCTGCAGCTACGGCAGTCAGCACAATACAAGCCAAAAGAAATAAATCGGGTTTCACTAATTCCCAAATAGCACTCGAAAGTGACTCTCTGGGCTGCTCAATTTTTGCCAGAACCTTTGCAGGGGTTACAGATTCACGAACAACTAACGAACGTGCCTCACAATGCACTTTACGGAAACTAAGAACAGACGGATCAAATGAAACCCGAAGTCCAACTGCAAGTGCCAATAGAGAACCAGTGCAGGAAGTTGTTGTTTTAAAAAATTCAGGGCAAGCAACTTGGCGCGGAACATTTGCCTGGACAGCAGTCTTGACAGACGAACTGTTGAAATAATAAGAAATACTGATTCGTCCTGAACAAACGAAATTGGTGATCCCTTACATGGAATGTGATTGAAATGTTGAATAGTAAAGGCGTGTAAATGATGATATTGTCTGACGTTGATGAGGAAATGCGGTCTCAGCTAATCGGGGCTACATAAACCACATGACTTGTGAGATCACCATGATCAGAAGTGGGGGGTTTTCTCTTCTTATTTCTTTATTTTGGCTTACGATTGCCCGGGAGTATCCCAAAACAAAACGAGCCACAAGCAGTGGCATGACCAATGAAGTTTTGGAATTTGTTTGTTTATTGATTAGAGTAAAGTAAAAAAAAAAAAAAAAAAATGCTGTACAGAATAAATATATAAATATATAGTATTAAAAATAAAAAGGCTACTCTTGTAAAATAACAGTCCTTGAAGATATAAAGAAAGAAGAAGAGGTGCTTGTGTGTACATATTGTGTGTATATACTACCTATGGTTAAGCAGTTTATGTTTACTCGAGTTGGGTTTTTTCATTCACTGATGTACTGGGAGTCTCGGTGATTGACGATGGTTCGGGATTCTCTTCGATATACGTTATCATCTCAAGCTTTGCTTTGTCAACGTCAATAAAGTACACCAACACAATAGAGATAACAAAAAGGGCAAGTACAAATGGCCATCCCTTCCACAGGTTGTCTGTGTGTTCAGTGATCGCACCAATCACAACAGGTCCAATCCAAGATGAAGCCTTATTGACGATACCAAATAGACCAAAGAACAGGTTTTCTTTTCCTTTGGGAACTAATTCGGCCAACATCGTATTCTGCCAGGCCCAAATTGGAGCAGTGAACAATCCAGTCCAAACATAGAACACCCATAGTTCCCAGTTGGTCTAAATTAACCAAAAATAGTATCATATATCATTAGAGCGCTTTAAGAAAAGAAAAATTGATTTTGATTGTGTTTTCTCACCTTGATACCGAAATTGTCGATACCGATACCAAAGCATCCCCAGACAGCAACCAAGCCAGAGAGGCCAATGATGATCAACAGATTGGTCTTTGTTCGAACCTTGAACCGTTTGGCAATCCACAAGAAAAAAAGACAGCCGATGATTGAAGTGACGGCCGAAGCAAGATTGAGGATAGTAACTTGTTGAGCAGAGAAGTTGGTGATCTCACCCTGGATGATACCGATCATTTGGTTGGTAGTTGACACGGCGTCAGAGAACATGAAGTACGAGATGATGTACATAAATAGATATCTCAACTTTCGAGCCTCTCTAAACAACATCAAAGTCCAAAAATAAACATCTCACAATCATATCTCGCCGCGCCACACACAAGACACACAGAGTAAAACCTTACTTGAGAGCCAAAATGATTGATTTCCAGCCAACCGTTAAATGGTTGGTTCCTTCGGGAAGCTCACCACCACGTCGACCAGACGGCTGGGCAATAAAGTATGGAATTGCATTGATAATCCAGAAACCACCACATACAACAGTTGATATGAAGTTAAATAGTGGAACATTTCCTAAGACATGGCTAACGTCTTCGGGGAAGTCATAATTTTCCCACGACTTGAAGGAAGCTCCCGACAAAACACCTATTCAATATAAGAAGAAGGAAAAGATATATAAGGATAAAGCATTGTTTTAATAAAAACCCCATCTAATTTTTTAGGCCACTCACCTGTCATGATAAGAAAGCCAACGTTGGACCAAACCGTAGATACCGCCGAGACATGGTTTCGCCAAAGTTCGGTAACTTGAAGTTTTTCATCCTTTGAAAGATTAGGATCAGCCTTTGCTTTACGCACTGCTGGAAGATTGTCACTAATGCAAACCAATTAGTTAAACAATGAATATATAAATATAAATATATAAAAGAACAAAGTACACTATTGTTATTATGAGTATGGTGATTATGATTTACCTGAGCGTAGGAAATGCAGCTGCGTAGAAGACGAGTGAGGTACCATATGAGATCAAGGCAATAATCATAATGCCCATCATGGCATTCCAATGACTGCCATCATCGTTAACCAAAGTGATAGGTATAATCTGGGCCGCACAGCCGATGACAGTTGCGCCTAATAAAATGTAGCGGTTCCATCTGCCGTAATCTGCTAGACTGCCAAAAGTAGTGAAGAGTAAAAACTGTAGCGAAAATGCGATTGCTTGAACATATAGAAGCATAGATGCTATGGGTATTCCACCGGGTTTTCCCATCCAGTGAATGTTACACTGCCTTAGGGCATCGTTGGTATCGCACCCTTTTATGTCAGGAGTATCAGAATAGAAGCCTCCTTTGTATGCAAGATATTGGAAAATGTTTGGCATGTAGCTGTTTATCGTAAAGCCATTATCCTAAAAGGACCATTAGAACGACATTATTACAGATCAATATTAGGCAACTCACTCCATTGTAATATAGGTAATAACCCCATAATTCATATTTTGTAGCTGGTGGCTGCTTCAAGACCTCTTTGGCAGTATCTGATGTTGGATCAATGTCAGCATCTGTTGAATTAAATGGACTATCAAAAAATCCAGTTGCTTGTTTCATGACGCTTTTGAACAATGAAAGGAAAGAAGGAGGAATATTAAGAAAAAAGAGAGTAAAGAGCTTAAATGGTAGTCGAAATCAAGTGCAACCTATCTTGAGATCTTCACACAGAACGAGAATAAATAACTCCCCAAATTCATCAAAAAATCTAAAAATGGATAACAGGTAGTATTAAAAATAAAAATAAATACATAAAATCAATACGTATTCCAGTTATCTTTTTATCACTTGAAATTCAGATCTTTTTTAACTCTTCATTTTTGGGTGAATTGAAATTGTTACTATGGATACAAGAGATTTAACATAAATATTTATACGACAAAATAAGCAATTGTTGTAACCCATCATTATATATATATAAATCATATATATAAATATAGATATATGTATATATTTAAAGCAACAAGAAACTATACTATTACTATAATAATAATAATAATAATAATCAAAGCTTAATTTTATTTAAATTTATCTCGATCATCTAGCTAGTTATTGCTGGTGAAAGGTAAGCGGAATCATATTTCCTTTTATGAGTTATCGCTGGTTTATCTAGCAAGTTTTATAAAATCAACAAATCTTTCTCTCCCAAGGTTTATCATGGATTTTTTTCAAGTCTTAAGCAAAAATCAATTGATGATCCAGAGCTAACTTTTCTGTCGTATCTGTTCTATAAAAAGTTTTATCCAATTCCTCGTCTGGTGTGGCAACGACTATTTGTAAGACCACACAGGTGAAGTCAGCCGACATATAGTCCTATTGATTTATTCCGTAACGTTGCTGGAGAGTATCTTTTAAGGACTAATTTCTTGGTGTCACAATATGTACTCCTGGTGTGCCACATTCTAAAACTATGCAATAGGTACTAGGTTAACCTGACGCAGTGTGACGAATGAACTTGCGAAACAAGTTTTTCTTGAATTCAAGAATAAAAAGCAAATTTTTACACATCATGGTTAGTTTACTATCTTTCGCAATTAATGACTCTTTTCAAATGATATTTAGCGTATGAAGAGTCTCGTAGAATACTGACAGATCAAACTGGACAGACGCTGCTTACTGACCAGTCGGACAGTTTTGGTAGTAATAATACGAAAGCCTTCAAGTTTCTCTTTGGGTTTCAATATGCTAAAAAGGATACCCCTCGGTCGATTGTGAATGTTTGTGAGGAAACATTATAGACTGACAGAGTCTGGATAATTGAGGAAAGGCTCCCATTAACGGAAGCTTACATTTGACCCTTTTTATTTACGTCGAGGGTTTAGATAAGACAAGCATGTGACCTGAGCACTTGAGTAATTATAGAGTCTTGCAATATGTTAGTACAAGATCTTTGTACGACAGGAATATTCTCTACAGCTCAATTACTTACCGTAGAAGGAGGGTACCACATAGAACTCGGTCAGATTGAAAATAACAAGCGAATGGTTAGGAAGTCCTCCCATATTATGTGCAGGATTTTGGAAATCAGGTTTTAATGTGGGTGAAGGTTGCAATTTTCCCATTGTGTTCACAGTATTGGAAACGAATCATTTTTAACTGCGTGCGGATCAGCTAACTAACTATACGACAGCTATGGAAAACATGTGGGCAGTTATACCAGCTAAGAGGTAGGTGAAATGATATTCTTATTATATCTCTATGCAACAAAAGGTTGGCTGGAAGGAAGGCCACAGGTTCTTAGTAGATATCCATTTGAATTCTAAATAGACTACATTTGTACACTTTCCAACCATATGTTGGAAAGGGACTTGAGAGCTTTGGTACGAGTAATATAACCAGCAAATGTTGTTGCTTAGAATCATGACTATTAGCTCACAAAATCCACTTTGTTTATTGAGTTATAACAATAATGTGTTTCTGTCTGTTAATACGATTATTGACGTGCTTTTAAGTTAACAAAAAATCCATAGTCCAAAGTTTAATGTAAATTACCTTGATCTCTCAATGATCCTTGTATTACTGTACTTCCTTAATAGCTTAAATAAACACGTATCATATATCACGCTAGTTCTCAGCCACGATATTTGTTTTTGGTGTCGGTAAATGGAGTGTGTTTGTTATTCTGATGTAAGGGTAGACAAAAATTCCATTAGAAAAATGTTGGCCAACACTAGAAAAGTTCAACAAGACAACATATTTCCCTCGATTGTGGAGAGTTCCAGAACTAATTATATCCAGAATAATAGTAACCGAACCACATGAAACGCTGCATGTAAAAGCAAACCCAAAATAGGGCACCAATAGGCTTTTAAATTCACATTATAAGGCCGTGTGCAAGTTTGGGAGTAAGGGATAAGTGAGTATTATGTCGAAAGATAGATATACAAATAGCTTGTAACTTTGATATGGAAATATTCTGCGATCATATCGTTCGTGTCTAGTTCGAATCCCATAAATTTTAGCTGACAGTGTTTCCTGAATAACTACTTGCTATTTACTATATCTATCAATTGAAAAGTAAAGTGCCAAAAGAAAACTTATTAAAGAAACATTTTACAGGGTTTATTTAAGCTTTCTGTAGAATCCTTTTTAGTTATCTGAGAAATTTTTAATTTCTTCCCTTAAACAAAAGAAATGTCATAATCACATCAAGGCGCTCGCTATTTGGATATAAGATATGCATCAATTGTGCTGTTTTGTATTAAATAATAATTACAGGAGCTTATATGTTACATTAAATCAATGCCCTCATTACCTAACTAAAAAAAAGGCTATTAATGGAAAAGTTTGAAAAAGACAATCTATTAGACATGAGTTGATTTGCGAATATAACGTTTTCGACAACGAGTGTAGTAAGTATTTTCAACAATTTAAGGGCAATAAAAAGCAAGTACAGTATTATCATGAGATAAATATAATACAATGAGCATCTTGTTTTAACGATAACATTTAGTCTCATAAGTAAACTATATTATTGCTCTATTCTAGAATTATAGCAGGTCCAGAGAACATAAAAGTCAGAGTAAACCAGTATTGTACCCGCCAAGGTAAATCAAACGTATTGTAATGGCTCAGAGTCATGACTGAATGATAAGAGCGGTTTTTTTTGGTAACTAGACTTGAGAGAAGGTAATTGAAAGGATAAGTTTGTGCAAGGTACGTATTTATTTATTTTAAAAAAAGAATAGGTGATATTTATAGAAAGAGTGTATATGTTAGAAAAGCGAATTATAAAGTCTTCCACGTTCGAGTGCATGCGTCAACATAAGGGATATCGTTAATACAAATATGATTACCAGGAGTAGATGTCAGTGATATTGACTGTAGAATGCAGTCTGGCACGGACCTACAAATAGTTTGACCAGTTTTATATTGATAGATTCCCAAGGTAAAGAAGCCTCTAGTTGCAGGGTTTATTACTTCAATATACTCATATACTCAACTTTATATGCATATTTCCCCTCCTCTTTCCACATGTAAATTTGTTCACATTGTATTACACCATAGAGTAAACCTCAAGGTACACACTTATAGCAATATCACTGATAGCATCACAAGCTTTGGTCCTATTGTTACATAAAGATATCCTACGTTGCACTGATTGCACCCTTGGGTTAATTTGAGTATGCATATTCGGGTTACCTGATTAATAATACGCTTATATTAGTTTGTGCCCAAGACTTATCTCCAGCAAGGGTTTAACTCCAAATCAGGGTTCAGCGGGATTTAAAGTTGGTGGGAGGGTATTTTTTTTTGTGAAATTGTAGGTTAATCTATGCAATATATTTCGTTGAATGAACACTGTCTGGATACTTGTATGAGCATAAAATTCAATTCATTTATTAGATTTTTAGACGTTTATTCTTTATGCTATTCTTTATGTACTAAATATAATTGGTAGGCACTTTTTAATCCATAAGTGGCCTACTTTCTGTTTTTTTATTATTATTTTATTTAAATGTTCATTTTCTCAATTTCCTCAATCAAGAAATGGGCTTCCTTTACATAATCAATAGGACTGGCGTCAATGATGGTATACTTAACATTGGCAGCATCCTATAAAGAATAAATAAAAAGAAAAATATGTAAGTATATCCAAAGTGTATATGTCTGTGTGGTATTTACATTATAAGTCTCTGTTCGGGCCTTGATCTTTAAGGTGTAGGTTTTGTTGAGACATTCACCAAGCATTCTCATGAAGCTGGAATTATCATTATCCTTGAGATCCATTGCCATGTTGGCTGATTTGCCAACCAAAACATTGCCAGCATCATCAAAGGCATTGACAAACAGTTGTGATGTAGGATCTGCGATTCTCAACGTCAAAATGTATCTATCCGGCCCAATATTGTGAATAACTCTGTGCTCAACCTTCTTATTTATCCTATGTTCCATTACCTCCAGTCAGGTGAAGCAAACACCTTTTCACACTTCTCACATCTCCAGCCATCTCCTATGTTGGATGTCTTCTTCTTACAAGCAGGGCAAGCAGGGTAAGCAACATTTTCAGGCTTAATGTATACTACTGTAGCACGAGTAGTGAAGAATTCTGGTCTTTCCGATCCACCCAAGTTGTCCCTTTTAGCTTGTAATAAAGACACTTTCTTGTTTGATCCTTGACCTCCGTTATCAAATGCCTGGTTCTGGGAAGAAAATGAAGTGTATGTGGTAGTTTGTCCATCCGAATTGTACCATTCTTTGAGGCTATTGGCTTCAGGGATATTAGGGTTCTTTTTGAGAGCGCCTCCACTTGACAAGGATAAGGTTCGTCCATTGAAATCGCCCACGCGGCACCCCTTTGCAGTAATGACCGGGAATCCCGAAGAATCAAACGACTCGGCGACGCGATCCCACAATGTAAGACGAATCTGCTTTTGTGTCTCATCTACAACCACCAGCTCTCTCTTCTTGGTCTAAAAAAATGTACATCAGAACCTGCTGATATATTTTGTTACATCTCACAAATACTTACTGGTTTACCGGTAGTCTTAGATACAATCTCTTGGAGACCATTGTCATCCTTTACTACACCAACAACATCTACGGAGAAATATTCAGATATTGTATTCTGCTAAATATACATCTACTGATAAATTTACCAATAACGGCTCCCTTATCAAAATTATCGATTTCTTTAATCTTGACGAAATTGTAGTTTGCTTGAGGTACCGCAGCTTCATCTGAGCACTATCAGTATAAATTGAATTTAGTTCAATATATTCATCTATTTATTCAATATTAAAGCTAGAGACTGATTTACCACTTCGATTTCTGTGCCATTGTCAAGCGAAAGTTCGTATTCATTATCGATAGTAGAGAATTGTTTACGGGCTATAGTGATTCTAGCACGGGAAATGTAATAAACCTTTATTACAACAATAGTAATAGTAATGAATAACATTATTTTATTAATACCCCAAAACCTCGTTGATTTATGTTTCTCTCTTAGCATCACTCCAATTACCTTATCCTCTTCCAACAAATTGTACAAACGATCCACTTGGTCGTTGAAAGCAGTAGCCTTGATCTCTCCCTATATATAACACGATCATGGATTTAATATTCAGTAGCAATTTTTTAATATCTTACTTACAGAGCTATCCAGAAGGTTCACAGAGAATAATTTTCCGTCAGACTTTGCATTGTGCCATGTCTTAATATCAGATTTCTGGGATACTCTGGCCTTGATAGTCCACCTGGGAAGATTTTAGTCAATAACTGTCCCTTTTATATTTTATTATAGCTTACTTGGTCTGGTAAGGGTTGAGACTCTTGATACTGGTAACCGAAGGATTGATCGAATTGTTAACTGCAGACTGATTCAAAGCTCCTCTAGACTGGCCCATAGATTGTGGTTGGGCTTGTGCTGTTGGCTGATAAGATGGCTTCTGGACAGAAGGACTGGCTGAGTTAACAGAAGTAGTTGCGCTTGTGTCGTTCATTGCATTTTCTACGTTAACGGGTTGGCCGATCTTATCCGGTACAGTAGTATTAACAACCTCAAGATTGACAAGAACCAGAACTCTTTTTTAAGCATGAATACTTAGTTATGTGTACTTAGAATTCATCGTTTTACATTGTACTACCTTCTGCCCTGGAGTGAATTAGGGTTTGACTTGAGGATCTTGATAATTGAGTTTTTGTCAATTTGTCCTGATTCAATCAAGCCGCCCTGTGCAGCAGATAACATTGCTAGACCTCTAGTCAGTCAAGCAACTCATAAAGTGTAGTTTTTACCTTGCATAAAGTGATTTCCATCTGAAATTACCAGTCTAAAAATGTTTATTGACATGTGAGACTTGGAAGTGAATGGTACTGCGGTAGATCATCGTTTACCTGTACCGCAAACCTGTAGCGGTAGGAATGCGCTTAATGTTAATAACCTGAACAACTGGTAGGTTGTTTTCGGGAAGATCTCCCTTGTCTTCAAAGAAGTTTTTAATGGCATTTTTGGTGAGTTGTTCCATATTAAAAATAAAGGGTAAAGAGCAAGGCAAACAATAGACGCGTGAATGGGATGTCTAATGCGTTCAAAAAAATAGCGCGCAATACGCGCTGATACGTCACGCGTATAAAGTGGAAGCGCAGCTAATCGTTCACACTTGTATGTTTAACCTCAGATAAGGTGCTCTCGGAGTGCTTTATTGATATAAAATCGCGTATTGATATAGATAATAAAGCACTCCGAGAGCACCTATAGTGGAGAGAATGTGAAGCTGGGTATGATGGTAAACTTGCACACATACATATATATAGATGTGCTCCTATATTTATAATTAGATATATAAAGAGGTCAAGAGTGTTTTTTTAAGCTATCAAGAGCATCCGCGGCGGTCTGTGTAAATTTAATAATATTTTAAATTTAGATAGGAAATTTAGAATTTTTTATCCCTAGTGGATTGCTTAACTAAAAGTTTTAACTGATTATTTCTCAATAATAATTACCTGCTTTTTAAAATTTAATTAACAATTCACAAAAACACCCGGGGCTTTTTTTACATACACTGCTAATTTTACCCAAACCGCTGTGGATTCTCTAAGCGGGAAAATTGAATTTTTCTTTGGTGATGAATAACATTAATCAATCTATATAATTAAATATATAGGAAAGTATATTAAAAGTGGAGCATTATACTGGTCATTTGGATTTGCAAGGAATAAGATATACGAGAATGCTCGCTCAAATATACTATATTTCAATACTATTTCTGATATCTAATAAACTTCGCCTTCTTCTTTCTCTCTCTTCATATCCTCTTCCATTCATTAAGAAGTCGATTTATTGCTTCTGTGCTAGATCGATATATAATAATTCTTTTTTTTAATGATGATTTATTACTATCATTAAATATTTTGGTTCTATTTTCAGGGTATTCTGGACCTATCCCCTGGAAAATCTCATCAGCGGCGCAATTCTTGGATCCTCCACAGCATACGACTTGACCAACTCCTGTATCATTGTTTGCTTAAAAAGTTTATTGCTCTTTTCAATCTTTTCCAGTTCCCTGGCGAGACTTAGTTTAACTTTTGGTGCAATATCTCTCTCTTTAGGTGTTTATGCTCGCGGTGGTATGGAGCTGGCTCTTTAAGACTTTTCCGAGATTTCTGAGATAGGATCCTATAAATGGTGCTTTCGTGAACAGGCTTCTGAATCCCTTCATATTCGAATTTTCAAGAAGCAAATACTCCGAGGTCTGACATGGTAAGGTTAATAGTGTCCTCCTTTCCAATGATGGCTCTTTTCTGTCTGAGTGTGATTAAGAGTAACTTTCTCTTAAAGTTTGATTGTAAATTATTACAACCGGGCAGTTTGAAGAATATTGTAGGTGAAAAAGGAGAGCCTCTAACTCTATTCCACACTAAATAATACTAACTTAAGTAGAGTACTAACCAAGATTCCTCTTCTGAATTACTTGTATATATACATATTTTTTTTTAATTTTTGAAAAAGCCATTTTTTTTTAGAAAATCATATTGTGTTACTTTAATCAAATGTAAAGTTAATAAGCAAGTGGCATCAAGTGGTGACCTATTGATAGTTTAGCAAGAGGTTTAATATTATTCGGGAGGGTCGAGCATGACTTACCCTTTAATACCTTTGAAGATAATAAATGCATATGTCAATAATTTGGTTGAAAATTCTTTACTTTGAAAAAGGGTTAATTATTCACTCAAAGTAAAATAAAATAAAATAAAAACAAAAAATGAAATGAAATAAAATAGGTGCGCCACTCAATTTCATTTCCTTTAGATCATAAAGTAATAATGAAGAAAGGCTCAAAAGCTAATCAAGTCTCTCGAGAGAAACAGGACGCTCATTTACCTGCGATCGGAGAAACTATCTTTACCATTGGAGATGGCAATGTAGGAGATCGCTTGCCATTGTTTTTCAACTCATTGTGTTTCATTAGAGAGAAGACGTATGGGATGATACCGAATTGATTGCCCACTGGGACAAAGAAGTGGATAAATACAGAGTAAATGAAGATGCTAGTACTTCATATTATTTAATATTATTGTCATAAGCTATTATCTGAATTTAGAACAGCAGCAGCAGTAACAACAACAATAATAATAACAATAATAGGCCATGTTTACCAAAGAAAAAGATTCACCACCTCCCTTTGGAAATTCAAAGACCAAAGAAAAAAGACAAAAGAAGATGTAGGACTTGGTTTTTGTTAGGTTTAGCTAGGAGAAACTTTCTGATTATACCATATGTTAGTATTAAACCGATAGAAAAGAAAAAGATAAAGAAGAGAGTGAATCCTGAGACGAGTAGTAATCGGATGCCACCAAACATACTAAAAGGTGTTCCCACGACCCCAATGTCAACTCCACCTTGTGTAGCAGCCCATAGTGAGCAGAACAAAGGTATATCGAAAACTAGAATGAGGTGATTATGTATATTTATGTATATGTTTATCTGAAAAAATGCTAGATGAAGATTTAACTTCTCTACTGATGTCGTGGTATTATTGTGGATATTACACAGGTCTTTATCAAGTATGTTAAAAGCTAGTATATCCAGCTGTTGAACTTACTGCACGTATATCATTTATAAAAGGCACAAAGACAAAGCGGAGAGCATTGACTTCTAGACACTAATGTTTATTATTCCTGTTATTTCATACGGGCATTTCAACGTGTGTTGTAAATAATTATTAATAAAGTTTGAGTTAATGATAAGGCACTTAATGCAATAATAATAATATTATCAGTTGCAAAATGCATGACCTAGATGTGAAACGTACTAATAGGCTATACCATTATTACAGTGTCTCTACTTGAGATTGAAACGATCTACTTAGCTCTTTTGGATAAAGACAGAAAAGGTTTTAACTTAAGACAAGTGTAGACACATGTCTAAAACAAATGAGCATATTATTGCTCAAAGACTTACAATATATCTTAAATTACTGCAGCGATAACTACACAGGATTGTTTGCTTTTTTAACTGTTCTGCTACTACTGACTAGAGCTTTTTCTTTCTTTTAAGGGTAGTAAAAGAACGTGCACTTAATCTGCAAAAATTTTCTGGTCTTCTTCTGTCCTTGCGCAAGTCAAAAAGAATATGCCTAAAGTTTAGCGTAGTGACCATAGCACGGTTCCAAAGGCGATAGAGAGAAGACCAAGTATTATCCTCAGTAGATTCGGTCACGGGAATTAAGCACTGTTGGTTTTTGAACCTGAGTATAAATTGTATAGCTTATCAGTCTATTCATATACATACATATATTCTTTGCATATAGAAAGACATTTACCCTAAAAAGTCATGTCCATCCACTGTAAGGTATTTTCTTCTTTAAAATAGTTTAGCATTTTGAACTTTCTTAAGTATTTCAAGCTCATAATTTTGACAAGCAGGGTACAGACTGGAAGTCTTGAACTAATCAATCAAGTATACCTAGAAGTCTTTCTTTTCTAGTGTTCTACGCATTACAATGCCTCTGATGGACTTTTGGTTTTCACTTTGTCTGGCTGACTAATTACTAGGTATCAGTACAGCATAATTGCCAAACCTTTTCCGAATATTCTTGGCCAAGCGTTTGTCTGCTTTTAGCTGATTAATTAAATTTGAAAGTTTCATTTTTCTGAACGGAAGTAGGCTACTGGTATGTTGATCTTCTACGGCAGAATTATCTTCATTTGCGTAATAGGCCTTCATCGCTGGGGTGACTCTGGCTTTTTCTTGAAGATAATTTATAGATTTTTCTTTGCTAGTTGTTGAAGAATTATGTTGGGACATGAAGAGCTCAGTTGCAATAATATGGCCTAGCTTCACATCATTCCTGAGTTTTCTGTTTTTTATTTTTTATTTTTTTTTGCTTTTGTTCCGACATATTCTTGATTTCTTGTATATTTGTAAGTAGATTTTCTTTCGGCAGTAATACCTTCATACATCTAGTAAAGTAAAGCACGATTCCCAGGATCATCAAACACGCATTTCCCGATACTATCCTACAGCTTCTCTTTCTCTAACGCTTCGGCGTACCGGAATTCATTTTCCACCAAAGAGATCGACTTTTTGCCACCAACACCTTTCTTTTTTGTCTCATTGTTTTGCTTCAGCACGGACACGTCAATACCACCTGTATATATAATTCCTCTGGACTTTACATCCTTTGCTTATCTCTGGGGTCTTAACGCCTTGGCATTAATATCCATGACGCTTCCCCATACCACTCCTTTATTCAAATGGTTAATAACAGCATAATTTAAGATAAGAGGATTTAGAATATGAGTATCGATTGTCATATAACACGGCATAAAGCCTTTTAGTAATGGAAACTAGCTAAATGTTTTGACTTGAAGTACTTCACACGTTATTGACGATCTGTAGTACGCTTTTATGTGCTTCAGCGGATTGGATTTGCTGTCATAATATATTAGGCCTTTTGAATATTGATTATCTGGCGGATATGAGTAAAAGAAATTGCGGATAATGACAAGTGTAACAGAGGGAAAAAATGTTCATAGATGTCTTTAATATTTCTTGATGAGATAGCCTGCTTGATCTTGTTTATACTATCTATTATTGTTTCACCGCTGGTACAATGTCTTAATTCTTTTCCATTATTCTCCATACCACTTTCCATTGCCTTGATTCTTTAGTTCTTCTTAAGGAGCAAACTAAGAAACATTCGAATTTTATTTCAAAATTGAAGCTTGATCCCGTTCGGATAAGCGGTTAGGATTTTTGGCGTATCGTAAGAAGCTACTTTATGAACATAATTCGTGTCGATTGGTTTATATGAGCAACACCAAAAATACTGGCTTTAACAATCGAATATTAGATCCTTGTAAGCTATTGATTTTGACGAAGCCTTCTGTTTAATTGACTTGTAGTTTTGGAGGAGTGAGAAAAGTTTTTTTTTTTTTTTAAAAAAGAAGTCTTCATTAATAAAATTCTCTGGAGAAAAATCAGGTTTGTTCTCCAGTTTATTAAGAAATATATACTTCAAAAAGGTGAATTTATGCGATAAAAGTTTCTTACTTAATGATAGAGACAGCATTATAAGCACAATTTTACCTAATACGTATTTAGACTAATTTTGAACTATTTTTTTTTTAAAAAAAAAATAGTGTGGACATTCATAAATTAGTTTGATTGACAAAGTTCATGATAAACTTGTTTTGCCCTTTTTTTTTGAACCTTTAGTCTGGCCCTACCAACTGTCTTATTCATCTTAATCTAAATTCTTTTCTGTCCTCATCCAAAAGAGGCAAGCAGATTGTCAATTTTAATTCTAATTTTTCCAAAAAAAATCAAAACTAACATCGTCCCAATATCAAGTAGAAACACTGTATTAAAGGCACATGCATAAGTGATGTATGATATACTTACATCAAGTGACAAGTATTGATTCTCATAATCTACTTTACGTACAAACCTACTTCTACTCTCACACAAACAAACAAACAAACAAACAAAATATCTTTTTTTTTTATATATTTAACTAATTTTAGTGTATTCTTTGGGACACATGGCGAATAACAGACGAAGCCCTTCAACATCATCTCTTTGCAGTGCCGGATGTGGGTTCTATGGAAGCGAACTATACGGAAATATGTGTTCAAAGTGTTTTGTATTGTCCATTCAAAAAGAACAGGCCAAACAAGGTAAGGAAGGATGAAGAGCCGAAAAATTAAAGTCTTTTAATTAAATCGTATGGGATACATTCCACAGATGAGCCCACCAAGGCTTCTCAAGCAAGTAATGCTCATACGAGTGAAATGTTTCCCAGACGCAAGCATCCCAGATCCCCTTCTCCAGTTCTATCTGATATAATTTCAGACACAACGGAACTATCCACAATTGTAGCAATTGGTGATAGTCCGCATTTACGAAATGGACCACAAGAAAGACCAGTACAAGTACAACAAGGCAGATGCTTCCGATGCAGAGTCAAGGTAAGTAATCGTCATTTAACAAAAATTATTGATGAATGTATAATTTGTAGGTTCCACTCGCAAAGCAGACGATTAACAAATGTCGCTGCGAGTATGTTTTTTGTGATGCCCATCGATATCCCGACCGTCATGACTGTGAAATTGATGTTTGCCGTTTGGACAGAGGTAGGCTTCCACAAGCACAGTATAGGAAAAGAAAAAGAAAAAGAAAAGAGGTCTGTGACTTTTGATAGTGACACAGTTCGCAGTTTTGCTGGCGAAGAACAATCCTAAACTTCATGAACGACCAAGAGGCGGCCGATCCTTTAGGCGCATCGATAGTCCCTAAAAAGGTCATTCAGCTCACTTTACTGCGGTGCCTTATCGGACTGCGCCACTTGAATAGAATATATATCCAATGAAACCGCTCAATTGTCTTTTTCTCTTATTCTTCTCCTGTCTACTTTTTATTTTATTTTTTAATGAGTGAGGCTCCTGCCAAAACTGCTCCCAACACTGCATCAAATGCACAATCGAGTGTTGGTGTAAGTTCTTCACAACCCTCTGATCCTAGAGGTCAAACTAAAGATAAACCTTCCGATAAACCAAAAAGTCGAAGACGCTGGAAACCAAAGAATAATGCTCCCACAGAAGGAGCAGCTCCTTCTACTTCCAACTCAAGCAATAACAATAACCCCTCCACAAACCCTGCCCCAAGTGAACCTTTGAACCAAAAGCCAAAGTCTAAACCAAGGCGCAGAAAACCAAAGCCAACTACCGCAAGTCCCTCTTCTTCAACTATTCCTCAGACAGGCGATTCGGTACCTGATCCCAAGCCAACCAAGGCACATGTGCAAAAGCCAAAGGCAATTCGGGATCATAAAGACAGACCACAAGCAAAACTCACAGAACAAGGCGATTCTTCAACTGCAGACAAGCCCAAACGAACGCGTAACAAAAAAGGGCCTACTCTGGCTGCACCAGATACCCAAGATCTTGCATCTAGTCTAGCATATGAACTAAAGACATCAACTTACGAATGCATGGTCTGCTGGGATGTAGTTCGACCAGCACATACTACTTGGACCTGCGATTGCTGTTGGGCAGTTTTTCATATTCATTGTGTTCAGAAATGGGCAACGAAATCACTTTCAGGTAGATTGCATTCTCAAATATACGTGTATATATGTACATGAAAAATATTATCAATCGGTGTTAAAAAGTATCTATTTTAGATATATCCACCAACAAGATGATCACTTCATGGCGCTGTCCTGGATGTCAACACACTCGAACCGTTGTACCGAAAGATTACTTTTGTTTTTGCGGAAAACAACGGAACCCAGAACCAAATAAATACTTAACTCCACACAGTTGCGGTCAATTATGCAAAAAAACACGTTCGTGCCCTCACCCATGTGTACTGTAAGTTTTATATATTTTATTTATTTATTTAAAGATTGTATAAAAATTAACTAACCATATTAAATAGGCCATGTCATCCTGGACCATGTCCACCTTGTACAGCAATGGGTCCTGTTCTGACATGTTTTTGTGGAAGACATACTCGCCAAACACGTTGTGTGGATACAGACTATGCCACACAAGCATATAAATGCGAAGAAGTCTGTGGAGAGAGTTTAGGATGTGGGAAACATGACTGCAAAGACACATGTCACGCTGGTCTCTGTCCTCCTTGTACTGTCGAGGAAATCCAATTGTGCTATTGTGGCCGTCATGAACGCACTGGAAGATGTGGAAGTGGGAAAGCAATTGAAATTAAGGGCCACGTAGGATATTACAGCTGTGGAGACGTGTGTGACAGGTAAGATTTATATCTATTTACCTAAAATATGCTTAATTCTCAATTGATTGGGTTAAAATAGTACATATTCATGTGGAATTCATCGTTGTGAAGCTACCTGTCATCCTTGTGAAGCAACTCCCAAAAAATGCCCGTATGATCCCAGCTTAGTGAAGACTTGTCCTTGTGGTGGTGAATCTCTGGAGTCACTGGGCGTTGCAAAAAGAACTTCTTGTACTGATCCAATTCCCACGTGTGGTCGTGAATGCTCAAAGGTATTACCATGTGGGCATGAATGTCATGAAACGTGTCATACCGGCGAGTGTCCTCCATGTAAAGAGGTTGTGGAAGTACCCTGTCGCTGTCAATCAACCGTCTTTTCTGCCACGTGTGCAAGTGTGTGCGAAGTTGCAGGTGGTGAGCCGCCAGAATGTGGACGCGTTTGTAAATCCATGCGACAATGTGGACGTCACCAATGTGGAAACAAATGCTGCCCAGCCATGAAGCAAAAAGGCAAAAAAAAGCAAGGTACTCCTGAGAATATTCACGAATGCCCTCTAGTGTGTGGCCGCACGCTGGGGTGTGGTGTTCACACCTGTCAGGATAAATGCCATAAAGGACGATGCAACCCATGCCTTGGTAGGTTTTCTTTTAATTTTTCTTTTGGGTTTTTAAACAAACAATTACTGATACATATCTGTGTGTGCGTGTGTTACAAATAGAGGCTACATTTGATGAGATATCTTGCCATTGCGGAAGAACACGCTTAGAACCACCAATTCGCTGTGGTACTCAAATTCCAGCATGCCCCTATCCTTGTCAACGTCCTGCTCCATGTGGACATATGCGCTTATTACAACACACCTGTCATCCCGACGATGAGCCATGCCCGCCATGCTCCATCCTAATTACTCGTACTTGTATGTGTGGTAAAACCGAGCTGAGAAATGTGCCTTGTTACCGCGAATCCCCACGCTGTGGCAGGATTTGCGACAAGATCCTAGATTGTGGCCATAAGTGCAACAAAACTTGCCACAGTGGACCCTGCTTAACCGAAACCGAATCATGTCAGCAGTCATGCCATGGTACCCGTAGTTGTGGACATCCGTGTAAAAGAAAGTGCCACAGCGGTCCTTGCCCAGAAACAGACATATGCCCGGGACGAGTGAAGGCAAGCTGTGAATGCGGCCAAAACTCCACCGAAATACCTTGTCATGCAACTGCAGATTCTAGTGGTTCCAACCATGTACTTCCCTGCGATTCATTTTGTGCAAAGGTCCAGCGCAATCGTAAGCTCGCCTTGGCTTTTGATATCAATCGCGACGAAACAACCGAGACTTTATCCACAGATGATCTTGGTTATTATGATGACACTCTCCGGGAGTTCTATCGTGAAAATACCGGCTGGTGCAAGCAGGTCGAAGTCATGCTTATTGAATTCTGCAACAGTTCACGCCAGACTCTCAATTGTAAACCTATGCGCAGTCATTTCCGAAAATTCATCCACCGTTACGCAACCCATTTCAACTTAACCACCACAGCTGTGGATCCTGAGCCAAAGCGAAGCGTCATTGTTCAAAAGACTGCTGGCCAGAGTCGTGTTCCTCCTGTCTTACTCTCCCGCGCCGCATTTGAACCCTCTCTGGGACGCATGCCGACAGTTGAACAAATACAGATTGAGAACGCTGCAAAGTCGTCCCGCCAGCCTGTGAATTCACTTTATCTCACCGACCTTGCCTTTGGTTTGACAAAAGTCGAACTAGATGTTGCTCTTCTAGAATGCTGCGGTTTAACCAAGGTTGCTTCACGATGGATCAACGACAGTGATGCAGTTGTAATCCCACTTTCGGACAATTCGGTCGCCATGGACGAGCGTGAAGAGAATGTCTGGAGATTAAAGAAGATCCTCAAAGACAATTTTGTTGCTAAAGGACTTTGTTCTCGCGTCGACTGTTGCTGGCTAAACCAAAAAGGTGATGTTACATGGTCAGAGAAGCCGACTATAAGGCGAGAAATTGTCAATCCTTCCACAAACACTAGTCGATCCAACAATGCTTTTGAGGCACTTTCTAATGAAGATGAAGAATGGATGCGTGTTAACAGCGAACATACTGTTCGAAATGCATGGGAAGAATCTGAGAAAAGAACCAATCTGGAAACTCCCAAGGTAAACCAGAAAGAAAACAATTTATGGGATGGTCAATCCACCGAAACATCCGCAGAGAATGTCTCAGAAGAAGAGCAGTCGAATGCACCAGCACACGAATCTTCGGATGATTGGGAAGTAGTAACAGCCTAGAGGCAATATATAAAGAGCCAAAACATCCTGTTGTAAATAATATCCTCTTTCTCTTCCCTTATATATATATATTAAACATAGTATTTATTGACTCTTTTCCTCAAAACCAGCTGGGGGTTCTTCCATTTCCTTCCAAATCTTCTTCATTCTTGCTCTTTTTTCGTCTGTTGCTGCCTTTTGGGCTGCTCTGTTGGCCACAAACTTGTCGAATATATTTTAATACAAATAGTATGTTTACTCAGCTACATATACTGTGATAGATACCTCTTCCTTCAGACACTTGTCGACCTTTTTCTTTGCATCATTACAAAGCCCGATGAATCGGTTGAATGAGTTGGCATGATGACATTCATCAAGGGCCTGAATTGCTTCATAGCAGCCTTCGTGTTTGTGTGGAATTAATTGAGGATGCATGGTAATGTAGGAAATAGACAAATAACTTTGGGACCTTGCAATATGATTACAAGAAAAATAAAACCGGAAAGCCTACGCTAGCCGTCACAGGTGGGCCGGTCAAAGGCGGAGAAAGCTTGATCCGATAATTGAAAAAGATGACTTTAGTGAGTCAAATTGATCCTTGACAACCTCGCCTCATTTCTTTAAGTTTGTTGTCATTATTTTTGCAAATCTTCATTGATATAATAATAGTTTAAGGTAAAAAGAGGTAAGGAAGCTTAGATAATACCCTTTACCAATATTTATGTATAAACCATCAGAAGTGTACCATTCCATCTCAAGGGAATTATCATTAATGAGACAAGTTCCAATATACACTATTTAATATATTAACATTTTGCATCAACAGTTGAATAAAGTAAAAAAAAAAAAAATTATGCAAAATGACAGTTACATCAAAAGTAAAAATCATTAAATACATTTATTGAAGATATTGCTTTTCTTTTGGGTTTATTGGGAGTATTAGTATGAGTATGAATGAGAGTGATAGTTGGAGTGGGATTGTTGTGGTTATTGCTGCTATTGCTGTTGTGGTTCGGGTTGAGGCCGAGACCGGAGATTTAGCCCATATTGATTTTGTGGATTAAGCACGCCGGGGTTTCTTTGATGGTGGTCGAGAAGAGGTAGGCCCGTTGTCAAAAACATCCTTTACGGTAGTAAAGATACGCTCAATATCTTCAGTTGGGTTTGGGCCAAAATGATAATGTATGATATTGTGGGCTTTACTGCGGTGGATATAGTGAAGGGAATTGGCGAATCTATTGACAAGTTCGGGGCTTCCATGGATGCAACATGTCTTCATCAGCTCTAAAAAACGATCGGCAAATTCAGATACTTGCTCGTCACGTCGCTGTGTCATCTTATTAAATGCCTGTTTCTTTGTTTCCAGGCATGTCTCGTCACCGTAATCTTTCTCCAGCTGTGCCCGCGCCGTTTCCCAGGTCAGACCTCGGTTTGCCAGGACTCGATCGAACCATATGAGCTGCGGCGGCTTGCACGATACCTTTAAGGCCTCTTCCCAATAACCATCAAAAGGCAACATTGCATTCTCGATAAGCTTTCGCTCAAAGGCATAGATGAAATAATGGATGTTGGCGTACACAGAGCTGTCGTTGGCTTGCTTATCGTTTGTCTTCAGTTTTAGGACAGGAATATCCTCCAAGGGAATGGTAGGCTTTTGCTTTTTTTGTGGCTGTTCAGACATACGAAAACTGTGTTTATTGGGGTAGTTTGGGTAAAAAGGTGTATTGACGGGTGCATCAAGATGCACACAAACTTGTTCTCGAGATGGGTTTTAAATTCATTGGTATGATTGGCTGAGATTTTCTCTCTCTCTCTCTCTCATTTGAAATCCATTCAATCGAATATTCCTCTGCGATTAATCAGGACATCAGTCGTAAATTAGTTTTATTGGCCAGAGGAAGATGTAACTTTTGAATAACAACAAATATTCAGGGCTGATGGTTTCTATGCTCAAATTGATAAAACGCAGCTGATGACAACAACAAAAAATGGAAAGGAGTACAAGGGACTGTGATATTTTAGTGCTATTTTTATAATCGGAATTCTGACTCTTGCCGGTCGACCGTAACTAGGTGAACGTTTTGTATAAATTCTTATTTCCGGGAGACCTTGAGTCGTCCAGTGAAAATGGTCAACTCTGGAAATATTATTAAACAAGAACAGCCGCTGGTGGTGCCTTTGAAATGTCGATACTATTTGTTTTCCAAATAGACAAACCTTCACAAGTTCTCACGAATTGTTGTCGCACTACCTTTCTTGTTTTCTTACTTTATTTGATTACAACAAGCACTTTTTAAGCTTCTCGCCTCCGTAACACTGAGCTTTAATGACGGTTTCCTGGATTTTGAGCAGTAGAGACCTTGGTGTTATGGAGGTAAGAAATTTGAAAAGTTGTTGTTGTAATCAAATAAAGTAAGAAAACAAGAAAGGCAGTGAGACACCAATTCGTGAGAGCTTGTGAAGGTTTGTCTATTTGGAAAATAAATAGTATCGACATTTGAAAAGAAGAAGAGAAAGGGGGTTTTACACTGAACTACACAGATATTTATATTATTTTGGATGGGAAATTATTTGACTGAAATATATCATCATCATTCATATCTGAGCCTCAATTAGACTATATCTTGATCTTGGGATAGACAGGCGTTCATATAGTTGTGGTCGACTAATAAAAGCTAGTCAGTCTCAGCTTTATTTCTTTGCTTTTTATTGTAGACATGTCTCAATGGATGACAAATACTGCCTATAAATGAAAGTGAGAACAGGTTGGTTACAGCCATATAAACGCTTAATACAATATATAAGCAAAAGAGGGTTCCCCCACATTTATTTAGGATTTTAGCTTTGTATCTTCTTTTACATACAATATTTTTATTGGAATCATATGTATGATTATGCTTTAATACTGTCCTATCAATTCAAGGTAGCTTTGAGGGTTAAGATCTGGAAAGGGGTCAATGAAATAACGAAAGATGATCTGAAAGTAGGTTGCAACTTTTCTCCATTATCTTCAAGAATGTTTGATATCTCCATACTCTTGATATCAAGCGAGCTATTTGAATTGAATTTTAATATATACATGTTATATGAATTATAAGATAAAAAAATGTAAACCACTTTAACTTACCTGCTAAGCAAAACTGTCTGTTTTCCTCCATAGGCCTCGAATAACCGAAGAATAACCGTCTTTGCTTTACCCTTGTCATCTTCTGCAAGCTTGATAGTATCAATGATCACGCCACCAGGAGTAGAGATCTCAAACAGGGAAGGTACAATTACACCTTCTCTGAAAGCATTTCCCTTGGCATAACTGTGTAGAAATAGCTGTTAACAGATGCATCATATTATTTCAATATATATATATTTACCGGATAGACAAAGGAACATTAAATTCAAATGCTTCACGAACAACATTTGAGTTGTTGAAATGACCTTGATGTGGGTAGATAGCATACTTAAAAGCATGTTGGCCTATAAATGAAGTTTTTTTTTCTAGTTAAGCCAAAACATTCGCCTTTTACATATAAAAGAAAGACTTATTTCTCTTACCCATATCAGCATGTTCATCAGGGCCTTTTGGTGATCTCAGAAGTGATAATCGTTGAACATTGTCCTGTGTGGCATATCCATACTTGCAATTGTTGATCAAGGCAACACCATAGTTTGCCTCTGACAAATCGGAAAACTTGTGTCCGCACACCTACACAAATGCAGCTTAGATAAGTTAATACTGTTTATAATACTTGCTAATATTCTGGTGTGGGCACCTCAAATTTGGCAGAGTCTTGGGTGGAGTTGTAGTGATTTGATCGTCTTACAACGCCATGTTGAATATCATATGTTGCCTACCCGCTCGTATAAATGTTAACAATGCTTATATACGAGTTAGTTTCTTTAACTCACATGGTCCGTAACAAGATCCCAAGGGAATTCTACTTTCTACAATAAATAAACAAACAGAGCAAAGAAGAGTCCAAACAGTATTACTTAATATATATATATATGACATGGATTCATATACATTAAGCTGGTATACTTGCCAAAAATTTATGGCTTTCGTTCCATTCTACAACATTGTTAAATTCGATTCTTTCACCAATACATGTTAGACTTATTGTCTGTTCTATGCAGCTTCTGTCAGATATATTCTGACGGAATTTGAGTTCTGCTTTAATTGGACCCTTTGAAACGATCTGTATAATTTATATAAATATACATAAGCCAAAAGCTCAGTACAAAATTCATTATTATGCATCTCAAAATTCAGGCTTACCTGGACACTCTTGCTCCCTTCAATAGTCTTTCGCTTCTGAAAATGGTATATTTCAACTGATTTCAACAAATAAACATAGATAATTAGTAGTGATATTTTGTAATATTTTGTGAAGTTGGGTAGCCATACCATCCCATGCATCCCAATACGTCGGCTAGTAAGCACATAACAGAACAGAACACAAATTGAGTATAATGGCTATGATAAATTTAACGTTATATAAAATAATACGTACAACATCTTCGTAAAGAACCAATGTATTTCCTCGTTCTCCTGGAGAAACCAAATTTCCTCTATATTTTGTATAGAAATATATATATATTTACACAAATTAAATATGATATCCACAGCTTGCAAAAGGAAAACATACCTCATAACTCTTTCGTCAATAAGCTCAATTAGCTGTCCGTCTGAATTGAATTTTGCTTTTAAATTGCTGTTCTCAAGCATGAAGTTACCATCCTCAGTTTCGTAGGCTGCGATGATTTAAGTTGGATTAATTAGATACGTACACTGCTTGCTGTATACACCAATAGCATACCTTTGGCTATATTATCCTGTGCTAGTTTATCATCTCCAACAGATCTTCGTATACGGCCAGTAAGACTTAGCCCATCGACGTCTTCCACTGCAAACAGTTGTCAATATTATGATTAAGATCAGTTATTTAGTATATATTACCAATGATATATTTATCATCCTCATTATCCGCTGTATTATCGTCTGAAAATTTCTTTTTTGGTGCGGCCAACACTTCTGACCGTTTCCAGCTGAGCGTATTAAATACAATAAATCCTAAAAAAGTGATTTTAGCATAGTTTAGTTTTCAATACCCCCAAGTAATGAGAGAATAGTATTACCGTTTTCCTCATCTTGATCAACTGCGTTATAGTTGTCTTCTCTTCTGTTGCTATTTATGATATAGCTTTGTGCTTTATGTCTCAACAAGAGAGCCTGTGATATAACTTCTCGGTGATACTACATATATTTACGACACATTAGAGACATTTTTACTTTAACAGAGTTGTATTAAACGGAATCTAAAGTAAATATGCGTATTATATACCTTGTGTACGTCTGTGTAAGCCATTCCGATTGCGGAGCCAGGTAGACAGTCATGGAACTGGTTGAGGCAAAGTAGTTTCCACAGATGAGTAATAGAGTCAGCAGGGTAGCTAGTTTTTTTTATACATATAAGTACAATTTAAGCTCTGATTAGTACTATTTTTTTTTTCGCTACTTTTGGTCAAATTAAGTACATGTATTTCTCTGCCAGATCCGGATTACTCTGAAGAACAGCAGCCATTGTAGAAATGATCTCTAAATCTCTCAAAAGTACTTCGCCTTTGCGATTTCCCTGCTTTACTAATGCCTGAGTAGTGTATGTTCCTCGATGGAATTCAAGGTACTAAAGGTTGAAGCATTTTAGTATTATATATTTTTTTCAAGTACTAATTTGGGTGATGAATTGTCATTACCAATTCACCCTTGTACGATTGAAGACCCTTTGACTCTTTTTCCACACTTTTGAAGAATTTGAGTGCACTACCCGGCTTGCACTCCGGTATTCCATCCTGCAGTAGAAAGTTAGAGAAATTATATTTTAAGATATGTATATCGAATTAATATACTTACCACGTCTTTCATACGCTTCAATCTTTCCAGCATATCAGGTGTAGGACCTCCACCGCCATCACCGTGTCTATCAGTGATGTATTAAGCAAAAAGCAAATTACGCATGAATGTATACAAATATGTATCATACCCATAAACTAACAAGCTTTGATTGCAGCTCTCGAGATCATGATTGTTCTTTGCGCTGTAACATATATATATATATATATATATACGTATTTTAAAAAACAGCATTATATATATAATATACTACACTATACCATTTGTACAGTTCGCTCGGTGTAACACTAGCAGTGTAGCTATAAAGGTACAGTGTCAATATATATAGCAAATAAACACAACATTACCCTTTTTAAATCTTACGTTTCAGCAGGCGTCAGATGAGCTAAAATTCGTGAGTTATCAATTCCTGTCCACCAAAATGTAGTCAAAGGAAAAGTGTTGATATTATTCCAAGACAGCTTTTGGGTAAAGAAGTAATCACATCCAGACTGCTTAAGAACTTGAGGAAGCTAAAGAGACATATTTAGATACTAATAAGCAGGAATTATATATATATATAGTATGGTTTTTGTATTGTGATATTACTTGACCAGAATAACCTATGATGTATCATTATGACTTGAATATTATTGATCTGTGTAGCGTATATGTGTATTATATAAACATACCAAAAGAATCCGGAAGCCAAAAAATCTTGGTACGCTTGCCAAAATACTTTTCAAAGAAGCGTTGACTGCAAGATGACAATACATAATTCCAGGTTAGCCGCAATACTGAGAGGATAGATAAAGAAACACAGCCATTATCTAGACTCACCCTAAAAGCATCTGGCGACATAGGGATTCTCCACTAGGCATGTTGGTGTCTAATAAATTCAACGATGTAAGCTTATTTCTAGTTTCTGCCTAATATAGTTGCTTGAACTTGCCATGCTCAACCCAGCTCTACACATGTGTAAAAAGATGGTTGTATATATATATTAGCTTACAGATATTTAGACTATATACAAATGCTGTAGTACTTACACCGCCAATTATTTCCCATTGGCCATCCTTCTCTTTCTTTTGGATTTTTTTGAATAAAGGTGGATAAAGATCCTTCAGCCATTCATACTGTTGGGCCTAGAGTTCAATCAAAATTATTTAGCTTTTTTTGTATGTGTATTTGTAAGGATCAGGTCGATTTTATTTACTTGAGATGCAGTAAAGATGTAATCTGGGTACTTGTTCATCAGGTCGAGCTGTGTAGACCACGAACGGGCAATTTTACGCTTGGTTTCTTCATAGGGCCACAGCCATGCCGTATCTAACAATCCACTAAGTTTTGTTGCTTTTTGATAAATTTTAACTGGGCTTTAAGGATTTACCAATGTGACAATTTCCTAAAGCAGTTACTTTGTGTTGGCCTTTTCCGTTGCGGGAGGAAAGAAATTCAGATGTGAGACTTTTGCATTGCTTCCATGTCTTTGGATCGTCTGCAATAAATTGATTGATCACTTCATTAAGAGTCCAGAGGGCGTTACGTGCTCTAACCGAGTCTTCATTTGTGTTATACGCAATACCACGAACAACACTAAGTAAGAATATGATTAATTTACTATCGATATGAGACCTATTACGGAGCGTGTCACTCACTCTAAGTCATGATACAAATCCTGGATTTCGTGGGAAGGTACAACCAGATCGGCTTTTATAAGTCGAAAGTATCGGTTGGGGTCCGGAACCATTGCATCGTTCTGGTCTCCCACGCCAAACATGCCATTGCACGCAGCCTCCAGGTAAAACGTAAAGTCTTGACCAGGATTTGCATTGCGCGTCAAAACATATTCATGACGAGACTGGGCAGCTGAAAATAAAATGAGTTATAAGCAATGGGTATACATTTTGATTGACTTTGAGCTTACTTCCTCCTGTCAATCCTTGGAGAGGTACACCATCTGTACTCCAGATCATTCCTTCTGATTGCATATCCCATTGAAACACGACCTCTTCTCCAGCAATTAATTCTGGGATGACGATGGTAACCTTGAACCAATGTGTTGACCAGCTAGGTCCAAACGTGGTCTCATTTTGTTTAAATTCTTTATAAGTTCCAGCCATAGCTTCCTAGAATTAATTTGTGTTAATATAAAACCAAATTTTCAATATATAAGCTATGCCTTGTTACCTCAAAAGTAATTCGCTACATGGTTTAGAGTTAGTCATTATTATAATTGTATTGCCTTGCAATATAATGTAATGTAAAACTTACCTTTAGATTCGGGACACTGTAGACACTCAATTTTACATGAGGCTCGCCTTTATATCTTGCTTTCCAAAGTGCTTGGTGTACACCCATGCTGTAAAATTGCCCACCACCACTCATGAAATTGTTGATTCGGCTCTTGGTTATATTTTGAGGGACACGCGGATTCTTATCCAGAGGTGGGAGCTGAGGGCTCCCAGATACGGGTTTGTGTTTGCGATAGTCTTCCATGCTTAAATTTAATAAAAGAAAGAAATTCCAAAAGAAAGGATGAAAGAATGAAAGAAGAAAGGAAAATAAAAGAAAATCAAAATCAAGTATATATTTGACAAACAATTTATGGCCAAATAAGTTTTTTCTTTTTCTTTTTCTTTTTGGTATCTCCGTCTTTCACTTGTGTCATGTAAGTAAGCGTTAATTTTTTCTTTTTGATGCCATGCAAAACAGTTATACGTACACGACACAATTTTTAATATAATAGAGAGGGTATCGAGTTGTTATAATTTTAAGATGGCTAAAAAAATAATAATAATAATTATTGATAAAACCCAATCAAAAATAAAAAATAAAACTCAGACAGACACAGTTGTGAGAATTTATGTTAAAAATATTAGCACTGAAAAATGTAAGGAAAATAGACCTTAATAGACTTGGCTTTCCGAGGCATACTCTATTAATTAAATGTAAAGAAGAGTCTCCTGAACATCTTATGTTTTGTTTTGAGGGGAGAAAAATAAGCTTAAATGCTCACTAAATGGCCTCCACCATGAAATTTGCAAAAAAATATATTGGACTTTAATTCGCCGCGTAAAATACAAATTTGCAAACTGCAATTCAGGCTCGAAGACACTCTCTCTATTGTCTTATTTCTATTTAATATCATTTTTGCTTCTTGGCTGGCTGTGTATCAATCAAGTGTAAAAGACGTGTGTGTGTGTGTGTGTGAATCAAAAATAATAATAATTTATTGTTTAATCGCCCATGGAGGCAGTGACGAAATCAGCCAACGTGGTATAGCAACATATATTTCTTCTCTCAAAAACCTGGGCATTCTTGGCTTCGCATTCCCTTTTGCTTTATAATCGGATTGCATGCTTTCATCAATCAAGCCCAGAAACTTGTTGAACTATATTTATTTTATTAATATTCTACTTCACCGTGATCACACCACAAGAAATAACTTACTTCATCGCTTCTCCAGCTGGGACGGGCAACTTTCAACATACGCACTGGGAACCCAGGGAAAAGTTCCTCTGTGTCAGACTCGCCGTCCGACATAGCCCCTTTTTGGATAGCACCAAAAAAAGCCATCTCGGAATCTTCTTCAACCGTGAGACCCATCTCCTTGTCTACCACCCTCCAGTACCTAGTGTAGATATCCTGGCGGCGAGGATGGATCTAAGAAAAAATAGTAAGATGAGTACAAAATATCTTAAATGAATAACATGTTTTGTAATAACCTCTTTCATCCGGCTGGCGATTCTTGCCCTGCGGTTGTTGTCCACGCGCTGCTCAGGCAATGTATGTGCTTTACGATGGCAGTACCTATAGTTACTTTTTACCATCGATACTACCATGCCAGGCCAAAAGCTGACAGCTTGGGGTTGGGGCTGGATATACTCCCGCAAGTACGCAACAACAGCAACATTATCGGGATGGTCAACCCGCTCATCTACGTTCCATCTTCGTCTTGCTTCATTCTCGACAATCTCAGTAGGATCATTAGATCTGAAGTCCTTTTTCCAGATCTTCTCTCTGATCAAGGCCTAGATACTACATGTTAGATTATTATTCACTCCATACGATTTAACATATTTACCAAAACTGCAACTTTTGTCTCTTCTTCAGAAATTCGGTCAAAATATGGGGCAGCAGATGGGGCAACTGCTGGGAGAACTTGTCTACTGGTAGATGCCAAAGACATGGCAATCGCACCAACTGTCTCGGTGTTTCTTCTTTGGACGTCAATGAATTGACCAAATCTGTTGTCCAGGGATCCAAGCATGGCGCTCATGTTATCAAGGCGAGTTGACATTTCTTCCATGCGCTGTTCTTGGGTAACAGCAGGTACAACAAGATGCTGCTCAACACGACCAACTGCAACCTGGGTAAGGCTATTTCTAGCATTAGATCTAGGGGTTCTAGGAGTAACGGGAGCCATCTTCTATACAAAAGTATATTTCAAAATCAAATTAGATTATGATTTAAGAGTATTTTGATTTGAGGATATTAAGTATACTTTAATGGTAGCTAATTTTTTTAAATGATATTTGTGATATGTAAAGACTATATATTACTGAGCTAGTAGGATATGTATGGGTACTTAGTGCATGTAACAGAATATATATATATATATTAAGTTTTCTTTGAAAGCTTAATAAGAACTGCTTGTAGTTTTGGAAAATATTTTCATGAAAGAATTCTGTGCTAGCTGGTATCTGTTGGGATGGGGTCAATGGGATTGAAGAACGTTTTGAAGTAAAAATCATGCAAATATTATATACGTGCGAGAGTTGAAAGCCAGCTGAGAATGACGACATATGGTACTTAAGGCTTATAGGAATACACTCCCATATCAGAAATCATCGATAAGATATTTACACTAAAGAAAATGGCAGGATTGATAACTCCGTACTCGTAGAAAATATACAAGCTCGTACAATAGATGCGCGCACGTAGATTCTCCATCCAATAGCATGTCAGTTTTTAGTATACAAAATATTCGAATCGAAATCGCCATTTGTGACATGAATTCGGACGCAACCGCAAAAACAAATGGTCACAAATATACCATCGAAATGATCAAAAAATACACTTGGTGTGGACAGACCAAAAGTTCAAAAAAAGGGGCAAAATTAATTACAGCTCGTCCAATAATATGACTTAAATTCTTGCTCTTTTTTTTGCCCTTTTTTTTTGAAACTTTTAGTCTGTCCACACCAGCTGTCATTAAGTCAAAATCTTTTATTGAGTATTTTTCTAGAACTTGCATCCTATGACCCATACTTTCCACCAAAAAAAAAAGCTTTTATTCTCAATCCATGTAGGAATGGAATAAGACTGATCAGTCGGGGTCATTCATCAATCTCTCCCTTTTTTGAACTTTTAGTATCTCTACACCAAGTGTAATTGTTTATTTATTTGCTAATGTAACTGGGCTACTTTTATTAAAGGCAAATGGTAAGTATACAGCTGTAGATACTTTAAGCCTATTTGTAGATAGGGACGGTTGATATAAAAGTAAGATAAGGGAGTGATGTGGCCAAGTATGGATTAGATAGAGATAAGAATATATATGATTAACATGATCCACTAGGATATTGATCAAGAGAAAGCCTCGCCACAACTCAGACTTTAGCTTAATAAAAAAAATATGCTACTACTATCACTATCACTATCACAGTAAGTACAGTAAGTACAGTAAGTACAGTAAGTACAGTATATTTGGCTTTAATGGAGCATGTAGAAATACAAGCATTAAAGCACTTATTTTCATGTTTTGCAAAAAAAAAATTTGGTGAGTAGGTAAATAACATTATGAAAGACAAACCTGAAACAATTTGGTCAATAAAGCATAAATAAAGCGTTTTCTTTCCTGGGTATACGGACTGTGGGCAAATGCTGAAAGGCTATATGCTATGTGCATAATCAACTAGTTTGGTAGTTTCACAGCCATGTATGATCGCGGGTTTATTAACTAAAATATATGTATTAAAAAGGTACAAAAGAGGAAATAATACCCTTTTAAAGACCACCATCTGTCTTTCATCAAGCCCAAGATCTAAAAGACGGTGTTACTTACAGTTTTGTGCTTCCAGGACTCGGTAAAAGAGCGCCATATTTCAGCACAGCTGATTATAAATTAAACATCTTTCCTTTCTTTTTCATTTCATTTATTTTCTTTTCATCAACTTTTAGGTGTCTACAATGGCACATTCCTCTCGCTCATTGTCTCTATTGCTAGCTATATTTTGCGTGTTATCATTTTTTAGCCCCATAGCTTCGGCCGTCAACTGTACCGATGCATTCTGCGTTTCACCTGCATCAGGAGCAAGAATCGATCCAAAATGTCCTGATGCCTGTCCTGACAACTGTTACTACATCGTAAATCCCTGCTGTGTTAGTCAGCGTGCTCCTTATTGTAATGTCACTTCCTCGGCATCGGCCTCAGTATTCGACCCTAGCTCCTCTATTCCAATTTCACTCTTACCTTCATCCGTTCCTTTATCGTCTGCCGGCCCAAATCCAACGCTTTCTAGTATTGGCGCATCTGGCTCTCAGGCTCCAGCTTCATCCGGTAGTGTACAAAACACGTTCTCCGTATCTTTGTACATGGCATCAACTGCGTCAATTGTAGCTATCATAAGTCTTGTTTTAATGTAGTACAACTGTATGCTTAGACCCATGGCTATTACATACCTCTATATGAATTAAATTTCCTCGAGTACTGTCTAAAAGCAGCTCCATCCCAAAAATTACATTTAAGGATTCTTAAATACCAGTTTCATCTATATAAAGTGCATTTATCCATTTCAGAGTTACAAGCATTTTGGCTTACACTTTAAATACATCTTTATGTAATATGTTTATCTACAAGGCGTATTAAGGAATTATTTCTTTTAAAAAAAATAAAAAACAATCGTTTTTTTATCTGCGTCTTATTATTTTATTTATTTATTTATTTTGGAAATACCCCTTTGAGATCTCGCCGTCTTAGATTTTACATAGTTTTTCTTCTTTTCTTTCTTAGCGTTCTATATAAAGCTTACAAAGTTAGAAAGCCTAGGGAAAGAAAGAAACCTGTAATAATTTAAGCAGCTACCCGAGTATATTGTTAGTCACAAATACAAATCAAGTACGTGCGCGCTTTCCCGTAAAGACATACCAAAGTCATTGCTATCTATTGTAAATTAAAGTATCTGAAGAACAGCCTGTGTTGAATAAGCCATCTATTGTTAAAAATGATCATTCAGAGCTACACTTTATCTCCAGTCCACTCACTACGTTGTTGACTCATTTTTTTTCGCTTCTCACAGTATCATCCAGCTAGAAAAGAGACTCTATATCCTGGGGATACAAATCGAGGTCGGTATCACAACAAATACATGGAAATACAGCGGTCTTAAGCATTAGACATAAGGATTTATAAGGACAGGATATTCCTCTGTCTGAATTCCACGCCATGTTCGTTTTTTAAGGCAATATTCGGTATAAAATTAATGAAACAAAACTTAGAGTCTTTATTTGATGTCAAGTTAATCAGGAACAACTGGGTGAATGCCTTGTCATAACTTTTGTTTCTTTTGTAGGTTTGGTTATGTTTAAATCTTTAAAAGCCCTACTCTCCTTGGTAGGGCTAGGGCTAGGGCTAGTGTGGTGTGGTGTGGTGTGGTGAATTGTACACCTATATTATATTCTTTGAGAAAATCATTGGTTATAGTTTTTTAATGTAAATTTATTTATTTTTCCAGTGCAAAATAATACTTGTTAAACGCGCATAATGAAGAATCGATGATATCCACCCAAAAAAAAATACAATAGACGGGATCCTTCAAAATATTATAAAGTAGTTTAATGCTGTCCCTCTGATTTAGCTTGAGCTTCTTTTTTGCCTTGTCTTCCAAAAAGAGTCTTTCGTACAGTTGTCTCTGCGTCCTCCTTATTTTCTACATCACGGCTCCAACCCTTATCTGATTCAAGCCATGCTGTAAACTTGGATGAAGTAGTTGGGGTAGAAGATGGTCTGCGGCGAACAAAAGTATCTTCTGTACCGATAATGTAAAATAGATGATAAGTGTTTCTACAGATCTTGTACTGCATTCTTGAATGTACATGTATTCCGCTAAGATCTTTATCTTTTGGTTTGTGTCGTAGATTTCGTTTGAGAAAACGTGGTTCGAGATCAGTCTGTTGGACACCGTCTGTTTCTTTTGTCCAATCGATGTAACTAGCCACATATTCTTCATAGCCGTCTTGCTCCCCTGCCTCATGATACGTGGGATCGTCTTGTCCCAAAAGTTGAATGGAAAGAATGCGATTTGAGGTGTCCTTAAGATAATCATACAATAAGCATCCAAGTCACACAAGCATAATCTGCTTAACTTACAAAAACAATATTATACAGGTTCTCATCTGTCCCAACGGTATCTTCGGCTAATAATCGGTACATTTTTATTGCTTGAGAGTCCGGGTTCTCGACTTCCCGTTCTTTCTCAAAGAGACTAATGAGTGATTGACATGATTCTCTTGTGACAATATCATGTATCTTGTTTAAATGACAAGGCATTAGTCGCGTGCTTGTCGCGTCAAATCAAGAAAATTTTACTTACATGGCGAATGAGAGTTAATATGAGCTTGTCAATAGTAAATATCACGTATGCCTTTGTACCAAATATGTAGCGTGCGCTCTCCTCAAACTGCTGTTGATCTACATTCTCTTCAAAGAACTTGTCTATAAGGTTCAGTAATGCATGATAGTGTCCACGGTTCAATCCCATCTTGTCTACTACAAAATATATTATTTAGTGTTTTTCTCTTTATTTTATTTTTAGTAGGTTTACCAGACATTCTACGATTGATTGTGCCAAGTTCAAGAGCAATCTTATTTGTATCCTCCTCCTTTCCTGGGTTAAGTTTGTACTCGGCATCTTCCGTTTTAAGCTTCTCCAGGCGTCCATACGCCATCTATGGTAACAAAAGTTAAGCATATATTATCGTATGTGTTTTATGTATATTATCGTGTTACCTGAAGGAGTCTAAAGAAGCAATAGAAGCTGTCATTTCCAAAGAAATTGAATACTGTCCGCCTCTCAGGGGACACAGAGTCGGTTTCTGTAGTCTGCGCAGTAAAATCTTCTTGAACCAAGGAGTTCTTTCGATGAGGTGCTGTGAGAATAACAGGAGATGCTTCGTCCCCACTCGAAAGTTGGACATCAACTTCGGTACCAGTATCATCTTTGTCTTCCTGTTCGGTATCCTCTTCGTCCTCATCACCAATCTCTTCGGGTGTTTGATGGGGTGGTCGAATCATATTGCGTGTAAGTACATCCTTTAGCAGTCTTTCGTCTTCATTGTTTTGTAATCGTGGCATGGCCCTATTAGCTGTGCGGGTCCGTCTTAACGCAGTTCTTCGAGTATTCATAACGACATCTCCGTCTGAATCGTAAGACTGCATAGATCGTGATTCGTCCTCTTCATCTTCTACATCCTCCATTCCTTCGTCTTCTTCTTCAATCTCAGCGGCGTCAGGAACTACGTCTGATACGTCAAAGAAAAGTGGTACAAATGTCTCGATAAAAGCTCTGACTTGATCACATTCAGTTGCATTGTAGAGACTTTGACGTTCCAAGAAAGAGAATACGAGTCGTGAAATATCTTTAAATAAGGTCTTATCTTTGAATGTGCATGCAATTTGTGGCCCTTGTCTTCCAGTCATAAGAACCCTAGTAGAATCAGAATGTAATGATTTTCCTTGTTTCTGATCCTTCCGCAGTGATTCGATTTCTGCAACTAATGCTTTTGCTGTGATAGCCTTTCGGTCACTACTCTTGAATGTAATACCCTGGTAGTCAAGAGACTTCCAGTAATTCTTGGCTTCTACTTCACGCCAGATCTTATTCCACTCTCGCTATAATATAGAAAAAGAAAGAGTGTTATATTAAGCTTTTCCGTCTTATTCTTTTCTTCTTCTTCTTTTCTTGTTACAGAATTTACCTGAGCACGTTTCCATTCGTCATCCTTTTGTTTCAGACGTTTAAGAACAATAGGAACCGTTCGTGCAGGATTATCGTGCAAAAGCTCAATAATCTCCAAGCCTCGATCGCTGCCGTATATCTTTTTAAGGATTCGCTGATATATTGTCTGAGAAGATCCACCCAGGCCAGGAAGTACTCTATACTCTGCCTTTTCTTCAGGTGTCATGTTGGCAATTTTCTTAGCAATCGGTTCAAGTAACCCAATTGTGTTTAGATTGGCTTCAATATTAAGATCATAGTCGTATCTAAAACCAATTCCACACATAGTCAATTATCAATTCATTAACATTAATTCGGCTGGTCTACCTCTCTTCCTCGACTCTATTCAGTGCCTCTTCGTATTGATTCTTCTTAGAGGCAACGAATCCATTGTCTTCGCTAGCCCATGTGGGGTGTGAGACGTACTCGTCATTGAGCACTTCCCAACACAAGGCATCCCTTCCAGAACAGGTCTGGTTTTGCCATTTTGAGTCTACCGCCACCTTGTTTTGGTCACCTTTGCTGTCTGACGTTTTTGGAACTAAACGATAACTTGGGCCACATGTCTTGTACTGAGCCAGGTCAGGCTTAGTTTTGTCGGCTGGTATGTTCTCGATAACTTCGTCTTTGCCATCATATCCGACTAACGTCTTGAACCAATCAAATAACTCTTTGTTACCTCCGATAAAAGTCTCTACTCGACTAACAAGCAAGTTTTGATCCACAATCTGCTGGCTAAACAAGCTGAGAAGCTTGAGGAATGCGTTGTATGTTGACTTGTTTCCAATGTATTTTCGAACGCGTTCAAAAAACTCTACTTCTTCCGCGGAAATAACAGGTCGAACGATCTCTTCATCGGGTGGTGCGCCAGAACGAACGTCAGATGTCTGAAGAACCATCTTATGGTGGAGTTTGGAGCGCTACACAGACGTATATGCATATACATATACACATTAATATATAAATATCAATATATGATGATATATGCGTTCTGTATTGGTAATCTAGAGGTCACATCATATATAATTTTTACCTTTGGAATACCTGCACCAGACACGGGGCCAACTCGCTTCTTTCTTCCCTGTCCTGTATTTGACAATGACATGGCCTTCTTTCCCCCTATAAAGAAGAAATGTCATTCCAGACGTTTCTGTATCAGTATTTATATGGGCATGATCCAAAGAATGTATTTACCATATGGCATTCTACCACCAGCACTAAACAGGGCTGCAGAGCCTACTGAATGATTTCCAGAAGCGTCGGGTAAAAACTGTTTAAATTCATCCAAAAGATCATTGGCTCCGTCAAACAATACTTGGACCTGAGTATAGACCTAATAGGCAAATCCATGGTTTGATTGAATATTGAATATTCTAATTATCTGTTTCTATATATATATATATATGTATATATAATTACCTCTTGTATTGGTTTTTGATCTTTTTGGTACATTTGTAAAATTTCCAAAAACTGTTTGTATGTGTCTGGATCTCCTGCAAATCGGTTCTACAGCTTACGTTGTTATTCTCTTTTATATACATGTCTCTTTCGTATTATTTTTTTATTTCATTTATTTAATTCATTAATATCGTTTGGTTTTTTAATAATACCTTTATTTTATTAACATAGTTAATTGCATGATTAAATTCTACCGGAGGACGCCGTGCCTGACTTTCTTCCACCTGCCCAGGTGAAGCTATTTGTGGAGAAGAGTTTGGCTGATAGTTTGAAGGAGAAGCTATAGCACTTGACGTATTATGTCCTCTTCCATACGTAGATGAAGATGATCCATAAGAAGGTGGGTGCTGGTAACTGTGTGGGGAAGGCGCTGTCTCTGATATGAGTTTAAGAGGTTCTCCATCCATAGTACTTGTTACTCCAGAAGGTGTCGTAACCTTAATAACATCTCGTGAGCATTCGTCAGTAGAGCATTCGATACGATATCCAGGTGGAAGGAATGTATTAAAGCCAGAGATCAGAGAAGGATGACCCTTAAAAAGTCCTGAAACACGTTCGATCACTCCAGGCGTATCGATCCTACAGAGCGGGTGAATACCGGCCATATCACCTATCCTGCACTTACGCTTGGCTCTTGAAGTCCTTCATAATGTCAAGGAACTTATTGTAAACCTCGGGCTGGTCCGAGAACTTAATCTTGACTTGATCCAGATAGGTCAATGCGTCTTTAACATTCAGAGGCCGATAACCGTTCGCTGTACTGGCATTCGTTGCACGTGGCTCGGGGGTAGCTGGTGCAGGGACGGGCGCAGAGACAGCTGGGCGTGACTGGCTATACTGTGGGGGAGGGAGGGGTGCGACTGGGCTAGAAGGGCGGTGAGATGTTGTAGAGGATTGGGTGACGGCAGGAGAGGTAGGACGTGATGGTTGTGATGGGTGTACCGAGAGAGTTCCAACAGGAGGGAAAGTAGAACGTGGATGGGTTCTCTCGAGACCATTAGATTCGGGGTTGGTCATGGGGAATGAATGGTTCATCTGTGGGGAATGGTGCATTTGTAAAGCTGAATTCAAATGTGGACTAGAGCCAACAGACGAAGATGGATGAGAGGCGGGAACATTAGTCGCATATGCTCCGCTCTCTTGATTGCGCGGTGTGGATGCGGAATTAGCCTGGGATGGTGAGCGAATAGCTGGAAAGGAGGCTGTGGTAAATGCATGAGAGTATGATGGTACTGGTTGAGTAGGGCTGATGACTGACTGTGTGGATTCAAGTGAGCCAACAGGTCTACGAAATAAAAAAAGTTCGATGCTTTCTTTAGGTTGTTCTTAGTAAGTGAAGGCATACCTTGATACCACCGGCGATGGTTGCTGTGACGGAGGATCGGCTGCCATTAAGAAGGAAAAGACAATCGGTAAAGGTATTCGTCAACGCGTGCCGAAGTATTGACGCCCACAGATCAGGTAAACAGTCAAAAACAGATAAAAAACTATAAAAAAAAGGGCGCGTAAGGAAGAATGCGTCTTTGTAAAGGTACTATCTTGGTAGTAAGGCGCACTGAATATGGGAGGGAAAGAAACAAAAGATGGCGGAGAATCGGACACCAAAAGGTGACCCGTCTCACTTTTGGTTGTCACAAATGACGTGAACGGCACCGGAAAAGAAAAAAGAATAATGCGTTATAGACAGTCCGAACAACCTCGGGAAGAAGTCTAGCTGGGTAAATAAAGTAAATGGATAACATGCGTTGTCATTATATTGAACCATTAAACACATTACTTGTTTAATACTGTTAGAATTAAAATTTTAATAGACTTGATACTTTTGTGACTTTAGTAAATAATACATAAAGTAAAGTATAAAAATCTTATTTGCTCACCAGAGTTTTCTCCTTTCTTAAATTCAGAATGAGAAAGGTTGGATACCTAATCCTTTAAAGAATTGCAGGAATCTAATAAAAACATACAAATTCGAAAGCCATTTTGAGGTTAATTGGTAGTATAGTTAAAGCCTAAATTGTTAGTTGGCATCCTGAACATTAAATCGCTTTGAAAAAGATAAAAGAAAGTGAAAAATAGACACGACGACCTTTATAGAAAGTGATGTTGTATGTAGACAAAGATGAGAATTGACATTCTTATTAGTAATATTAGTAATATTATCATTTGGAACAAGTCTGAATATTTTAGTTAAGTTTATACTTAAAAATGCTTAAAATTATTTTACGGATTTGACTTTCTTTTGCTTTACTGTTAATATTTTACACATTGTATCTGGCAATGGTTCATTACCTAGGCACAGATATCTGTGCAATACCTCTAACAATATTCTTGATGTTGTACCAATGTAAGTTTTGTCTCTACATACACATCAACGCAGTGTATCTCGTATCAATTGACTGATAGACAAGAATATGAACTTGGAAAACAATCGTTCCTATATTGGTAATGCAAGACCATACACTAGTAATGATTGTAATTTCGTAATAATAAAGAGCATGGGACCTGATAAAATTAAGCTCGCTTTAAACAAATGTATTATACGTCAACGGTTGTTGATAACATAAAGATAAATGGCTTAACGTCAGTCAATAAGCTTATGTTTTATGTTTTATTTTCTATTCTTTACTCGTTTCGTAATACTCTTTATCTAATTTTTATACACTCAAATGGATTCATCTAAAATAGGGGGAGAGCCTATTGTATCCTCAATAATTCCAATGTTATGGCTGAGGATATTATTCCTTCCTTTGGTCAATAATATAGTTTCGCTCGCTTTATATCTAGCTCTTTTTTTTGGATTACAGAGGCAATTATACCAATTTAAACTAGGATTTGTATTATTATTTTAGATTCTTTCATAATTTTAAGCCAACATTCTTGAATAAGTCTCAAAAATGATGAATGTAAAGCCATGTATGTCAATTTGTAACCATGTTTATTGATAGCATTCGCAGCAAAAGAAAATTGTAGTAAGTCTTACAATTAGATATATTACACCTTTCACAAATGAGTTTTATTTTAAATTTACTTTAAAAGATAATCACAGAGAAAAGATATGTTGCCACCTACACTATGATAAAAAAAAAGGGGTGGAGATAATTTTAGTGAGATTTGCGCAATATTTTCCGTGGTTTAAAGTGTATTTTAAAATGAAATTTTGATTAAGCACTATTTCTTTCTCGCCTTTTTATATTTACATATAAAAACGTTTCAATTTCAATATCTTTGCTTTTCTTTTCTATTATTGTAGCTCAAAAGTAATGCCATACTTTAAAAGAAAGAAGTGTGTCGAAAACCTGCCCCTAAAATTTCTTCTAAATTCGCCCTTTTTTCCCGTAGTGTCTTGTCCGTTAAACCATCGGTGTAGGCAAAGTGAATTACCGAATATGCAAAATATTCATACATTAAAACACATCTGTAAGGCGTATTTTTGGGATTTTTTTTTTCAAAGTTTTGATATACTGCACTCTTATATATAAACAGGTATGCCCTCAATCACTCTCAAAGGTACTCTCATAACTATTAACAACAAGCTAGTCTTTGAAAGTTACGCTCATCCGCCGAAAAAAGAGAAGTAAATAACTGCGAGAAAGTTGCACGGTATAAAATTAAAGCCAAAGGGATACTATAAAAAGTGGACTACGGAGAATGAACTTGCCCTGATATAAGAGTATGGGAACCTCTACGCACCTGTTTGTTCAGAGGATCTGTCCCAAAGGATTAAGATACGATTATCAAAAGGGTAAACTCATGTGTCAAGCTGTGTTTACCATTTGATTACATGATGTAAAATGTTCTCCATGCCTCTGCAGACTCTCACTTACAACGAGATCAAAGTATACTCTTTATTATGGGCATTATTGAGGTAGTAAGCATATTGGACTGTTTTTGAATGATATATTTGTTTTAATAAAATAAGCTTAAATATAAGTAAATATAATGTAGCTCATGCTTTATAACAGTAAAAACCCTGAAAATAAAAGCACATATATATGATAGCCATATAGATATTATATTTCTCCAATTATTTATACATATATATGCTAACAAAGTCATGATGGTTGCTTTGTCTCTCGTCATAACGATCGTTTCCTTATCTTAAGTTGATGAATACCTCAAACACAGACTCAACACGACTGCTACTTTGGGTAAAACTCAATTAAAGTCAGTCCGTAGGTTCACTTGAAAAAAAAAATTCTCAAGACAAATACCTTATTCGGTTTTGTGACCTGTGCAACTTTGAAAAAGCTATTTCGTGAACTTACAGTGCTTCTACTGCCATTTGGACATTTTTTTGAAATCATTGGTCATTCTTTAAAAGTTTATAAGGGCATTTTATTTTGACAATTTTCAAACTGATCTACTGAATGCTGAACAATGTTTTCAATATGAACAATTGGCACATCTTCACTAGCCTCAATTATTCTAGTAGTAAGAGTTTCTATATCACTAAGCTTGATTTGTCTTATTTTAGCATTTATGATGGACCAGAATTATTCGATTGGATTTAATTCTGGCGAGTAGGGTGGAAGGTACACTGGGGTGTAGCCTCGCTGTATGATTATTGGATCAATTATTTCAGGGACATGAATTGGAGCACTGTCCATAATAATAAAGTAATCTTTCATTTCTAAAAACTCGTCCATGATATCCATGGAATCACTAATAAACTGAAGATAATGTTCACCTGTAGTACCTTTGGGTACAGACAATTGATCCTCAGGAGCCTTTCTTTTTGTAGCTCCCATCACTTTCCTTCTCTTCAAATTTCCAGTCTCTCTTAGCTTCATATTCATAACACCGATTGCCGAAATTGCACCAAGAACACTATGCGAAGTAGCTTTTGTCGACGAAGTCTCAGTCATTGACTTTGAACCGTGTGGTGACCAGCCTCGACTACGACGCATGTTGATATCAAATCCGAACTCATCAACAAATATACAGTTCTTGAGATAGTCCATACCATTTTGAATCCACTTCTCAACCCAATTTGCTCGTTTCTCAAGGGTTTCCTCTTTGTTTCTGGCAACAGGATGTTGACTTAAAACTTTAATACTAAGGTTGCACTCCTCCTTCATAAACTCGGCTACCCTCGACTTTTTTATATCCAAGTCCGCAAACTTCGCAGTCAAGTCCTCTACAGTGTCCTGAATTGTTGCCGTAGAATCTTCGTCAAAAAAATTGATTAAATGAGACTCATGGGCTTCATTTAGCTGGCTGACTATTCTATATATGGTTTTATCGGTTTTTTTAACTGGGATATTTCTCTCAGGATCATCCTCATATGTTTGTTTCCACTTGAGAGCAGTGTCGTAATTGACATTGGCTGCTATGGCTGCTTGCCTTGGTTTCATGAGTTTTTCTTTTAAAAAATAAAAATAACGCTTGCGATCTTCGAACGTATAAACGTTATATTGCGGATCTCTTTCCTTCTTAGGCTCAGCCTCGTTCATCCCAGTGTCGGCTGGAGATCTTGTTTCAACCTGAACTTCTTGATTTTTGATATACTTTCGATCTGTCAATTTTTTTAAGCGAAATGATTTATCCTCAACGTAACTCGGTGCTTCCTGACCTTGCCAGCCAAAAATTCTACCGGTGCCGTCTTCATAGAAAAAGAGAAAATAAAACGTCTCAGTAACGACCAATTGAAGGTCAAAAAAATGACCAATTGAAGTTTAAACAAGTGACCAATGATTTCAAAAAAGTGTCCAAACGGCAGTAGAAGCACTGTATCTCATTAGAGGTCTTTTCCAAGTAATCTAGCATGAGCTTAAACATATGATCACACAATAGACTAGGGAAAATGAGTGGTGATTCCGATTGCGAATTTGGAAAATACTTATGGTACTTTCCAAAATCCCCATCAGAACCACCGCTTTTTTCTTAATGATAAAAGAAAATACGATTTATGAAGATTTTAAGAATATAGTCTTAGCCCTCTTTCTTCACTCGATAAATGGTCTTGAAGTACTTGCGCAGTATTAAGACCGATTTTGATATTCAAACTTTATTTAACGTTAACGTACAAGAATCATTGCTATCTCTCTATATTATTACATTGTGTACTCGTTTGCATAATTTATACTTTTTTGAATTATCGGACCATTTTTAAGAATTAATATTGTAGTTTGTCTCTATATCTTCTGGTTCCATCAGTCAATTCTCTTCACACAACAATAGAGGCGTGTATGTTATAAGTTTATGAATAAATGTGTATGTTGCAGTATTAGAATTCAAAAAAAAGGTGGTTACAGCATCTCAGCAGATTGTCTTGTCAAGCGCTGGACTTTCTTCTTGAACTGCGAGTAGTCGTCACGATATTCCTTCTACAAATGTAAGAATTAGCAAATACTCTATTTTATTTTGATAGAAATATATGCGTATATATACAAATAAATAAAAAATAAATGTGTCTTACTGCTGCTTGGATATTAGCTGGAGATTCATCGTTAGGGCTAGAGAGCATCGATATTACAGACAAAAGGATAGTTTCTACAGTGTGAACTGGCGACCAACGCTCATTGGCATCTTCATAACCATATTTATCATCCCCTGGAGGATGCTGATAGTACATCATAAAAAAAATTGAATGCCACGATCTTTGATATCCAATCATTTTACTTACAAGAATAGAAATACAGACTGTACCATCCGGATAAACTATGGAAACAATTGAAATTAATAACCAAAATAAGAAGAAGAAAAAAAAAAGATCGTCCCCTTGATAGTATGCACATCTGTGCCTGTCCGTGTGTTACTGAAAGACAAAGCATAAGAATGTAAAATATATTTACCATTTGGGTGATACATTTCTGTAATAAATCTCATAGTAGGTGGCATAACTGGATAACTCTACAAGAAATTGTTTAATATGTTGCTATATAACAGTTGGGATCCAGAACTCACGCTGGGAAAAGAGAGGCGAGTCTTGAAGAATCCATCCTCACTACGATATAAGCATAAATATACAGATCCTCTATATCTTTTTTTGACAGTTCCTCGCACTATCAACTTACTAAAGTGTATCCGGTGCACCCATAACTAGAATTTCCCACTAAAATGATTCGCCAATGTTAGTTATCAAAACTAACATTTAAAAGTGCATACTTGCCTCATAAATGTTATCATCCACGAGACCGGCAGAGAAGCCTTCGACAGGATTCCTTTGAAGATCTAAAAGTACATCAGAAACCGCTATTTTACATCAAAAAAAAAATTGCCATCTCGCCTCTTAGTTGTCTTTGAAGTAAAAGTGTACTCTGTTCTGATGAGCTCATGATCAACTGTAAGACTCAATCCAAAAAAGAGATGGTAGTTAAATGAAGAGATTGGGAAGGGAGACAAGTCGTAGACAAGACATGAAGGAGGAGAGAGCAGCTAAATGAGGAGAATGTGACCGTCATTGTATCACCTGGACCTTTCTTCCTTCTTCATCTTCAATGACATGCTTCGCTCGATCTACACTAGCTTTGCGTAGACAATTTACTTCTAAAGGTATTCTGGATTCAACTCAAACACCAGGATTGACTTTATATTCCAGCTAGTCTTCGCATTACCGACAAGGATGGTTTGGTAGGAGTTAATTTAGAAGTTAAAAAAAAAACAAGTGCTTAAAGGCTCATTTATAATCTTCCAAAGCCACTCTCGGCCACATGGTCTGTTCGTTCCCTCTTAGAGAATGATCATCAGACCATGTCAGATGAACAGTTTAAGAGCTTGTTTCGCTTGGCCCAGCTGAGAGCACCATCATCAGCAGATGCATTCGAGAAACTCAAAAAGGATGTGAACCAGCTCTCTGCTTTTGTGGGGCCTATTCAGCGCCATGAATACGGTACAATTAAACCTTTATCTCATATCTGGCAAGAACGTATTGGAATGGAATTACGACAAGACAAGCCCAAGAACGACCCAGAAGAAGTGAGAGGCAGGGCTCTGTTGAAAGAAGCAAAACAAATTAGTGGACATTTTTACATGGTGCGCGGTTCGCTTCCTAGTTCCGATTCATAGTGATGAGAAAAGAAAACCCTCTGACATCTATAACTTGTTATATATATTAAGAATAGAATAAATTATGATACATAGAACTTATATGGAATTCGCTCATATTCTAAGCTCCTTAAAAGCTTAAAAAAACATCTCCTAAAAGCAATCAAATGTTACGAGATACAATAGATAATATGATATTTGTGCAGGAAGAAATCTATATATTGTACTATGTGTAGTAGTATCAAGATATTGTAATTTGAATACTTCAAATATACGGCTTTCTTTTAAGAAGAAGAAGACAAACAAACAAAAAACTACAATATATCTCTCTGGTGATGATATCTTTGAACTGTACAACATTGATTTTTTTTATAGTTCGGTTAACCATTAAAGCTGGAAATATTTGTGTAGATACTATGTAACTCCATCTGTTATTGGGTTATATAAATATATAACACTTTATAGAAATAAAAGCTTATAAGTATAGTATCAATATATGAAACTGAAATTTAATCACTTTCTTTGAAAGATTGGCTACTGTGGTTGATGCTTTGTAAGTTATATATGCTCTAGAGAAAGTACCCGTATATATGGCAATCATACATATTATTAAAAAGAAATAAAGATACTCTGTGCATGACTTACATTCTGTCCTTCTATGTTTTTTTTAAAACAAGTTCATGAATTACTCTTGCCCACGTAACTCGTGATATAATTATGTCCCCAATTGAGATGAGCCATGGGAACAAGTAAGCATTTAACTATCAATTGAATCTCTGACTTTTGGACATATTGTAGTCAATAGTAACTATGCACCCAATTGAAATAAACAGTTGATGAGTAGATAAAGTTAGGGATCAAATGTCACACCATATAGCAATCAAATTTGCACAAGAGAACTTTTAGCTATCAAGACAGTTATAGAAATTTGAAAGGCTTTCATAAATTTAGCCAAATGGGTAGTATAAACAGGTAGTAAATACTTAAATTGATAACAATATAAAAGCCATATAAGAAACTTTAGGAAGAAGTATTATCATAAATGCTAGGAGATGAGTATACAGCATATGAAATAAAGAAAAAAGAAACTAAACTACACGAGTGATACTACTGCTACTTTGTTTTAATCAAAGTTTTCCATTTTTTATGAATCGTTTTCGTTTTAATATTAAATCTTTATAAGAATAAGATATTTAAATAAACTTAGGCAAACAGTTTCTTCTTTCTTAGAATAGTATGATTATTGCTTCCTAAACTGTACCAATGGGGTCAACCGGTCTACCTCGCTTAAATACAAAAACAAAGAGTTAGTTCGGTTTTAACAATATACATATAAATATAACAGTTTTAAGCTCTACTTAATTATTGTTTTTATTAAAAATAACTAAATCACAATAGTTGAGAATACATCAACATATAATAAATCGATACCATTAACATAAAATTTTAGACAACATCGCCCTTAGTCCAAAGATTGATTTTTGGCTATAAATCTTCATCTTCGGGCACAATGCTTAAATACTACCTATTCAATGCGTTGTGTAACATACATTCAAAATACTTCCTTTTGGATTACAGCCTAAGATCAATTTTTTGACGAAATAAGCTAAACATTGGATGGGTATTAAGATGAATATGAACTTGAGTTCAGATGTCATTCGGCTTAAGAGATAGGTTATCTATTCTTATACTTTACAGGCACGATATGGCGATATGATAAAATAATAAAAGACATTGATAGGTCAAATATTATTATTATCATTACTGCTATTATTATCATTACAAAATGAAAAACTCTTTATAGAATTTTATTATCTAGATACATGAAAAAATAACAGAAACTTTCAAATATCTTGCGTTTTTGACTTTGGTGGTTCTTCTGTAGATGCCTCCATAGGCATTTGAATAGCGACCTCTTCCGCAGGTTTTTCACCATTACGGTTTCCCTTTGGCTTGTCTGCTATTTTGGGAGTATACTCTTCTTTGTCTAGCAGCTCAATTTCTGGTTCGACATTTCCTTCGAGCCATATATATAATGTGGGGAATTCAATGATCCTCTCACCACGAAGAGACTCGTTTATGGGCTTATCCAGATAGGAAGTAATGTTCACAAATGACTTTTTTGGGAGACCTTCTTTCTTCAAGCCGATGACATACCGTCCCATTCCTGCATCGACAAAATCTTGGACTTGGTGACGGAACAGACTGTAAGGTGTCTTTCCGATGGGTCTTTCGGAGAAGAGCATGTTCTCAAAAAATGATCTCAGCGGCATACCAGAAGGAATTCTTATATATACCCACATGCACATATACGTATATATATACATATATATATTTGGTTGAGTTATTTAATCTTTCCAAGAAAATAAAGATAAAGATAAAAATAAAATACAACTAACCAACTTACGAATGATCCAGTATACGCTCGCGCCGATCTTTGTGACAAAAAATACATTCAATTGACCAGTATATCTGTTTTTTACTACAGTAGATATGCAGGTTAGCGCGGGTACATTCAATTGAAGAAAATGATATTGTATTTTCTTACTTTGAGCTATAGTTTGATGTATTACTTTTGGCCCTAGACATGCCAGTTGGAAGGACATCGAAATTGATACCCAACTGACGTGCTTGTCGAACAAGGTGTTTTATCCGTGAATCTATATGCTTTCCTCCGTTGTTTTCTGGAAATGCTCTGAGTCTTTCACGGGTAAGGGTATCCGATTTTCTACTGGTATCTTCCAAATAAACATAATCTATACATCAAATCCAAATATGTAAGAACAATTGAATAAATAAATGTTTTTTTTATAAAAAAAAATCTTGCTTTATATATATATATATCTCAGTATGTGTGTAGAGAAAAATAAATTGGAACTATTCTTACCACTCATCATATCTCTTTCTGTGTACTGCTTCATGGGAACAAAGTGAGTCTTGCTTCTCTCTCCTGAGCATTCTTTTTCTGCTTTGTGCTGTTTTACACACGCAAGAGAGCAGGTCCGCATATCACACCGTGGGCATTTATATTTCCACGTCTGATCATGACATTGCTCACATGGGCCTGGTGCAGCAGTTGTGGGAGGTTTTTTGACATTCATTTCAATGTCTACTTGTCCATCAGCACCTAGCGTAAATGTCATATCGTGTGTATTGTTTTCAATCGTGCTCGGTTGGTGATCTGTAGGAATCTCGCTCGATTCATTGGTTGCTTCGATTGTAGGTTCGTTACTTGTCAACGTCGTTTGGGATTCGTCTTGGACACTATCCATCGCTATAATAACGTTGATTTAATTTAAAAAAAGAAAGAAAGGAAAAATCAAGCCACTGATTAATTTCTTTTGAATAAAAAAAAATGTTAAGTATCCGCACCTTTTCGTTAGATCTTACAAAGTGTCGTCATAAGATAATGCGATTGACATTCTGTTATGCCGTTTGACAATCCTACTGAATGTTCCTCCACCCAGGAATTTAGACAATCACTTTGGGAACCTTGGTACGATGCCTCAATTCTTTTACCAAACAAAGTAAGCGTTGCGCGCGACCAACTGGCCAATGAACGAAACTGGTTGACCATTTTCCGCTTTTCATGTACTCTTGTTATCTTGGGTAAAGCTCTGGTCGCACTCATTCTAGTAATTAACTTATAATATTCATCACAGGCTTTACAGTATTATTGAAGTTTCGTTTTCCTGATGCCCAAGACACTGAACCTGATTGGGAGTCAAAGAACATAAGACTCGGGATCGGCTACACTTTTATTGCTATTGGGTTCATCTTATTCCTTGGTGGGCTCGGAAAATATTTTAAGAATCAAAAATATCTTGCTAGACAAGTAAATATCATCCAGGCTGGATGGGGAAGCTTTATTGGTGTAGGGCTTGTATTTTCATTTGCCTGTATTGTGATGATCTTGGCTAGTGTTCACACAGGTCTCTTTGATTCACACTGATAGAAACTTTTGTTGTTTTTGGGTTATTAAGGTTGGAGGGAGAGAGGGAAAAGCATTGATATTTTGCTATTTTTTTGTTATTTCTATTTACATTAAAGCATTAACTATAACTATTGTCCTTTCTTTGGCATCTTTTTTTTGTCGTCCAAATTATCAAGATCTGCTTGTTTGTAATAATGTGGTGCGACTATAAAATATACATATTCAGTATGAAGGAAAGAAAGAAAATAAAAGTAGATGCACATTTATAAAAAAAATACCTTCAAGTAGCCAATTTGGTTCAATTTCCATGACTTGGCGCATGTACTCTTTACTTGTCAGTACCAGCTCATAGTAAACGAGCCATCTTGGTTTCTTCTCGAGCATACTACTGCTAGGATGAATATGCACAGTTTGGTTTTGTTTGACAGTCCGATAAGAATCTCCGGATTTATTGAGTCTTGCTGCATTGAAAAAGAACCCAGAAGTAATTGCCTGAAAAGTTTACTCGTGTAAGAGCTACAAATATAAATTATGCATATAGATAGATCATGTCTTACCTTTTGAACAGGAACAATGTCTGCAGGATTAGGGTTCGTAATCAAAGGTACCTCAACACGATCCAGAAGCTGGACCAACTGGTCGCGCACATTACGTACACGTTCAAGCGTCTTGTGCTGAATAAAATTCTCATAGCACCATTGTATGGAGTAATCTGTCTCTACCCACTGCGACCAAATATTCAAGAGTGTAAAATGGTCACCACCAAGCTTTACGAGGTTCTGGTGTGCAGTATCAGCCAATAGCTTCTTGTCTTTTGGTCGATACAGCAATGAACTTTGCTCAGACAGCATGGCACAAATAGAAACCACTTCCTCAGTACATTCGTATTTTTCTGCGACTACTATTGACTTTGACAATGTTGGGTCCATGGGGAATTCAGCCATGCGGCGCCCCAATTTGGTCAGTTCGGCACGGTCATTGAGTGCACCCAATGCATACAATTGACTGAGAGCGCGAATCATAGTTTCTTCCACAGGAGGATCCAAGAAGTCAAAGTTTACCAAGTCGTTAATACCCAAACTCTAAATTTTAAGAAAAAAGAAGTATAAACAAATACAAGAATTTGGTGAGTGGTTTGTTTTTGTTTTTTTATCTTAATCGGTCAATACATCTATCAAACACAAATAATAATAAAAGGCAATTAAAAAAAACCCCAATCTTACTTTGAGTAAAAGAACCACATTTGACAAGTTGACACGCTGGATCTCAGGGACTGTGTTCTCCTCCATTTCATTGTAAAATGCCCACTGAGTGAACAGTCGGAAACACTTTCCAGGACCTGTACGACCAGCACGACCAGCGCGCTGTGTGGCAGAGGCACGCGAGCATGGTACCACAGTCAGCGCCTCCATGCCTGTGCGAGGATTAAAGGACTTTTGTTTGCCAAATCCAGGATCAATGACAAATGTTACACCATCCACAGTAATTGAGGTTTCGGCAATGTTGGTTGCTAGAATGACTTTGCGTGCGCCTTCAGGTGTAGGCTCAAAGATGCGCGATTGCATTTCTGAAGGAAGGTTTGCATAGATTGGACAAATGATCAATTCACCCATTTTGCTACCTAGAGCCTTGCATGCCTGTGTAAGGGCTTCGTTGGCAGCTTCAATTTCGTCTTGACCCTGATGTTTTTTTTTAAAAAAAAATCAAGTAATTTAATATAATAAGTAGGGAATTATGAGCTTAATGTATACATTTATACATCTATATGCATTTATATATAAAAATGAGGTATATACTTGAGTGTATCTATATTTTGACTTACAGTTAAAAATACAAGAATATCGCCTCTACCTTGAGTGACATGAATAGTAAGGACTTGTGTGATTGCAGCACGTAAGTAGTTGGCTTCTGGGGCTTTTGTGTAGTAAATCTCTACAGGATAAGGTCTTCCTGGGATGTTGAAGATAGGAGCATCATCAAAATATTCAGAGAACTTTTGGGCATTCATGGTTGCACTTGAGATCAGCAGTTTGAGATCAGGTCGGAAACGAGCAATATCCTAGCAATATCCTTTGTAAATTAGCTACACATTCACACTATAGACTCATTCTTTTATTATGAATGTATGTATCTTTCTATTTAATTTACCTTGATTAAACCAAACAGAATATCTGTTGACAAAGTTCTTTCATGTGCCTCATCAATAATCATACAGCTGTAGGAAGCCAGATCTGGTTCAGTCATGAACTCACGTAAAAGCATACCATCGGTCATGTACTTGACACATGTCTTGTCTGTTGTACAATCCTCAAATCGAATACTATAACCTACTTCAGATCCCAAATGCACACCCATTTCTTCTGCCACGCGAGCTGCAACACTCATAGCTGCAACACGACGGGGTTGTGTACATCCAATTTTCTTGTTGTCTTTTGTGTAGCCTCCTTCATAAAGATACTGTGGTAATTGGGTGGTCTTTCCAGATCCAGTTTCTCCCACGATAACAAGTACTTGGTGATCATTGATAGCTTGTAAGAGTTCGTCGCGATATTGGTATATAGGAAGCGATTTACGGGTTTCCTCAATCGATTTTGCTTTTCTCTCTGCCTCGTCAATTCTTTCCAGCAAATCAGCATCCTCTTTGTCGGGTTCATTCATTTTTGCTGCCATGACAAAGTCGATTTTCTGATCTTCATCAAATACATAGTCATATTCGTCCTCCAGTGAATCTTCTTTGGCAGCCGATTTCTGGATCTGCAATTGCTCCCATTGGTCGTGTTCAGATACAAATTTTTCTTCTTCTTGGTAACGTTTGTAAAGCACGTCTTCTTTTCTTTTGCGATCAATCTTCCCTTTTTCCGTGATATAATCTGTGAGGTAAAAATTATTTATATATATTAGTAAGTAGCCTACAAATAGGTTGCTTATCTTTTTCTTTAAATAATAATAATAAGATTAATAATATGTATACCTTCTGGCATCATGTAACCGTCTTCATTTGTATCAATCTTCATACGGGCATCAGCTAGCGACAAAACCTGCTTATTGTATTCGTGCTGTGCGATTTCTCGTTGAGTGAGGCGCTGGTCCCTGAAAAGGAACTCTTCATCTTCGACTTTTTTACGCAACAGTTCCAATTGTTGCTGTTCACGCTGTTTGACATACTCTTCACGTGCACGCTTACGGATGGAGGGTAAGGCCTCCATACGCGCCGATTTGTCATCGGCAAGATTTCTTCTTTTTTGAGCCTCACTTCCCAACATCGACGATCTGTCCTCGATCATTTTCTTTGTCCGTTCTTTATCCTTTTCCTTTAAACGATCCGCAAGAGCATCTCTCTCTTGGATATCCCTTAAACGCTCAAGCTCTATATCTTCGTCTTCATCACCCTTTTCTGGTTCCTCATTTTCATTCTCTATCAATTATATTATATATATACATGATTTTACCATCCATTAGTTAGTTATATGATCTGTTAATATATATATGCGTGTGTGTGTGGGTTTGTATATGTACCTTTTCTTCTCTTTCTTTCACGATCTGTTGTCATGACTTCTGTATTATCGTCACTTGCCCACGCATTCTCTTCTTTTTCCTTTCGACGCAACTTTTTTTCCTTTTTACGTAGACGTTTCTCCTCTTTTTCGGCTGTGTATTTTTCTTCAGGATCGGCCAAGATCGTCTTGAATGATTCGTTTGCTCTTTTTAATCGTAATGCTTCTTTTTCATCTTTCTTGCGCTGTGCCTTTGCTGCGGCTGCAGCTGCAGCTACTGAAGAGGCTGATTGTTTGTGAGGTACACGCGCATACAATTCGTGAGCAAATCGTCTTCCAGAGTCATCTGCAGGAGATCCTACGGCCTGGAGTGAATTGAATAGTTCATCAGGTGAAGTTGCTTTCTTGGCTTTAGAAATGATCCCAGGTTAAGATTAATGGAACGGTGGTTGCGATTTAAAGAAAGAAAAAGAAGAAATTAAAAAGAGTTTAAAAGAAATACGTATGTATATAGATCTGTATATGTCTGTGTGTAAGTTCGTATGTGTAATTTACCTGTTGCAATAATAAAGTTGACCATGGTCCTTTCAGACATGCCGAAAAGCTTCATCGAAATCTCATTAGTTATTTTTTTTATTTCTTTTCACGAGTTATTTGAGAAGAGTTTAAGGGTGTGGTTTTTATTTTATTTTTATATAGTAGTAGCATTTGTGGTAATAGTAGAGAATCTCACCTTCATGGCATTATCAGATACCCATGCTGTTAAATCCATGGCGATGAGAAAAAGCAATGACGGTTGTCAGAACCTTTTTCCGAGTTGGTTACCAAAAAATCGTCACGTGAGATATTCGAAGCGTTTTAAGTTCCTCTTTCTGAGCATATGTTAACTTTGTTCTTCTTCCTCTTCCTCTTCGTCTTATATACTTTCTTTTTCTTCTCTTTTCTTTTTCTATTCTTAAGAGAGAGAGAAAACACAAAAACAAACAAAGCGAATAACTTTATTTATATTTACCTAAAATGGTTTCTTTATGGTGGGGCCAAAGTGCTCTTGATGAGATGATTGGTAACAAAAAAAAATGGATAAGAATTATTAAACTCTGTCTTTTAAAATGCCTGGTGTTAACTATGAAATGTTAGAGAAAGCAACTTCGGAGTTGTTACCTGTAGGCCAAGAAGACCTTGGCTTCCATCTCGAAATTAGTGATCAATTGCGCAGTAAACGGGTCAATGCTAAAGATTGTATGCATGCTCTCAAAAGACGATTGGGTCACAAGAATCCTAATGTTCAACTTGCAACTTTATCTGTAAGTGGAATGTCTTTTTTTTTTTAAAAAAAAAAATGGAGAGTCCGCCTAGACATCCTCCACTTTATTTTACATTGTGATGTAATGTTATCTTATTTATCGAAAATCCTATTTTGTTTTTTGTTTTTTGTATTAGTTAACTGACACATGCGTAAAAAATGGAGGTGACCAGTTTGTGAGAGAGGTTGCCAGTATGGAGTTTATGGATGAAATGGTCAAGCTAGTGGCCCATTCTGTAAGCATTATTTATTTATATATACAAAGCAAGAGAGAAAAAGAAAAAAGAAAGAAGGTTTGTGTGGATTATTAATGTGTGTAATGTATATAATATGTAGTCAACCCAGAACCCAGATGTTACCGAAAAGGCGCTGTCTATCATTCAAACCTGGGGCCTTGCAGCCCGGGGAAACCCTTCGCTGAGTTACATGGCAGATACCTACAACCTCCTCAAGGCAAAAGGTTACAAATTCCCTGCTATTAATGAAGCTATCAATTCCTCACTTCTTGAAACAGCCGCGGTAAAGTAAACTTGTAGTGTAGATATTATATATATATATATGTGTGTGTGTGTGTGCGTGTTTGTTTGTTTGTGATATACCTGAGTCTCATTATCAACCGTAGGCACCTGAGTGGACAGACTCTGATGTCTGTGAGCGATGCAGAACTCCATTTACTCTTACTAACCGAAAGGTAAGGAAAATATATACATCGCATGTTATATTTTTCGTATAAATAACTCCAATTTTTTTCTTTTCTTTTTTACAGCATCATTGCCGCCAGTGCGGTCATACATTCTGCAACCAATGTTCTTCAAAGACTATGCCACTTTTGCACTTAGCAATTGAGGAAGAAGTGCGTGTATGCGATGGTTGCTACATCAAACTCAAATTAGCCAAGGTTTCCAAGAAAGATGTCGCCTGGGCCAATAATAATACTTCTATAATTTCTTCACCTTCTCCTGTTGCTGCTGCTGCTGTTGCTGCTGTTCCTTCTAACAGCCAGAATCATGCAAATGGAACACCTTCTGGAGAAGATGATCTGGATGAAGACATGAAACGAGCAATCGAATTATCGCTTAAGGAAGAAGAACAGCGTAAGAACGGCTACGGTGCAGGATATGTAGCTACACAAAAGCCCTCGGCTGAACCAGCTCAGCGCGAACAGCAACGGCAGTCAAATGATCAGAATGAAGAGGAGGAAGATCCAGAGTTGGCGGCTGCGATTGCTGCGTCTTTACGAGAACTCCAGCTTTCAGCTCCTCCTCCGACACAGCCTGGATATCAACCATCATCTCGAGAAATCAATAGCAATGATCTGACACCAGTAGAGATGGAAAACGTGCAGCTTTTCTCTACATTGATGGAACGTGTGCATGCGTCTGGCGGTGATGTATCAAATGATCCTCAGGTCAACCGACTATATGAGCAGATTGGTGCTCTCCAACCCAAGTTGATCAAAAGTCTTGACGAGACCATACACAAACACCGCACCTTTGTATCCATGCATGAAAAACTCGCCATGGCTGTCAAGTCATACGATAGGTTGTTGGAGGAACGAGTATCTGGCGCCAATGCCCGTTCAGAAATGAACCAAGCATCTGCATATTCTTATTACCCTCCTATGCAATCCAATGGGTCATATTCTTCTGACCCCAATGGATACCCTGCTCAGCAACAGCAACAGCAACAGCAACAAAGAGGCTATTATCCTTATCCTGAAACAACACAGCCAGCAACTTCAGCTCCTGAAGCCACTCAATATTACCCCTCAGAACCTTATTACCAGACACAACAACCTTCTCAAAGCTTCCCACAGCAACCTTACTATGAAGCTCAAAACTACCCTCAACAACATCCTCAGCAACATCCTCAGCAATCCTACCCTCCTTACGAACAAGCAAGCCAACATCTACAGCAGCCTAAACAACCTGTAGAAGAAGCACCTCTTATCGATCTATAATTCTATATATTTTTTTGCTTGTTACTCATATATATATTTAATTTTTTCTTTTTTTTTTTTAATATTATTATTATTACAAATGTTTAAAATAACACAGCCACTTAAGTAAGACGCGAGACCGTGTTTTCCTATTTGCATTTTCGTCCTTTTTTTTTCTCTCTCTCTCTAGATATATATATATATATAATTATGTCTGGCTGACTGGCTGCCTGTTTGGCCGCCTGTCTTTCTACTCCCCTTACTTTTCACTTTTTCTTTTTTTTTAAAAAAAAATTGACAAGATAATATAATGGCTTTTGTACTTGAAAAAATTGCAAAGTTTGCTATTCCTGTTAGTCTTGCTATTGGTGGTATTCAGGCATCCATGTATGATGGTAATTGTCCTTTTTGTTTTTTTTTATTTTTGTTTTGTGTAATGAGGTGAGGTGTTGGTATTGACATTAACAATGATCTCATATTACTGTCAATTCTATTTCTAATTACATTGACAATTTCAATTTAAATGTAAATGGAACGTACTATTATCATTACTTAGTTCAGGGTGGTCATCGTGCTGTTATTTTCGATCGTATTCAGGGTGTTAAGCCTGTGTCGGTTGGTGAAGGTACCCACTTCCTTATGCCCTGGCTTCAGCGTGCTGTCCAATTTGACATTCGCACCAAGCCTCGCAATATTTCCACCACCACTGGGTCCAAGGACATGCAAATGGTTTCGCTCACACTCCGTGTTCTTCACCGCCCTGAACTTACGCAGCTTCCTGCTATTTACCAACACCTCGGACAAGACTATGATGAGAGAGTCTTGCCATCAATTGGTAACGAGGTCTTGAAGGCTACCGTAGCACAATTTGATGCAAGTGAGTTGATTACTCAGCGTGAGGTCGTCTCTGCAAAGATCCGCGAGGATCTCTACAAGCGTGCCAAAGAATTCAACATTGCTCTTGAGGATGTGTCAATTGTAAGCTGGTGTGGGAGTTTTCTTTCTGTCATGATTTTATTTTAGACTGTAGATTAAATGTCCTTAAAAGAAAGATTAATAGAAAGAGAGAAATGGATAACGTATTCTGATTTATTTATTTTGTTCTTTTGGTGTTAGACACACATGACTTTTGGTAAAGAGTTTACCAATGCAGTTGAACAAAAGCAGATTGCTCAGCAGGAGGCCGAACGTGCAAAGTTTATTGTCGAGCGCGCTGAGCAGGAGAGACAGGCTGCAGTCATTCGTGCTGAGGGTGATGCTGAAGCTGCCATTCTGATTTCTGATTCTCTTGAGAAGGCTGGTCAAGGGTAAGTCTTTTTTTTTTGTTTTTGTGAGAGAGTGTAAAATGATACTTTTTGATAAAATATGGAAACCCAATCTACATTATTCATTATATACTATTATTAACAATATTATTGCTGCCGTTGCTACGGTGGTGGTGGATGCAATTCTTTAGTATCATTGCTTTCAGACGCATTGAAGCCTCCAAAGAAATTGCACAGACTTTGTCTAAGTCTTCAAATGTTACTTATTTGCCAAGCAGCAAAGGTGGAAGCAACATGCTTTACAACTTGAATGTCTAAAAAAAAAGAACAATATGATGATGAGGATGGATTTTTAGACTATTTGAGTAATAAAAAGAAACACACACACACAATATCTACACCCTGTATACCATCAAACTATACACTGAGTAAGTTTCTTTTTCATTCTTCTTTTTAGCTATTCATCTACTTTTTTTATATTAATAATATATAAATAAATAAAGATATACTATAACTACAGCTCTTCTTTATTTATCTATTTGGTTAAATAATAATAAAAATGAGTCATAATATATTGTCTATATACACTTTATGTCCAAAGTATTTTCCGATCTTGTAATAATAATTAATAATGAATCCAATGGCCCTATCTATACCTCTCTTTACGTGTGTGAAAATAAAAAAGATCACCTTTTTTTTATTAAAGTTTAGGTATTAAAATCTAAATGAAAAATTGCTAATCTAATAAGAGAGAACAGGAGACAATGACTTACCAAAAGACAAACGGTCTTACGTTATATTAAGCAGTCGATTGACTACAATCTAAAGGTATAACTAGTTACTACAATTTGACGGCCCACCGTCAGGTAACAAAAATCAAAACCTTTCTTTCATAGTAGGTATTATCTATTATTTGGATCTGGTTTATATTTTCAAGACAACAAATATTGTATTCTTTAAATACTCGAGTGTATGTATTTATTTGAAAAGGAGAGAGAAAAGAAAATATGGGGTTCTTTTCAAGGGACCCAGAATCAAAGCCTTTATTCCAGAATAACGATCTCTCATCAATACTATAAAGATTATTATTATATTTGTGGTAAAGGAGTGTTGTAAGCAATGGTTTTACAAGTACAAGGTAACTTGCCTACAATTCCATGATCAAGTTATTCTTATATATATATATATATATAGTAAGTATTCCACTATAGAAACATTTGGCTTTCTTTATCAATCGCACGGACCATGTTTTGAGTGTGATCATACACATGCATACATATATACATATATAAGCACAAAAGGAAAGTGAGATTAAAGGGTAATCAAAGTTAATGTTAAGGGGAGGAATTGGTACTAAATTAAAATATAAGAATAATATCTGGATATTTACAAGATTGTCTAGACCACGGATATATTTCCATTTGTTTCCGCGACTATTATCCCTCCTGTAGCACTTTCTTTTGGGGAGTTTGTTGAATGTCGATTAAGCACAATTCCCTTAATATTACTAGTGTTGTTGTTGTTGTTGTTGTAGTTTTAGCTTTACTGTGTTGAAAAGTGGCGATGGCTATCAAATGAGGGTTATGAAGGGATAAAAGAAAAAGAAGTAAAGGAGAAATTTGGTGGGAGGCGATCAGAAGAAAGAAATTGTTGCACACAAATAAGATTATTTTGATCGAGATCTTTGTTTCATTTTTGAATTTATACCTTGACACACACACACAGAGAAAAATAAAATAAAGTACAATAAAATTCCAAGGGTTGGAGGGGGGGGGGATGAACAAGGAATAGAAAGAAGAAGAAAATCAAAAATTATTAAGGAGGTTAACGTTAAACTTGTTCCTATAAGCTACAAGCTATACGCAATTGAATCCACATTACAAAAGCATTAACAAAATCAAGCCTTAATCATATATATTGTATATGTATTGAAATCAACACGACGATAAATCTTAATGTAAAGAAACACTTGTATTTATAAAAAAAGGGGTTTCACCAGCTCTGGATGCTTGACTGTTGGATGTAGCGGTAGTTTAATTCAAAAAACGATTGGCTGTGACGAAGCTTCAAAAATTGAAAACAGCATCCAGGTATCCAAAAAAAAATTGTTCGATACTCTAGTTGTCATGACTTGACCAAAATTTACAAAAATTTGTACTTTATGTACAATTGATGGCCAGGTTCATAGAAAAGCAAAGTCAAAAATAAAACATAAGAAATCTATGTAAGAGTGGCTATATTGATACCAAATTATAGAAGTCTAACTTAATTGTGGGGAATTTGGGCATAGGCACTATATTTATGAGTATTCTAATCAAGCGTATTGTACCTATGAATTTTGACATATATGAGAGAAAACATATCAACCAAGAGACATTAATGGTACTCAATAGTTTTTTTCGATATTGATTATTATTGAATAGTGGTTAAGCTATCATTACATCTAACAGTCAAGCATCCGGAACTGGTGAAACCCCCTATAAGTAAAGCTCTTTGCATTGAAAATCTAATATATTATGAGAAAAGCATAGTTTTACAATCTGGGCTTATTTCACCTTATTTCTGAATCATTATTCTTTACATTTGAAAAGGTGATACTGGCTGTGTTGGTTTATGTAAAGAAGTGACCCAAATGGTTAACAGAAAGAAAGGGATATATATTGGTCTCCTTTAACAACTCCTTGGCCCAAATATTGGCAATTAACAGCTTGTTATCTCAAGAAAGATAAAAAGAAAATAAAAGTGATGTGTAAGGGTGTTCCTTATTGCTTTTCTCTTTTGATGCTTATATAGATATTTCAATAATTAATAAATATGCTGGGATAAACTATGCTTCTTTGGATAATTAATGATGAATAAGAGAAAGAAATAGAAATAGATCGATATTGTTGGCATTGATTGTTACAATTCTTGCGTTTTTTAATTGATTTCTTTGCCAGCTATAAGAATTATATTCTTCTTGTGGTCAAGACTTGAGCAATTTATTTACATAATTGATACAAAGAAAAAGATTTAGAAAGATAAGATATGTTTGGGTCATATGGAAGTTCCAAGACACTAGCAATGAGCTAATGAGAATGAGGAATACTTTATTTATCTAAGCTCTCAATGAAGATAAAGCTTCCTAGCATATTTTTATAGTAATAGTAAGGCTGTCAAGTAGCCCAGATCTTAGCTCTATAGAGATCTAATAAGAATACTCCACCAGAAGAGTGAAAAAAAAAAGAGTTTAATATTCAAAAACCTTTAAGGAGGTGGCGGTGATTACCTATATGTAATAAAACAATACTCGGGCTGGCGTTTGTAATATTAAGTGCATGTCAATGCCTAATTGCGTGGCAATGCCTAATTGCATGTGAATGCTTAATTGCATACATGAGATGAAGAAAGTTAATGAAACGTCATTAAACTATTGATTTTTTTTAAAAGAAAAACTGTACCTTTGTATTTATATGTTTTTAGGCATGAGTTGTCAAGTGAAAGAAGATCGGCTAAGCCAAGAATGCTAAAGAAGTTGTATTATTAATATATTAGAGTTTAATAAGTATGATGACTATTGTTGGTACGAGTCTATATATACATATACATACCTTGCTTGTAAGAAAATAAAAAAATTCAAACAGATCTCAGTACTGAATATTGTATTAAAATATTCGTTCGTCTGTTTTTAAAGTGTATCCGATTTATCCCAAAAAGTAAAAAATAAAGATTTTTTTGTCAAGACCTGCGCTTGAAGGCCGATCCACTCAAGTTTACACCCAAGCTTCTCAACAACCCTCATTCCTGCCTACTCGGCATGGCATCAAATTTACCATGACGGCAAAGTATCGGTGAAATGCTTTAATGCCAAACTGCTCGGGACAGGTGTCTGAGACACCCAAGTGAACAGCATAGCATTTACTTAGGCACCTTAACTTTGCTTCGGGTTCGTCCCTCATGTCCAGTTCTGTTTACCAGAGCGTGGGTTACAAGTATCAAAGTCTAAGCAATGAGGGACTTGAAAAGCACAGGGATCATTTCAACAGGAAGCAGTAAAATACAGGCGATTGTACTGGGTAATCTGTCGATTCTGCTGGAATCTACCTGTATTACCTCACGTCCAGGTGCTCAACGAATTTAAAAAACTCTACGCATCCAGGTGATACACCCTTATACTTGCACCTTTCTGTGACAATCTTGACATGTCCCAAAGGACAAAATCTGGAGAGCCAATATCCAACGTCCTAAGAAAATAGCATAAAGCTACCTCTGCGTTCCTCAGTCTTCTCCATGTTATGTGCCGCACAACACAGAAAAAACTGACGTGGATTTCATCCGGCTTTCGCCTTCATATGACTGACTCAGGAAGGTCTTTAACACCAGTTATGCTCTACACTAAGAGCTACTTTCCCTGACGGTACTTGTGATCAGTTGGTTTTTTATAAATAAGTTTAGCCTTCGATGAAACTTTTCACCGGGATTAGGGAGTTTGTAAAAACAACCCGACTCATCGGAAGCTACTTAACACAAAGACAAGAACTCAAGACAAGGTGAGGGGATTGCACCCTCCAATAACCTTTTCCAGGGAGTGAAGGCTACTGACTTGTTGGTATGTCTGGAAAAGCAGTTCACTAGTTCACAATCCAGAGCAGCCAAAAGACCACTCCGGTTCAAACATTGGAGCTTCTCCATCTCAAACAATAAAGTCCAAGACAGAATCCCTTTTGGTTTCTTCTCCCCTGCAGTAAATGCAAGTAGAATCGCGCAAGGCACAGATCAGATTTCAGACCATAGCACCTTGAGCGAACTCAATGGCCAGACTAGCCAAAGAGCGCAATGCTTCCAATAAAAAACCAGAATCTCATATTAAGACAAGCCCTATAAATAAGGCGTCTACAATGAGCGAGTTGGAAATGAGCCCGGAGACTCATTGTTAAAGACCATGATATACACATCTTGCATGAAAATGTTTACGTATATTCCTTTTGATATATCGTGACCAATAGAATACGAGGTATTCAGGGATCACTGCAAATGTAGAAATAGAAAAAAAATAGAGTAAAAGGTTAATATACTTGTCATGTCAAAGTATGTGCGCGTGTGCGCGTTTACTTACCTAACCGATAATCGCAAAGAGCTTAAAAAGTACTGATGCTCAAAAGCAAAACGGGACTGGAAACGGGACACTGGACACTGTAATAAAATAAAATAAAACATTAAATCATAGTTAGTGTGTTGATCGTGTCAAAGTGTGGGTATGTGTGTGTGTGTGTATGCGTTTACTTACCTAGCAGATAACCGCGTAGGGCTTAAACAGTACTTATGCTCGAAAGCAAAACGGAACTAGACACTGGACACTGGACACTGTCATAAAAAATGAAAGCATCGAACCATAGTTAGTGTGTTGATTGTGTCAAAGTATCTATCTGTATATTTACTTACCTGATACATGAACATGACGTGAAGGACCTCTCCGTAGCTACAGTGGAATGGACGCTGGGCATACAAGACAAAAAAAGCACAAGAGACACTGGGCTGTAGTTAGTACGCTGACCGTGTCAAGGCGTGTGTGTGTCTGTATATTGTCTTACCTGCTATTAGACTGGACATTGTTTTTGAAACTTAGCTAGAGACCGCGTCTGGGGTGCGTTTCCATAGTAAATATCAGTATGAGCCTTATGCAAATGGAAAGATATAGGCATCTAAAGGCGATTTTCTTACCGTGTCGGAAACCAAGGACCACCAAAGGGAAACCAGGAGGAAGAGGGGGGATTACAAGAAATTGGGAATTGTATCAATTTTTATATGAAAAAAATGGGGCTGGCGCAGCACAGAAGGCGTAAAAGGCCTATTTTGGGCAAATCAAAACAAATTCATATAAAAACTAAAGGGCTTTACGTTGTAGGTAAAAGTTATATGCTTTTTGTTCCAGACTATTATCAAAAACCTCTTGGTATTGCCTAATAAATACATTGAGTAGTACAGCCAATGGGTGAATTTGAGTATTACTATGCTTTATATAACCTTTTTATGTCTTTGGAGAAATATATTTTTCTATGTTTCTAATCACACTACTGATGATCATACTGTTTTTTAAAAATCCGCCATACAAATAAAGAAAGCCTCCTTAACCTTCTAACCACAATTTGTTTACTTTCATTTCACAAAGTATGTTAAAAGACATGTAAGTAGAAAAGTACTACTATTAAGCAAACAGTGGCATATATTTATTAAAGCAGTTGGTATTCTACCAGTTCTCAAGTATACTTTTTTTTTTAAAAAAAAATAGTCTATTCAATTCTATATATGTATGCAATATTTCTTTTGAACTACAAGTATAATATTTTTTCTTACTCTTGATAGATCAAAATATTGCTATTATAGTGTATATTCACACACGTTAGCCAGCACAGCTTATTATTTACAGAATTATGTTCAAAGACAAATAAATAACTGTATAAATGTTATTGCAAAAGAGACGAGTGGTTTATATGATAGATTGCTCAAATGGTTAAGAATAAAAGAGAATATATATTGTCAATATCAGTCTATTCTCTTAAAAGTAATAGAGAAAATAAAAAGAGAGATATGTTAGGGTGATCTATATTACATTTATTTTCTTATGCTTATATATATATATATCAGCAGCTAATAGAATAAGATAATTAGCAAGAGCAATTTCAGCAGCTTCTTTACAGAAATCTTTTTACTTCAAGTTATAATATATTAAGACTTGTAGCGTATTAATTACTTTTGAACAATATTTCAAGGCTTATAGAGATTCTTTCCTTTACGTTAATTTTTATATTTTATACTAGTACAGTCTAAGTATCTATTGACAAGCTGGTGGCTCAGTTGGTTTTGGACAAGTACCCATATTCAATTACCAACACAATTATTATTATATAAACTATCGAATTATCTCAATAACGTGATATCAGCTTAACTCAAAGAAAACTATATAGTCCCAAACAAATCAATCCCATAAAGAACAGTTTTTACACTTATATTTTCTTTTCCTTTCTTTTTTCTGGGTCTCGATCATAAGAACACTACTATTTTCTACAAAAGCTGTGAATGTTGATCTGACCACCCCTTCTTCTCTTTTTATCTATACTTTTTTCATCAACCATTACATCACATAAACCAATATAGCACGTCTCACCACTCTCCTACCAGATTATCTGCAATCCTTTAACATTATATTTCTGTGACCTCCATTCCTCATTCAATATTGATTAATATTGACATTGACATGTTGCATGTATATTCACATTTTCGGCCGGCCCAAACATATCACATATCTCTAAATCTTTTTGTATCAATTATGTAAACCAATCGATTAAGTAATAATTTTGGGAAGAACATGATTGTTACCACTGGCGCAGCAATCAATTGAAAATCATAAGGACTGTAACAATGAACCCCAACAATGACTATCTACCTCTATTTCTCTCTCTTATTTTTTTATGAAGCATAGTTTATTCCAACCTCTTAGTAATAGCTTAGTAATATCTAACTAATTATATTATTTTATTTATTATCAAAATATCTATATAAACATCGAAAGATGAAAGCAATAAAGAACATCCTTACATATCACTTCTATTTTCTTTTTATCTTTCTCGAGAGAACAAGCTGCCAATTGCCAATATTAGGGCTAAGGAGTTGTTAGAGGAGATTGATACATATTCTCTTTTTCTGTTAACCATTTGGACTACTTCTTTATATAAACCAATACATTCCGTCTCAATAGTATACAATGATGATAACAGAAACTCCAAGAGATTATGCCTACTACAAGGCTGATAATTTTGGAAATATTTAACTTAATTTTTTGATATTAGAAATAAAAGTAAAGCATATAATAAAGTGCTTTTAGGGGAAAAATGAGTACATTTACTAGTGAAGAATACTATTAAATAGTAGAATAGTAAAATAGTTCTGTTAATTGTAACTGAAAGTTGACCCTTTATTTATTTATTTATTTATTTATTTTTGACTTTTTCAGTGCCAATACAGCTTAAGTCGATTTATTAAAAAAAATAGAAAATGGGACTAACTGATATGCTCTTAGACATTCAAGCTTACTGTAACTTTTTCAGTAGAAGAAATAAATCAAATTAAAGTCGGCTACATGAGCCAATTC